AAAACCCCCTATTCTCTTTTCTGTTGTTTTTCCCTTCCACCTACTTCTTTCTTTTTTTCTATATTCCCCCTGAGTTGTGTAGTTGAGCGGTGGAAGGGAGGGAAGGGAAGAGAAAGTTGTTATGTTATTCATCACTTGTTGCATTGTCATTCATAATAATGTGCGGCATGAGTAGATGTATATATATAGATGTATAGGTTAGGTTAGGGAGGGAAAGCAGAAGAAAAAAACAAAGGAGAAATACCATTTCTTTGGTCTCACATATGACTCTCGCTGTTATTGTATTTCTTGCTTTCCTTTTTGCTTACTCTGTCTCTCTTGATGTCTCTCTTTCTCTGAATAACTTTCTTTATTTCTCCTTTCTTTTCCTTGTTACAAATAAGTATGTGTTTGTGCGTGAGTATGTTAATAGTTATGTGATGAAACGGGAGCATTTGTTAGATGAGCAATACAGCTTGAGTACTTTTATTAATACAGTTTTTGTTGCTCTTGTGTTGTTGCTTCTTTGTTCCCTCTTTTTTTTTTTTTTTTTTAATTAAAAGGATATTTGCATGAGCAATCACTACAATCACTTTCATCTTCTCGCTGATAATTGGAATAGGGGCTTGCTTCATCATCCATATGCAGTGATGAATGTTGCATATATACGTGTGCTTTATTGCTTATTGAGACAGTTTTTATTGCTTTTTATTAAACTATTTTTTCTTGACTCAAGTATTGTGGTATCTTCCCCTTCCACTAATCCGTGCCGGATTCGTCTAACCTTTACGCCTCCCATGCTTAAATAAAACTTTCGGGACATTTCCCTCTCTGCGCAACATCTTGCAAGCTTCCGTTATTTCCTTGACTTGTTGATTTTTTTTTTCATTTCAATCTTATATTACACCTCTTCGTCTTTTAGTTACTGAAAAAACTTCTTATACGCAGCCTTCTCTTTGGCTGCCCGAGCAGCGGCCTTTGATCGTACGGTATTCAGCTCATTAATGATGGCAGAGTCAGTGGGGGCCAGCTTGTGCGCCTCTTCAAGGTCTCTTAGGGCCTCTTCCTCGTCTTTTTGGCGCACGTTGGCGAAGCCACGTCGGTAGAAAGCCTTTGCACGGTCTGCAGGGGCGATGCCGTTGACGGCGAGAGCGGCGGTGGCGCTGCGGACAGCATCGGCCCAGGCCTCCAGCTTTATGTGCAGGAGAGCAGAGTTGTTGTTGAGAGAGAAGCGCAGGGCATCGAGCTGGACCTTGCCTTCAGGCCAGCCATCCAGCTCCGGCTCCTCGTTGATGTATCGCAGACCCTTTTCGTACTTTTCGAGACCAAGGGTAAGGTTACCTGCCTTGAAAGCCTTGTTACCGAAATCTTTGCAGTCGGAGGCAATCTTGTAGGTGGTCGGGGCGTCAGGAGGCGAAGAGCAGTCCTCGGGGAAGTCTTCGTGGGGGTCGCCGAGGGCATCAGGCTGCTTGACATCAGCGCTGAGGGCTTCGTCTCCGGAGAGCTCGCCACAGTCGGCGATGACGGCGTCTTTCGAGGGTCGGTCGCCGGCCTCGGTGCGGACGTTTTCGATCTGGCGGACGACGGATTTGCCGTTGAGGACTTCGCCAAAGACCACGTGCTTACCATCCAGATGCGGCGTGGGGACGGTGGTGATGAAGAATTGAGAGCCGTTGGTGTCTAAAAGCATGCACGAGTTAGCCGCATTTTAGGGGAGAGGTTTAAAGAGGTTTAAGAGAGTATGACATACTGGGGCCAGCGTTTGCCATTGACAGAAGGAATGGCTTCTCGTGCTTCTTGGGGAAGGCCTCGTCCTCGAACTTGGCTCCGTAGATGGACTCGCCGCCAGTGCCGTCTCCAGCTGTGAAATCACCGCCCTGTATTGACCAATGTCAGCACTCGAATTTGTTTCGCCTGATCATAAACATGTACGGACCTGAATCATAAACTGCTTGATCACTCGGTGGAAAGAAGAGCCCTTGTAGTGCAGAGGCTTGCCAGACTTGCCCAGGCCCTTTTCGCCAGTGCAAAGAGCACGGAAGTTCTCGACTGTCTTGGGGACCAGGTCCGAGTACAGCTCCATGTTGATGCGGCCAAGAGGCTTGCCACCCAGAGTGATGTCGAAGAAGACGCGCGGCCGTGTGGCCTTGGTCTCGGTTTCAGAAGCCATGATGGTGATGTCGTGGAGAAGGAAGACAGAGAATAAGTCGGCGGGAGAGCGATGGGTGGCAAAGAGGGCCAATTGGTTATCTAGACGATAGCGAAGAGGTAATGGAGAAGAGGTAAGTGGAGGGAGGAGTTTGCGATGCCTAAAAGATGGCGAGTCGTGCCTGGCCCAAAGAAGGCTGCGAAGATTCCTTCTGGTTCTCTAGATACAGTGATGCGGGGTCAAGCTAGCGATAGAGAGCCAAAGCTTTGACTTTCTGTATCTGAGCTGGAGAATGGGGGGTGACAGAGACAAAGAGAGTTGAGGGAGATTAGAGAGAAGAAGGAATATAGAGAAAATTAAAAAGAGGAGGAGTCAGATGGAATGAGGAGGAGAGGCAGTCGAGAGCTGTTACGCAGCAGCTGTTAGCTGTGAATGACCTAATCAAGACCTGATGCTGGATGCCTAGGCGGATGAAAGAGTGACGGCTACTGGCTTTTCCAGGTAGGAACGGATGTCAATCTTTGGTACTACGGAGCAAAATGGAATTGGAGCATTCAAGCCATCAATTCATCCAGGCGGCTGTGCTTGGGCTGATGCCGAGCTTCTCAGCCCAACTTGATCATTCGCAACATTCGATTCCAGCCGACATCAGTATCTCCATGGCTGCCCCTCCATCGGCAAATTTGCCCCTCCATTCTTTGTTCTTTTTTTGGAGATTGCAAGCACTTGAGCTCGGCAGTGGGTCCCGCTTCAGGGCCGTTAGTGGCCAGCCCCCCCGGCGCTGTAGAAGTTTCTAGCAGATAGCGCTGGGCCGCAGCGCATGGTGAACGCTGTCACGCATTTGCGTTGGGGTGCATGTACACATCATGTATGCCTTGCGTGCAGTGCCGTATTTGGCGCCACCTATTTGCAACATCAATGCTACGGAGTATTTCACCCTGATCCTACAGCATCGCATTGCATGTCTACAAGCATGCGTAAGCTTGGTAAGGTAGAATGGCACCTTGATCTCCTCTCTGAGTGAGCAGAGTGGCTCCCTGTAGTAACATTTGGCGATATCAGGCGTTGATGATAAGTCAGCATCGGTTCACGCATGCATGCCATTCAGTAACACAAATTGTTCTGAAGATGATAACATAGCACCATGTTAATGACAACAGTCTGATTACGGGCTTTTTCTTTCTCGTTGGTTTTTGCTCTAAACTAAAAATATATCGCAAGTGTCCTCCAGTCGTCCCTTGCCAGTACTCAGACAAGCACCGCCAGCAAAATGAGTACCGGAAGGAAGCTTATTGGAGACCGGGGATGTTGAAGTGCAAAGTCTATGGCTGTTTCTATACATCAATTGCACCAGTTCTATTCGCTCTATGCGCCACATCGTATTCTCAGCGTCTGTGTCACTCAACCTCTATCGCTCGGACACGGGAGCACCAGCCTGGAGCTCCAAGGTAACCTGTGTAATGCATCAGCACACTTTTGGCGTGATCAAAAAGTCTCAGAGAAATATGACATACCGGCCCATCGTTGACAAGAGCAACTTCCATCATGGCCTGAAATTTGCCGTCCTTGACTCGATCCTCTATGTAGAGGTCCTTTACCTTCTGGACAAAGTAGTGATACAGCCGGCTTGCTTCTTCGGGGTTTGCTGCGCCATGGAAGTCGGGCTTGGTGCCCTTTTTGGTCTTTGCCAACAGAGTAAATTGGGATACTGGTTATCGCATAAGCTTTTTATTTTTTTGTCTTTGTAGTAAATACTTCTTGTTTCTTACCACAGAGCACTTCGCCCTCGATGTCTATGACACTTCTTTTCCACTATCGCCACCAATCAAACCATCAGCAGGTGTCTCACAGCCTGGGCAAAAAGCTTCACTTACCCGACCCCCGTCTTCGTCATCCCAGAGTTTCATCTTGACAACCTTGTTCGCTAATGAATCGGCTTCTTTTTCTGTGTCTCCCGGCGCGACGGCCGCAAATACCAACACTCCACGGCCAATGGACGACACCAACTGCTTTTCTACCGTCACCGACGCAGATAGCACACGCTGAATAATTGCTTCATCAAGATGACCATATTAGATCCAATTGCCACAATATTATACTTTATTGTGTATATAAAAAGCCTTCAATAGCAACATAGAAGGGGGGCGATAGAGGGTAAAGTTTGGCCTACCCTTCATTGTGAGCAACTCGTAGCCGGTGCCGGCACTTGTCCCACTAGGAATGAGATAATTAGGGATGATAAGGGAAGAAACACAGTCCTTGTTCCAACAGCCCTGCCGCCAGCCCACTGAAACTAAAACTCAGAGAGAGAATAGACCAAACAAGACAAAGGGGATCTCTGTACCGAGACCGGCAGCCTCAAAGGGAACGGTTATTCAATCAATCTTAAAATGCTATGAATCGCGCATGCAAAGTCTGTGTCATGTGAGAGACCGGCGTAGTAGCCACTTATCAGACATCCCACCTTGCCAAAGTACCCTTTGATAGCCAGAGCCATCTAATTAAGACCGATTAATTGATCTGAATTGAGCAAACGGAAATAAGAAAAGTTCAATTGTGAATATATCACGCATTTCTCGCACTTTACGAGTTTTAGAATATTTATAATCGAGATACGCACAATTTCCCGCTCGCTCGGTTAATCATCGCACAGCACCAAGTACCGTGCTCCTGTTAGCTCGGTGCAGCCTCGCGACCTGGCCTCACCAACTTCAATCTCGCACGTCCATCGCCTTAAAGGCTCGATCCTGCTGAATATCGCCACAAACACCCCCGGTCAGCGCCTTGGTGTTGATTCTGATACGACCACCTCTGCCGCCTCGTTTTGCTGTGCATGACAGCTCTGCGCCCATCACGTGGTCGACGCCGAGCCTCGCCTGCATCCCCAGCCTTCGGTCACAAAGGCTGCCCCACGGAAACGGATCAAGCCACCTGCGAATTCTGATTGCGCCCTTTGTGCAAACTTCATCCAACTCCAGCACCTCTGTTAGCGACCGGATCTCACAAGAACAACCGGAAAGGACGCCGTTTGGGCTTTTCTCCCCTCCTCTACCGACAAAATGGCGGCGAGGAAACTACAACAAGAAGTCGACAAGTGCTTCAAGAAGGTGGCGGAAGGTGTCTCCGAGTTCGAGGCTATCTACGAAAAGATTGAGCAGTCAAATAACCCGGCTCAAAAAGAGAAGCAAGAAGACAACCTCAAGCGCGAAATCAAGAAGCTGCAAAGACTGCGCGACCAGATCAAGACATGGGCCGCCAGCAACGACATCAAGGACAAGGCTCCCTTATTGGAGCATCGCAAACTGATTGAGACGGTTGGTGGGCCCCAGTAACGTTGGGTATTGATGCATGCCTAGTATAGAGTCGCATGCTAATATACCCTTTTCTCCGACTTTTAGCAAATGGAAAAATTCAAGGCCGTGGAAAAGGCCATGAAGACGAAAGCATACTCTCAAGCGGGTCTCTCAGCCGCAGCGAAACTAGATCCCAAAGAGCAGGCCAAAGTCGAGGCCTGTGACTTCCTGAATAGCATGGTTGATGAACTGGAGCTGCAGATCGAGTCGCTAGAAGCCGAAAACGAGTCTATACAAGCTACGATGAAGAAAGGGAAGAACAAGATCGTCCAGGAGAACCGCATGGCCGAGATCGACCGGATAATCGAGAGGCACAAGTGGCATCAGGGCAAACTGGAGCTGATTCGAAGGACGCTCGAGAACGGAGGCATCGATACCGACGATGTCACCCTCCTCGAGGAACAAATCCGCTACTATGTGTCTGATGGCATGAACGAGGACTACATGGACGACGATGAAATATACGACGACCTAGACCTTGAGGAGGAGGAAGGTGTCTTTGGCATGAACCAGGATAACGAGAAGAACTCATCTCAGGATACTCAGTCTATACAAGACGATACCCATGATCTCGAACTGCCGGTCAAACCAAGGAAAGCAACCAAAGACTCCGACTCCACCACGTCAACACGAACGAAATCCGCGCAGTCCAAATCACCCTTACCGGCATTGGCAACGCTGCATACTCCGCTATCAACAATAGGTAGTGGGGGTAGCGGTAGCCCTGCCATGAAGCCTGCCTCTATCCCCACGAGGCCTGCTGGAGAGGGACTCAAGTATGCGTCTGCCGCAGCCGCAGCCGCAGCCGCAGACAAGAACAACGTCGGCATTGCTCCTCTGCCGCCGCCACCAGGGGTTGCTGCCGGCATCTCGCCATTACCGCCTGCGCAGTTGAAGACGAGCGCAACGAATTCTCCGGCTGTCTCGTTTGTTCAGCCGGCTCAGGCACCCGAACCCAAGCAAGCTACACCTATTGTCGCCCCCGCATCTACCTCCACGCCCGCGCCCGCGCCTCCTGCACCTGCAGAGAACGCCGAGCCCACGCCAAGTACGAAAGCGGCAAAGAAGTCTAAAGCGTCAGGAAAACAGCCGGCGGTATCTGATATACCGCCTGCTGAGTCATCAGCTGGTAAGCTGTCATTGAGAGTGCCTTATGGGTGGTTTTTTTTTCTGTATCCTCTGGCTAATATCTGATCCCTTCTAAACAAAGCAGTCCAAGCAAATGGCTCCACCAATGGTGTCAAGTCTCCTACGGAAGAGACCGAGGAGGAATCCATCTATCACCTCCCTGCGTCCCTACAGGACCTCGTTGAGTCGTATGAGACATCACGAAAACGCCCGTATCAGCCCTTATCACCTTCGACCCTGAGCTTGATGAAGGCGAGCCAGCTGAGCTACCCCAGCGCTTTTGAAGCCGACGTCCCGCGAACATACCGTCCCGATATGCCTGTGCCGCAGACTGGTTCTGGGTTCCCCACCCAGCCGCTGCCCATATTCGATGACCCCCGACTGTACTCGAGGATAGATCCCGACACTCTGTTTTACGTTTTTTACTACAAGCAAGGAACGGCACAGCAGTATTTGGCTGCCAAGGCACTGAAAGATCAAAGCTGGCGGTTCCATAAGCAGTACCAAACATGGTTCCAACGGCACGAAGAGCCCAAAAATATTACGGAGGAATTCGAGCAAGGCACCTACCGGTTCTTTGACTACGAGAGCACATGGTAAGATGATCGCCGCCATTATGTAAACAGCGTTATATAATCTCCCTTACTAACTTCTACACCACTATAGGATGAACCGAAGAAAGGCTGATTTCAAATTTGCTTACAAATTTCTTGAAGATGACATTTAGTCAATTGTTGGCTTTTGAATCTGGGATGCACGGGCTAGGCTGGGACTATCACTTATGACTTCGCTCTTGTCATCTGTGCCTTGTCTATGACTGGACTTTATTTTTAATTTCTTTGTCTTTATGGGAGTTTTCAGAGATGATTATCGTAGCTGCGAGTCTGCACTACCACGATTGGGTTTCTCAAATGGAGGGAATGACTAGTGCCAGAATAATCTATATCAGGCGGCGTACCTCTTTCTTTTCGAGGCAAGAAAATTTCATGTCGAAAATTTGTTTGCCATTTTCTTGTCTCTCTTATATTTGCCTCAGAATGATACTGAATGGGCGAGTGTGGTTGTCGCTGTTGTTGCTGAGATGCTATCTGAAATGACACAATAAGTGGACCTACAGAACCAAACAGCTTCGCCAAGATGCATACCTCTTAAGTGAGTAAACCCGCTTGTTGTCATTAAGAACTGGGAACTACCTAGGTACAGCTGAACTGTTTAGGGACAAAGCCAAGCCCCAAGAAGGAACATGCAGGCCTTGGCGAGGCACAACCAACTTCACACAGCCCGCTTAACTAAATGGATCTTGCCGCCCATAAAGATACATTGTGAGCTTGGAAAGTACTTTGCATTTATCGTGGTATTTGGGGTTGCTGCAGCAATGCATTTGTCTGACATGGCAAGGTTGGTTTAAAGAGACGTCATGGAGCCAGATGTTGATAAGTGATGGAAAAATTGCAATCGGGGATGTCCGTTCCTTATAAGACCGAGGTAACAATTAACTTCCCACAAACTGCTCAACTTACGGGAACTTACCGCCACAAGCAAACTCTCTAAACTACGAAAGGATTTCCTAATTTGATCCCGTTGCTCTAGGGTTGCCATGATAACAACAAGGTTGGGCTGAAGGAGACGTCATTGAGCAAGGTGTTGATCGCAATGTGCTGATCGATCGCGTCGAAAACTCTCGGGAATATCCGTTCCACATAAAACAAAAGGAAACAAGATTTATCCCCACAAAAACTTCTCGAGTCAACGTACTTGCAGTTTTACCATCAACTGTCACAAATGCGCGTGGTTGCATGGGGGCAGGTGGCGGATGCTACATCATGTCAAGCCATGACTCGCGAATTATCCGGGGGGCCACCACCGGCAACTTCCGCACTCTGCGACTCTGCGACTCTGCGAGGATGTACTATCATACTGACATTTGGCAGTAACGGTACATGCTGCTACGTACTGCTGCTGTCTTTATGCTTTATGTACAGACACTCCTATGCGGTAGGCGTGCAGATCCAGCCCTACGTTGTGAACTACACCCCTACAGGGACCGCAGTTGTTAGCAGGGAACTCGCTGGGTACGTTACAGTGGAAGGATTCAACTGAGCAATGAGGATTGATTGAAGTACTTTGGTCCTTTAACTTGCACTTTTCACTATTTTGGAGACAGAGAGTTGAAGGCATCAGTGAATTATACAGACAGCAACTTGTACCCTGCTAACAGTCGCGATCTCTGTGGGGTGCGCCGCCGTCAAGCTGTCTCGCCTTACGTTTACTTAGACTGCACTGCAGCTCGATCTTACCCGACTCAGTACACACGCTCCATTCTCCCCATGCCCGTCTACTAACATGCAGGTACATATTGCTTGCCGGGGGGGGAAAGAGGGGGGAGGGGGGGCAAGCTAAATCACGAAGATCTGAATGATGCTAGTAGTAGTATCATCTCACTCGCTTGATAATGTTTATTCTATGGGCCAACTGTACATTGAATGTGAGATCTCTGTTTCTCCTGCAGACAGACTTTTTGGGAGAGATTCTTGGCGCGTGGGAGGCTGGAAGGAGTGGGAACTTGCGTGCGTTGAGAAGCACGATGGGTTGAGAGACGCGAACAAGCGCATTGTACCTGCTGTACAAACGGATGTGACATGCGGGTGTTGTGGAACTGAGGAGTCGCAAGATTCCGCTTGTTGAGGCGGGCATGGCAGTGATTCAGCGAGAAGATGGAGCGGTAGCTGATTATGAGAGATCGGATGAAGCAGGTGAGCGGTGAATGAACTCGTTTGCAATGCGTTCGTAATGCGTTCGCAATGCGTATGCCTGCCTGCCTGCTTGTTTGATATTGTGATAACTAACACAAACTCTACTCTGCAGTTACAACACGACATATTTGCACCCATAAGATACTCTCAAAGCTCATCCACGAGCAGTCAATCTCCTAGTTTACAGTAAGTGACCACAAGACCATCACAAGGGGATTCCACGATGGCTTATATATCCAAGACTAGGACTTTTACGACAACTAAAGAGTGCAAAAAGCAAGGAAAGATGAGTGCCAACGAGGAGTGGGTGTCTTGGTACGAGAAGCCGCAAACGCAACAGTCCACCGACACTGGAGAGCAAAAGTCATCTCTGGGCACGGATGAGAAGGATGCCCCCATCACCGACCCCGGCAACGTCGACGTCCAGTCCGGCGTCTTCAACAAGGTTGCCAACACCTTTACGCAGCTCTTTAGTAACAAGCAGTGTCACCTCACGCGCAACCAGACCAGAACCAAGATTGGCTGGACCACCACCGGCGAGCTGGGCGTGCTCCGCCAAGAGCAAGACGCGCAGTATGAGTTTATGGAAGAGCTGGAGCAGAAGATCAAGGACCTCAACAAGGAGGTGGGGGTTCTGAAGGACCTGGTCAAGGCGTACGAGGCCAAGATGGAGCGCGACAACGACCTGCTGCAGCACTGCATGCACTGGATCACAATGGTCCAGGTCTTTGGCGACGTGCCCGTGGCGAGGGACCGGATGAGGTGGAAGCCTGGCCGGGACGCGGCACTGGTTGGGGGCAGCGAGGACGGGAGCGAGGACGGCAACGAGAACGAAGACGAAGGAGACAAAGAGACAACGATCTAGGCTGTTTTGGCAAACAACGAGACAACAATCCTCCTGCGATGGGAAGCGATAGATGCAAATGACGATGGTCATGCCCGATGGGTTGGTGGCCTTGGTTGGGGGTCATATGCAGGGCGAGATATGATACAGTATAGTGCTTTCAACTTTGGGGGCTCTTGCATGTCTCTCTCCCAAGGTTTTGCTTTCAGCCGGAGACTATTAATCTACGGCTTGCATTTAGCCTGAAGACAGATGAGAGATGATAGAGCTAAAAGGCTTTCTAGAAGCAATCCATGGATGCAAGCCAGGGGGTTAGTCTCGCCCATCCAGGGCTCATGTTCCTTTTTACCCACGACGCCACACGTCATCGTGCCTTCGGCCCTATTAGTAGTCTGTGTGTAGTATGTAGACGGAAATTTATTTTTTCCTTTGCTTTTCTTGTCAATTTATTACTGCAAAATAATTCGTTAGGTTTTTTTTTTATTGCGATATTAATTTAGTCTTCATCAATCTCCATCAGGGGCCCCTACCCAAGTGTGTCTTCCCAAGAGATCTATTGGTTGCAGCACGATTCACAGTGAGTCGGCAAGAGCAATTGCCGTCATCGAAATGCTTCTAGCCCGAGATTAAGGCAGGACTAAGACGCGGAAGCTTCTCTTTCCCACGTTTTCTCGTAAGACTACGACACGGTTAAGGCAAGAACACCCCGGCACTTTTACTACCACTACTCCCTTGCCCTGATTTTTCTCTCTTCCACGATGAAAAATTTTCTTTCTTCTCTTTGTTAATTTTCCCCCTTTACCCTTTTTTGCTTGGAGGCTTGAGAGCTTCTAGAACAACCGGGGCGTTGATCTCATTCTTGGTGTTTCTTACGTGTGTGTTTATTACAGTTTTTGTTGACCGCCTCTAGTCAGATGGCTCAGAGGCTCTAAGATTTTTATTCTTTTTTTTTTTTTTTTCACCCTCAAGGTTGTTTGACATCATCCCGTGCCCATGTTATTGGCACAGATTGCGGTCCAGAAGTAAGAGTTTGCGACGATGCCCCATCATCGGGTGGGATGAGTGGAAAAAAGCTGTTGCCGTATCACTCACATCGCGCGTTAGTTCTTCCGGCGGCGCCTGGCTATTACTCTTCTGCCCTGGGATGGGATATCGCAATTAGCACACTATCGAGGGCCCTGGTTATACTTTCTCAACGGATTCTGGACTGGGATGGCCGCATCAGCTTTGGGCTTGCCGTGGTATTGAATGCCTGTGGACGGGAGGAAAGGCTAAACGGGCAGAGGGGAGGCGCTGTTGCTTGTGGAGTTGGACAGCCCGTCAGCACGCTCTGCCCGTGCAAGTGTCGCTGGTACAGTAGGAGGAGGGTGCATGATCCCCCATCTCTGGCCGCTGATAAGATGCTGATGGAATGAGGCTAGGTGCATATGACTGCTCTGCTACATACAGCACGCACAGGCGGTGGTTGCGGCGCGCCCAGGCCCCATCATCACCAATGGCGGATAATCTTCCCTCGTGCCTCTCCTAGGGCTGTTTCGGAGCGAACTAGGAGAGAAGGACGGGCCCTGTAACGCAGCGCTCTGCATGGCGATCTCCTAGGTTTCAGCACATGCGACGGGGACCAAGGTCGGTCCTGGTCGACGATCATCTGAAGCCGCACCTTGCCTCTCTATCAGTGCCGCGCGGTGCTTTGATACTCAGAAATGTCCGTACACTACGCTGTAAACCCGCAAGTGGAGCAGGAAGACATGGCCTGTCTGTTTGTCCATTCCCTTGCATAACCCAGCAGATCCTCTGGGTTATCGCTAAAGGTGTTAAGGGTAGGCCCTAGTATGAGCTGGATGGGGCGCAGGACGAGAAAATTCAGCCATACGGAGCACGCGCCAGGTCTCACCTCTGAGGACGCCCGACCAGGTACGCTTACACGAATACAGACCAGACCTCTCTCTATTCTATGGAACGCGGCCAGAAAGAGGTTGTGATCTCGATCGTGGCTGCAGTCTAGAAGAGAAAAGGAAGGGTATCAGTGCTCGACGAAATAGTGTTAAAGCGGGCTCGCTGAATCTATTCAGTTGAGTTGCTTGAGTCCTCAGAGAGCTCACGATACTGACATCTGTAGAGTTTTGAGCACATCAGCCACCTGGTGGCAGGACTAGGAGTTTTTGGAATGACCCGACGGGGATTCGGTTTATTTGGTTTTCCCTTTTACGTGTGTAAACACGGCCATTGGTTCAACACACTCTGGACGTCTCAATAAGGCAAATCGTGTAGGCTATTTGGTGCTTTGTGAGAGATTGACAACGACGACTTGTCTGTTCAGTGGACGCCGCTGCTGCTACCAGTACTTGGACTGACACCCTCCGTGGTCGTTCCCTCTCCGGGAATAGAGGCGTCACTAGCTCGCTGTCGGTTCGCTATTGGCTGCGATATCTATTGCCGACGTACATGAGGACACACACCTTGAGGCCCATAGTCGGGCTCCCGTGCTGGACGTCTGGGATATGGGATATGGGATTCGCTGCACTACACCCACACCTATGCACGTAAGGTGGGGGGAGGGGACCAGGTAAGAGGGGCCACGATGCTAGCAACTAGCGAAAATTGCCAAGATGCTAATCCCTACCAGGAGATAGCTTACTACCCGAAACGGCTTCTCGTCTTTTATAGGGATTTTACAACTTCGCAATAGTCTGGCCGACTCGGCAGATAGCAGCCAGTGCTCTAAGACGGGCAACTGATCTTTTGGGCGGTGTCTACAGCATCTGTACCGGCCTTGCAGCAGGCTGTTTGATGCTGTAACTATGGGCTGTATGGGCTGTATGGGCTGTATGGGCTGTATGGGCTGTATTCGATCACTCATCACCAAAGATATAGGGCCTGAAAGAGAACCTTTTCGTGAGACCCTTGCCGGCTTTGATATTGATATTGACATCGAGAGACAGACGTTATAAAGAAGAACGTGGCACCCAAAACCCGAAGCTCGGCGGCAGGACATGTGGTGATGGCAAGCCACTACCAGTCGACAACGATGGCTTTTTTCCCCCCCTAGTGGTGGCATCTTCAGCCAAAATCTCGGCCATCGGGTCAACCAAAGCCTTGTGGGCGGGATGCCTTCTCAAAAGAGTGTCATCCGCGATACTAGCTTGTCTAGCTCCAGCAAATTTTCCTTTGACAGCTTGTGCGGCTGAACCTGGTAGCCACATGTTTCCATATCATTTACCTCTTGTTAGTGAGTGGCCCTTTTACGCGAACCCGGGCCCAAAGCTTGTACTTACCATGACTACCTACTTAGTAGTAGTAGTGCTCGTAATTGCCTGTATCAAGTCCCTTGGCATGGCAATTCTTTGCGTTAGGGGTCCCGAAAATCCCCCACTCACTTAAATCAATATCAAAAAAATCTTCCCCGACCAGATGCCATGGGTATCTTACAATTCAGCATCCTGTTATTCAGTCGGTGGAGCGCGAGGTACATGAAGACTCGGCGCTAAAGGTCACGACAATCGAGATACGCTGTGGTCATCGCAAATTGTCGGTTTCGGCAGATTCGGCAGCGCTAGGTTCTGCTCGCGTTCCTCAACCTCGATTGGCCAATTCAGTCGACTCCCGAAAAGGCATACGGCGGCAGAGTAGCAAACAACAACGGCGCAGAAGACTCGAGGAAGAAAGCAACAGAGAGGCCAGAAGCCCATGCGAATGGGGCCCCCAAACCCTCTCCACAGAGCTCTAGCCTTCCGCACGTTGCCATGCCCCGGTCTCTACCCGTCTACGGCTCTGGGCCACGGGTGGCCAGTAGTGCCTCCGAACTTGGCATGTATACGATACGATGCCCTCAACCACTGTGACGCCCCTCTGCATAGGGTTTATGCTGCATAACGCTTAGCGTCCAGTTCTACGTCACCCTCAGAGCACTTTCTGAGGAGTCCCCACCATTGCACTTCCGCCCTGCCGGATCCTATCCGCGCTAAATCTAACATCTCTTCTAGAAGCCCGGGCCATACCATAACGATGGGGTGGTGTATCTACAGCGCCGGACAAGTACTGTACGAGAGTACATGCAAGCTCCAGAGACGGTTCGTTATCTGTTGCTCTAGTACTGGGTGCAAATATACACGACCCTCCCCCCTGTCAAATCTGGGATTGACAAGCCACGCATATATACTTGGGCATGTATCGTCCCTTGGGAGCTGTGGACTCATAAGCTTTCGACTGCCCTCGTCTTGACGCTCTGTTGTCTTGAAGCATCTTTTCTTATATCACTCCATCCCCACTGCCTTGATCATCACAATCATCCTCTTCCTCTCTCTTGTCCTCCCTCTACATCAAAGGTGACGCTGGTTGACCAATTTTGATCCAATTGGCAATACTGAGCAACGCGCATACCTACCACTACGCTTATACCTCTCTCTCTATACATATATATATTCGGTTTTGCTCGACTTGCGCGAGCAATTGCTTATCATAAAGAAGCTTCAGGGAATGACTCCCCCCAACGCGAGCACCATGAGCGAGGAGATGCAATCCAGCTTATACCAGCTCTTCAGCGAAGCTCAGTTGTATGATGAGTGCCAGATTTATGGAGCGGCTCCTCTGTGCGAAGAGAACCTGCCATACAGCGACTGGTTCTCCTACGGCGTAAACGACTACAGCTCCATGGCAGATGGTTCTGAAATCTGCGATTCACACTCACAGCCGCTGTCTTCGTATGGAGGCTCAGAGGGCTGTTCGGAGGCGAGCTCCCCCGCATCGCCGGTGTCTACGGACTCGTTCTTCTCACAGCAGACCTCGCCGGCCCCCAGCTTATCTTGCTTCCCGTCATATGCAAGCAGCAGCACGCCTGCAACGTCGGCCTATAGCAGCCCAGATGCCACGGCTAGCCAAGAAGTGGCTTCACCAACAGACTCACTAACGTAAGTTGCTTCGTGTGCCGCCCAACCGCCAATCGCACTTTACGATTAACCATTTTGAGCGTAGGTTTGCCTCCAATGGCCGCGATTATCCTGTGTGTTGCTTACATCCCGGCTGCGATGCGAAACCTTTTAAGCGTCGCGCCGATCTCGACCGCCACTACAAGCACAAGCATGCGCCGGCCTCCCAAAAGGAAGCGTATCACTGCGATTACGCCCGCTGCGGCCGGCGGCGCGATCCCTTTCATCGCCGCGACCACTTTCGCGACCACCTGAGGGACTTTCACAAAGAGGACATTGAAAAGCGCGGCGTGGCGGCAAAGGAAGACTGGTTCGAGGGCCGCAATGCCTCCATCACCTGGTGGCGCTGCACCAAGTGCCTGAAGCGAATCTACATCAGCCGCCATGGCTACGAATGCCCTACTTGCAAGACATCCTTGCAAGCGAAGCGGAAGGAGATTCGCCGGCGAGAGTAGCCAGAAAAGCAACACTAGAGAGGAGCTCGGCGACCAGCCCCCAAATTCGCACCCGCGGGACAGCTTTATCACCAACCAATACTCTCGTACACGCATACTACAGTCATCTACGCCCCCCTCCACCCCCCTTTATGACTAAACCCGCGCCGGCCGCACCCCTACCTCTCTCTCTCTCTCTCTCTCTCTTTACTGAAATACCAACATATACTGTACTGTACCATGGGGTCCTGCGCAAGCTAGCCAAACAGCTTTGGCGCTGGATCCGTCAAAGTTTCAACCTACATCTGCCGACATACCATTAGAGCGGCTATACTTCCGAATGAATCTTACGAAAAAGGGCTTTTGTTGTTTTTATCCGTGACTTGTTATTACTATTTTTCTTTTTTGTCTTAGCATAAGCCTGGGGAGGGATCTTTTGTTTTTTTACATGCAGGCAAAGAATCCCATGTGTTGCATTTTACTACGGAGTATATACAAGAATCTTGATACCACCTAGGCAGTACCTAGCAGCAAAATACAGACAGACAGATCTACTACTACTACTACTACTACTACTATACAAGCTGTCAAAATCTCTTGATACTACTACTACCTGCAAGTACTGTTACTCCGCACCGTTTCCGTTTCTTGTCTCTCTGGTGCGGAGTAGCTACCGTACGGTTTGCTGCAGAGCCTCTGATTCGCCTGTTCGGAATATGGTCTGTTGCGGCACTAGCAGCAGGAGTAACTACATGTCGCTATTGCTACTAGCTACCTATAGCTAATACTGCATTGAATTGTCTCTAGGTCTTTTGATCTCTGAGTCTCACGCCGTTATTGTTTTTCTCATCTCGTTCAGCTGGCCAAAACGCGTGGCCGGTGGCTGAATGGCTGAGAAGGCGCCTGCCTTGTGCTTGGCACCTGACCTTTTCTTATTTTGTTTGATTCACTTGACAATATTATTCCCCTTTTTGGTACCTTTTTTTGTTATTCCTTTCTTGTTGGGTTGCCTGCTCTAGTAAGTACAGGAGATCCTTCGTCTTTTTCTTTAACCTATTTACTACAAGTACTATGGGCAAAGAAATAAAAAGCGGGGTCGCTTTTACGAAGTACTAAAAACGGCCCCAGTCACAGTCAGCCCTGCAAGAAAGAAACGAAAACGAAAATGAAAATAATCAACCGTTTATCAAGAAATTGAGCAGGGATTGTACATTTACATTGATTTAGGTACAGTATGGGACGGAGAATCTTGGGGCTGGGGCTGGCAATCTCGGCAACTGGAACCAACAACAGCAGGAAAAAAGAAAAGAAAAGAAAATAAAGGGCTAAATACGTTACATACACAAAAAGCCGTTATTTGGTGGCGCAATTTTTTATTGCTTCGATTGAGCCAATGGGAATAACTGACGAGGGGGTGTTGAATCTCGTTTTGGGATCAATTAGGTTACTACAGCGGGTGTTTAAAAAGGGGTGGGCTAGATAGTCCAAAACAAAAAGTACGTAGCGCCTAACACGTTTTGGGAAGAATGGTTTAGAAGAACAAAGCATAGGCACTTTCGGCAGTTCAACATTGAGGATCAGAAAAAGGCATAGCTCTCAGGTGGGCGTTTGGGATGGAACGGAAGCTACATTCCGGCGAAATCCTGGGTTTTTCTCGGTCTTCAATCTAAATACTGGATTTTACTGTTGGGGGTTTCCTGTTTTTGGGAATTTTCTTATATTTGGACTTGCCTTATTCAGCAGTGATGGACTAGACGTTGAAGATGCCCCAGCGCATATCACACCTAGTATTAGGTGGGCCAAATAAACACTCGGGTACGATTCATTTTCCTGGGCTGACGAGACGGGTATCGCTGCGGCTCAGGCGTGGCGGCGGCGGCTATACGCGATAGTGTCGGAGTAACGTCCGGTATCAGGGAACTCGGGGCGGAGCTTTGTTCAGCACCACCTGTGCAAAAGTGTTATCGAAACCTAGTTGTCAAGATCACAAACAGAGGCTCTCGGAAATCTCTTTGTCTCTTTGTCTCTTACAACTGTGCTTGTATCACTGCCTTCAAGGTAGATGAGACTTCGTGTCTCTGGCCAATCATCCCTGCGCATCGTTCCATTGCTGCACAAGTCGTTTACTCCTCCAATCAGTTGACCTTTGTTTCACCTGTCAATTAGCCCACGTTAACCTACTCTTCAAACGCCACCGTCGAAACTAACTTTGCACCAGCACACAGCTTCATGGCCCGTGGCTCCGTACGCCACGGCCAAAACACGAGGCCGAAGGGGCTAGCTGGACCTGCGAGATTGGCTTGTGTAAACTTTGAGTGTTTAGTCCCAGTAATTGCTGTTCCATCGCGGCCGGTTGGCCAAGTTGTTAGGTACGTAGGAGCTTTTAGGCTTGCACGCACGCAGTAGGCATCCCAAGCCAGTTGGGGGTGAGCTGAAGCCGACTTGCTCGAGGCAGACACTGGATAGGTCGGCAAAGTTCCCCTCTCTCTAGGGCTCTGAGTGCAGCAGTAGTGCTCCGCTGTCTCTTCCTGCACTGGCGTAAGGCTGGTGGCGACTATCTGTCTCTGGAGATTTTTGGAGAATGGGGGTAGCTCTGGGAGCACTAACGTGTATCCCTATGCATGCAGCTCACGTACGAGCCATGCATACGTATAGCGGCGGCAGCAGCTTGCTCACGGCATCGATTTGGATGCTTTCCCGATGCTGTTTGCTCGAGACACGTTTTTCAAACAAGTCGCTCTTTCGATCCTCCTTGTGTCTTAGCTTTGCCCTGGCGGATATACCAGTATACGCCTATTGTCACCAGGCTGGTAAGGGGAGGTGAGCTAATCATCTCCCCTCGCATGTTTTCCGTCTTGCCGTCGGATCATCAGCGGCATCATCAGCGGTAATTCGGGCATTGTCCTATTAGTGTTGCCTCTTGACCTGTACCTTTTCTCCTGCTCTGTCTCCATTCCAAATTCTGCAATGGCGAATGTTACAGTACAGGTATGAGTCCTATACACCCATTCATGACGACTTGCGGCATTCAATGGCGGAAGGTGATGGCATCATCACTGCACGAATAGGCAGCTGGACGGTCAGGCGAATCAGATCAGCAGTTGGGACTGCTATACGAATATACGGCTGGCTAATCCGACGAATCACGCGGCGACAGGTGCTGTGAGACGAAGCTGCCCCCCTCGCTTTCCCTGACTTGGCCAGGACCCTTGGCTGCACCGCTGAATAGCTTATTGCCATCCTCATGCCAATCTTAAATTCAGCATCCAGCGCCACGGCGCTTTGTTCGGCCACACAGGCGCGGAACATCACCGCCGATGGCCATCCCGCCGGTGCTTGGCCTCCGTCGGCACGTGGCCGTGGCTTGCGTATCCCACATGAGCTCCACCGTGCCATTCGGAACCGGCTGCTGGTGGAGTCGCAAGCTGCCGCCTTGGTGTGAGTTCTGTGTCCGCCAAGCTACGGCGCGACTTCATCCCACATATCAAGGATGGCTTGGACCTCGAAACATGTCCCCGTCCAAAGGGCAAAGAAATTTCCCATCAAGAATCCGTTGGCTGGGGATTCTCAGCAAGCTCTATCCTTGCAAGTGCAAATAGCGGCGCAATCCCATGACCCCCACTTGTTGGCCATCCGAGTGCATCCGTCCTGGTGCTTTTGCAGCTTCTGACTGCACTAAAAATTCGGCAGTTGTGTTTTCTCGACTTGGTGTGGGTCTGGTTCCTTACTGTAACAGGTGCTTCGTTCTCGTCACCAGTTCGGTTATATGCTTCGAAAGGGCATGGACACGCAAATTGTTCACGGCCAGCCGCCAAACCGTCTTTTCAACTTCACACTAGGTTCTTGGAGGGCGCTGTCGCAGTCAGCACGGATGGGCAGCATCGCAATTGCCAGTCCCTGGGGCACGGGTGTTGGGAGAGGTCTGTCAATATCGGCATTCATATCTGTCGTCCTTTGGGCACCTGGAACTCGGGCACGTCTTGGTTCAGCCACGCCCTCCAAACATCCTCTTCATTCATGCCAATCTTGGCAGATTCTCGGCCATTGCCAACCTCTACAGCCATGCTACTAACGGAGCTAGTCGCGCTCGTCGCTGGCGGTCTTGCGTGTGGTGATAGCGCGTCGGTATAAGTTGTCATCAGGCATTGAGATTTTGCCGGTCCTGCCCTATCAAAGTGCTCTGTCAGATCGTAAAACTTGCGGCGATATGCGGGACGATTGTTTTCTGGAGAAAAACATGGTAATGGACTCATGGTAGATGACGAGAGCCCTGGAATAAACTCGTCAATGACGTATGAAGTATTGTCCATAGTGCTTGCGATGCACCGAGATTCATCTGCACTTGAGCTTGGCGACGAGCTATTATACGTAGGGTCGCGTATGGAATTTCCTGCTTCGCTCCATTGATAACTTTTGCTTCCAACTCGTATCCTAATCGTTGTATCGACGGGAGGAGGAATCATCTGGCTCAGTCTCCTCTTTCTAATGCCTCTCTGGTCACCAACGCTTGGCTGAATTTCGCGATGGCTAGCGGGATTTGCAGACTGCCGCTGCCGCTGCCCAACAACTTGCCTAGCAGCGGTTGAATAACCTCTTTTCTGCGCGGGTTTTACTATTGAAACTTTCGGCAGTTTACTTTGCATGAAATCTTCTTCTTTCAGGAGTCTCCGCCGCTCCGCCTCTAGGCCAGAGGTGCCTACCAGATGGTCTTTTGTCGAATGATTATTGAACACGGCTGGCCCGCTCGTCTGGCTCGGTGTTACAACGCTTGACGGCCGTTTAGCAGCATCGTGTTGCATGGATTGCGATGGACTGGCCAAGTTGGCCGATGCTTCTTCAGAGGTGCCCAGAGGCACTGGTAGCGCAGAGGGAGAGCTTGATCTGGCCACCCTAGCAGCTGCATTCGATGCGACGAAATAGTTGGGAATAAAATTGGCGGCAGATAGAACCACAGGGCTGGTTTTTGCTTGCTCACGCTGCCAAGAGCGGGCCTTTGCGAAATATTGCTCTTGGTTTGCCAAGTCCTCTTTCCGGCCCTTTCCTCGACGATGCCGAGAGAGATTGCCTCCCACCCAGTTCATGATGAGAATTCTTTGCGAAGAAATAGAGAAGCAGGGCCTGGGAAATTCTTGGAGCGAAAGGAGGAAACGGCTACATTCGGCGTCGGAGATGGAGATGATGGATGAGAGGAGATGATGAGAGGATACAGCGGTATGGCAGAATGCTGTGACGAGACGAGGGGATTGCAAGGCAGAGATTCTGATGTGCAATCCAAGAGCAAGAAAAATCAAGCAAGGAGATGCTCGCAGCGGACAGGCACCGCAGGAGGCACCTGCCACAGGTCTCCCATCACTGGCGCCATTCACTGAAAGGCAGCGGCACGAACAGGCAATATCGGACAAATACCGGCCTAAGAGAAGGCATTTTTTGCTTCTACTTCTTTTTGATATTGGAAAAGATGGACTCTTGCGTCTTTTGGCATGCAGACCTGTGAAGCTCTCCCGAATACGTGGTGAGCAGCGACTACTACCTGTAGGTATACAGCGTTTGATTCTGCCCCTGCCTATCCAATTGGGCATATGTGCAAAGGAAACACGAACGGTGGGTATGCATTGTTCTCAACTATACTTTTCATATCTGGGACATGTATAAGCCTCGATTTGATGGCTGAATGAAATCTCCATCTACTTTGATATAGTCGCGTGTATATGATTTTTTTGGCTTTGGTCAAGGTGCGCTCAGCTCAGCCGATGCAAGTGGGTTACAGTATGCAATACCACAGTGCGCAGAGCCATTACTGTGCAAGCTCCAGTGGCCACCTATGACGAAGGTGCATCAGGGCGGCAGAAGCGCCAAGTACCACCTCCAGCCAAGGGAGCTGCACATCTCTTCAATTCAGCACCAACAACAGTAGCTTCGCTGTCCCTTTTCATACCCAATCAACTGAAAATGGCAGACGCAGACGAGACACAAAAGCAGAAGCTTGCTGCCGCAAGGAAGCGCGTGAGAAGCCCCAGCGGATGCTCGGCCAAGCTGCCCCATCAGGGTGCATGTGCATGTAGCTAACAGGACGCTTCCAGGTCGAGCAAATGAAGAAGAAGAAGAAGAATAAGGAGACTTCCGGCTCAAAGGCAGAGCCCAAAGAGGAAGTAGAAGCGCCCGCGCCCGAAGCTGTCGAAGACACCGCAGACCAACCCCCGCCGAGCCAGGATGCAGACGACACGGCTGTCGAACAAGGCAAGGCTGAGGACAAGGCTGAGGACGAGCCTGGAGACCAGCAAGACGACAAATCAGAAGACAAAACAGAAGATAGGCCAGAGGACAAGGCCAGCGAGTCGTCACCGTTTGAAACGCCATCCCTAGCACAGCAATCAAAGCTCAGATCAACTTCTTTCCGCGCCGGCTCGCTTGCAAGCCCGGGGCCAATGTCGCCTGGGCCCTTTAGCCCCGAAGGCGACACAGCACCCGACATCTACAGGAAGCACGTCGCAAGGATAGAAGAGCTAGAAAAGGAAAACAAGCGTGTCACCAAGGAGGCTGCCGACTCGGAGAAGAGATGGAAGAAGGCAGAGGAAGAGCTGGCTGATCTACGTGAGTCTGATGGCAAGGATGGCAAGGACAGCCAGACAGAGACGTTGGTACGTATAGCCCGAGCAAACAGCATGCTTGCATCGGCCCAGACGTTTCCATAATTACTTACCAACGGCGCCGCAGAAGGAGGAAATCGCGTCTCTTCAGCGCCAAAACTCTCAGCTGCAGCAACAAGTATCGCGGAATATAGGCCATGGCCATCGCCAGTCAGTATCAATCACAGCATCGCCGCCATCATTACAAGCCGAATTGAATGCCAAATCAGCCACGATTGAGTCTATGGAAATTGAGATTTCAAAGCTGAAAGCCCGAGTTGAACGCCAAGAGAGCGGCGCATCTTCGGAAAGGGAGCAAATCACTGCCCTCGAGGACAAGGTTGCCCGGGCCGAAGCTGCGGCAGGCAAAGCTCAACGCGAGCTGCAAGATTTGAAAAAGAATTTAGAGCGTACGACAGAAAAGGCCGTTCGTGAAGGCAGCGAACGAACCAGCGCAGAGACCAAGGTGAAGACTCTGGAACACGACCTGGACGAGGTTAACAAGGCCAAAGAAGAGCTAGAGAAGAAGACGGAAGCGCTCGAAAAGAAGGTCGCAACATTGACTACGCTGCACAAAGAGCAAGATGCTCGGTCACAAGCGCTAAGGAAAGAGAAGGAGAAGGCAGAAAATGAAGCCCAGGAGCTGCGATCCAAGGTGGAGAATCTAGAAAGCGAAAATGTCAAGCTTCGAAGTCGCAAATCTGCAGAAGGAGGTGGTGGCCTTGACGACGAGGGCGTTGATGAGCTCGAAGACGAAGGAAGACTCAAGCTAGAGAAGAAGATTCGCAGCCTCGAGGCAGAGATTCATGAGCTTCGCAGCGGTGCCTGGATCGAGAGACGGCGCGAAATGGAAGCCATTAGTCCTGGATTCGACGACGTTGACCTCTCAGGTAACAACCACCCTCCTGCGCACAAGAAGGGGTCGACTGGCGGTATTGGTGATTTCATCGCCCACGGACTAAATGCACTGGCTAGAGGTGGAGATGATGAGCTGTTGGCGGATGACGACATGGAATTTGATGAGGAAGCCTTTAGAAAGGCGCACGAAGAGGAGGCGAAGAGGCGGATCGAAAGGATCAAGGAGATCAAGCGCTCGTTGAAGCACTGGGAGGGATGGAGGCTGGATATTGTGGATGTGCGCAGAGGAGGAGGGCAGGGAATTGGAGATATATTTGACATTTGAGCAACCGATGCTATGAATACGAAATAGACGAATGAATTAGCTTATCTCAGCCAAATCACCGATTCATCGACTGTGAAAATGATTACGGAGCGCAAGCGTTGCTACATGCTTGGTACAACGAAAGTGACATCATACGACGAATAACGGAGATTTTTCCCATCAGGGCTGTTGTATAAGCGTGGGGTCAGGCTAAAAGAACCTGGAAGCTTTCATTAAAATTCAGATTCTTTACCTTCACTTACCTGCTGACCTTTGCACGTTCTTTTTCCCTCCATCTCTCAACCATGGCGCCGGCTCAAAAGACGTTCCTCATCACCGGAGCCGGGCGGGGCATCGGCCGGGGCCTGTCCCGGATTCTCCTCCAAACCGGCCACCGCGTGTTTCTGCTGGACAGCAACAAGACCGAGCTGGACCACACCGCCGGGCTCCTCGCAAAATCACACCAGCGCGGAAAGGACTTTGACACGGCGCTGTGCGACCTCCGCCAGCCGCGGCAGATCTCGGCCGCGGTCGAGCAGGCCGACAAGCTGTTTGCGAGCCGGCTGGACTGCCTGGTCAACAACGCGGCGTACACGGGCGGCGTGGGCGGCACGAGCCTGGCCGAGATGACGCTGGACGAATGGAACCGGAGCATCGAGACGAACCTCACGGCGCCGATGCTCATGACGCAGGCGTGTCTGGGGATGCTGCGCGCCGCGAAAGGCTGTGTGGTGCATGTTTCGTCGACGCGGGCCGTCATGAGCGAGCCGGACAACGAGGCCTATTCGACGACAAAGGCTGGATTGCTGGGTATGGCGCAGAGCATGGCGGTGTCGCTGGCGAGGGACGGCGTACGCGTGAGTAGCGTGCTGCCGGGCTGGATTCACGTTGGAGATGAGTGTAAGGATGCGGATGAGAAGGGGACGAAGTGGGAGGACGGGCTGGGCGAGGCGGATATGAAGTGGCAGCTTACGGGGAGGGTTGGCAAGGTGGAGGATGTTGCGAGGGCGGTGGTTTATTTGGTGGAGAGTGAGGGCGTGACGGGGGTTGAGATGGTGGTGGATGGGGGAGTGACACGGAAGATGGTGTATCCTGAGTGAAGACAATGATATGAAGATTGGTGTTGGTGTTTGAGGTTCAGCCGAGGCACGCGTGTAAATGGCGTGCAGTTGTGCATCGTCACGAGGGGCGGAGGAGAGTCTCAGCTAGATTGATCCTACAACGGCGTTATGATGTGCAATGATGTACTATATCTTTTTTTTTCCCCTTGCATTGCGATTTAAGTAGTAGTATTGGCATCATGATTTGCCTAACGGGTGTGGTTGCACGGCTGCAACTCCAAAAGACGCTCGTGGCCGGCTTCTCCTCATTTTGGGGCCTCAGGTGAAACCAACCCCCGCACGGAGTTTTGTGTGGTTATAGCAGCTGGTTAAGATTCTCTTTCTCTGTCTTTCTAGTCGTGCGGCTGAGCTCGGATAAAGGGATGTAAAAGTGTGTGTGGTGGTGGTGGTAGCATGGGGTTTGGAAAAAAGTTGGAGATGGTGGCTTACAAGTACACTTTAGAGTTGGCATTGACAGGTGCTTCTGCAGCACGGACAGTATAGAGAAGCATGCATTGGAAAACCTACGTCAGTGTCTTTTTATCTTATCTTAGCATAGTAGTCAGGTACATACATAATAGCAGTGACTGAGCCAAGGCTCCTACATCGGCCCCGATTTAGAGCTACAAGAAAAAAATAAAGAGAAGCAGAGAAATAGAGATTGACTCTGGTAATAAAATCCTGTCAAAGTTACTAGTAATTCCCGGACCCTGGGCAGTGGAACCCCCCGCCTTGATTGAAGAGGCACGCGCCATTGTGTCTGTAGGAAAAGAGCTGCTGTTTTACACCATTGGCTCGGCTTAAATCCCAAAACAAGGCAACAAAGGAGACAAGTAAAGTGCCTAGCAGAGATGAGCAACCAAATGAAGAAAAACCACTCATTTATTTTCCCAGTTTTGCCGCGTTGGATGTGACGGGAGGGCATGATTAATCAGTGTATCTGGTACAGTAGTCATTAATTGCTGCTCTTAGTATGGGATTGACGATGGGTCCCGGCTCCGTTTGTCGGCGATTGATAACGATATCGAGCTACTAATTTATATAGCAACGAGTTTCATCACTTCGTCCTTTCTTCTCTTTCTTCCCGTACCGTCAACAACTTTTTGTGCTTCAAGGTATGTCGAATATGCTCAATCATCCTCCATGTCATTGATATTAAAAATCCCACGCAGCCCCAAAAGTCAATTCCCCTCAGTCGATCTCCGTTCGGCTCCCCGCGCGTTCTCCGATTCAAGCGCTGCTGCACCCCACCTTCTTTTCTGAGGTTACCTTACTTTTTGTCGCAATCGCATCTCAGCGCATCGCATCGGCTAAATATCCGTTGCGCCAGCCCAGCGTCGCCACCTGGGGAAACAAAACAAAAGAGAAAAGCAAGCAGCCTGTGACTTAGTTCTCTTATTCTAGTGCCGTCGCAAAGAAGAAAAGAAAAAGAGACATTCGAAACCAAACGAAAGAGAAGACCAAAGCTAGAAGCCTCCTACTTACTAGCGGCTCGTCATACAAACGGATCGTCCCGCCGATTCGGCTACCAACGTCTGCGATACCTCGGGAAACCCTCCTTGGAACCGCGAACCGGCCTCTCTTCTCACCCTCTCGTTTGACCTTTTGCCCCCCTAACCAAGTGTTTGCCGAAATTCTTGGATTAAAAGCTCGCCCATCATGAGTGCCGCCGCTCCTCGTCTCCTCTCCTCTCTATCCCTTCGCCGGGCCGCTACCCTCCGTCCTCTACAGCCTCTTCGACCAGCCTCATTTGGCGCCGTCCAGACTCTCTCCATTTCCGCAATCTCAGCTCGCAATATGGCCACTGCCAGGAAGATCAAGGTCCAGAACCCCGTCGTGGAGCTGGACGGTGATGAGATGACCCGCATCATCTGGAAGAGCATCAAGGACCGCTTCATCTTCCCGTATCTCGACATTGACCTCAAGTACTACGATCTGGGGCTGGAGTATCGTGATGAGACCAATGACCAGGTCACTCTCGATGCGGCCGAGGCTATCAAGAAGTACTCGGTCGGCGTCAAGTGCGCCACCATCACCCCTGACGAGGCCCGCGTCAAGGAGTTTAACCTCAAGCAGAGTGAGTTTAAGAACTCAAGCGGATATTCTCAACAGTACGGCTAACCTTCTTCTTAGTGTGGCTCTCTCCCAACGGCACCATCCGCAATGCCCTCGGCGGCACCGTCTTCCGCGAGCCCATCGTCATCGACCGCATCCCCCGCCTCGTCCCCGGCTGGAAGCAGCCCATCATCATCGGCCGTCACGCCTTTGGCGACCAGTACCGCGCAAAGGACCTCGTTGCCTCCGGCCCCGGCAAGCTGGCCATGGTCTTCACCCCCGAGGGCGGCCAGCCCCAGGAGATTGAAGTCTTCCAGTTCAAGAACGGCGGTGGCGTTGCCCAGACCCAGTACAACACGGACGAGTCCATCACGGGCTTTGCGCACGCCTCGTTCAAGCTGGCCCTGGACAAGAAGCTGCCCCTGTACATGAGCACCAAGAACACCATCCTCAAGAAGTACGACGGCCGCTTCAAGGACATCTTCCAGGAGCTGTACGACACGCAGTACAAGACCGAGTTTGAGGCCAAGGGCATCTGGTACGAGCACCGTCTCATTGACGACATGGTTGCTCAGATGATCAAGAGCTCCGGCGGCTACATCATGGCCCTCAAGAGTGAGGCTTTTCCTCCCCACATTCTCCAACTATCACACAACTGACTTCTTTTCACAGACTACGACGGTGACGTCCAGTCCGACATTGTCGCCCAGGGCTTCGGCTCCCTCGGCCTCATGACCTCCGTCCTCATCACCCCCGACGGCAAGACCTTCGAATCCGAGGCCGCCCACGGCACCGTCACCCGCCACTACCGCGAGCACCAAAAGGGCCGCGAGACCTCGACTAACCCCATTGCCTCCATCTTCGCCTGGACCCGCGGCCTTATTCAGCGCGGCAAGCTCGACAACACCCCCGAGCTGGTGGCCTTTGCCGAGGGCCTCGAGAAGGCCTGCGTCGACACTGTTGACGTCGACGGCATCATGACCAAGGACTTGGCCCTGGCGTGCGGCAAGACGGGCCGCGAGGACTATGTCACTACGAATGAGTATCTGGATGCTGTTGAGAGGAGGCTGAAGGCTTCGCTGAAGGAGAAGCTGTAGAATCGCTTTCTCTGGATTATTGGGCCTAAAGGGCAAACAATTACAATAAGAAATGGAAAAAAAAAAAAATGTGGAGAGATGAGAAAGAGAATGTAAGTTGATGTTGGGGGGAGGAATGCACTGTATACCACATGTACCATTGAAGTTGAAAGTTATTCTTTTCTATATAGGTAGAGACGTCATGTACATATATAGAACTTTTAGACTTGAGCCGTCTAGAAAATGGAAATAAGGGTACGAATCAAAATAAGCAGTTTCACAACCAGTGCTGCATCATCGTTTATTCGCAGTCCTGGCTGGCTTGTTCTTTTCTTCCATCCATTTTTCCTCGTCTGTTAGAGTACATCTATTATTACCAACACGCATGAAAATTCTCAAAAAAGTAAGAATAATGAAAGGATAAAGAAAAAGTGAGAGAAAAAAGACAACAAGAAACATGCAATAGAAACCCCCGAGAAAAGTTCCTGGTATTCTGGTACAAATACAACCCTCCCGTCCCGTCCCCTAGAGAGTTACCTCAAAAACTGCAGGGAGCTTTTTTCCTTTTCCCCCTTACCGTATCCGTCAAATAAATGAAGCCTCCTCATTTTTCTCCATGCCTCTTCTTCTTTCAAAAGCGCCGTCGTCAAGGCAGGGAGATAGAGATTAAGATATCATGATCCAGAAGCTTGTCCTTGAACATGCATTCTAGTAAAACTCGTAACAGTCACACAATATTAAAAGGGGTCTTCCAACATATCTAATCGTCCTTGTTAGCCGCGGCCTCCTTCTTGGACTTGCGCACCGTAGGCGTCGCTTCGACGTCGCTCTTCCGCTTCTTCTTTGTCGGCCGGCTCGAAGACCCCCTAGGCTTGTAGCCGGTATCATCATCCCTCTTCCGCTTACTGCGCGCCGTTACGGGCGTCGCCGCGAACTCGCCATCGTCGTCCATGCTGGCATCTGCGTCTCCACGCTCGGCCGCGCTGATCCGCGATGCCGCGCCCGTCTTCTTGCTCTTGCCGCCGCTGGCTTTGCCGCCGCCACGCTCACCCTTTGCGCTGCCGCGTGGCTTTCGCGCGCTGGAGTGGCCGCTGCCGGGCCCTGTGCCTGCGCCCGCTTCATCATCAGCATCGCCGTGTGTTTCTCCGTCTTGAAGGAAGATCTTTGGGGCGTGCTTCCGTAGCCAGTTCGTGACGCTAGTGGGATTCTTGGCTTGCGGGTTTGAAGGGGCGTTGGCGGCTGGGTGGGCGAGCGGCGCCATCGTGGGCAAGGCTGAGTCTGGGTCGAGGCCGGTGTCGATTAGGTAGATGTAGTCGTCGACGTCGTCGGCGGAGAGGAAGTGTGCGGGGTGGGACTCGCCATCGAGAGTGCTCAGATCGGCGAGGAACGTCGAGTTTGACTCTTTGGCAGAGCCGTAGGTCGGATGGGGCATGTCGAGCAGCTTGTTGAGCTTCTTCATGGCTTCGTCCTTGTGTGACTGGCGTTCGCGGTCTATCGGCAGGCAGGGGGCGCTCTCATCGGAGGGAGGCTCAAGGGCGAGGTCTATCCGTCGCTCTGGAGGGATCTGTGGAGAGTTGTTGACCTCTACGAGGAGATCTAGTAGTCGGCTGCAGAAGAGAACAGCTCAGTTAGTTTTCGTGGCTCACTCCATGGCGCATTGGGATGGGAATGACTGCTGCCAACATACTCGTTCTCTATGGCCAGGCGCTTTACCGTGGACGCGGCTTTGGCCTCTTGTTTGTGTAGCTCCTCGCACTCGTGCATCTTCTGGTCAAACACGATACGCATCTTCCGGTACTTCTTCTTCCACGACTTGTAGCCCGCGGGCCTCCGCTCGCTGCCGCCGTCGGCCTTGGCTGGGGAATCAGCCATCGCGGCGGCCGGATGGGGGTGGATTGGCAGAGTTGATGAAGCTATCGTGATTGCGGTGGCGGAATGCGCGATTCCGACGTGGGATTGAAGCAGGGCGTCGCGCGATGTTTACGGAATGGAGGCGAGAAAAGAAGAGTTGGCCGGTTGAAGTTTGCTTAGATCAAGCCACGAAGTTCGGCGGGCGTGTTGGCGATGACGGCAATAGAACGATGGAGGCAGAGAGAGTAAAAGAGACAGTGGTCGTCAACGCATTAAAGTGTGAAGGAGAGAAGAAAGAGAAAGCGGGTGCTAACGAGAGATTGAGAAGATCAAAGTGGGAGGGAGATTCAAAGGAGGAGGCTGATGCAAGTTAGAAAAGGCAAAGGGGCGATGCGCGATTCCTCTTCACGAGCCGCATTCGCTCGAGTTTTTTCGCGCGTTCGAGGTTGGTGCAGCGGGCTGTAGCTCCGGCGAGCGTCGCAGGGCGGCCGGCGGTTTTGCTAGGGGCCGGCGCATGCACTGAAGGCTACTGTCTAGAGCCTACTATGGGGTTAGATACCAGCAAAAACGAGCGTCTTTTCATGCTCCGAGAATTATCGGAAGTTGAAGGAGTCTTATAACTTATTGCTTGATTTCCTGTTTTCGCGTTTCAATACAATTTCTCTTTTTCAAGATACCCATCCAGCGGCCCTCTCGCAAAAGATACAGGGTAGATAGCGGCAGCATGAGGCGTCGAAACAACATGAGCTTCACTTTGCATCACTTACAATAGTACATTTGCTTTGGGCCTCCTTGATTCTCTTTGGTAGGCTCTTCTATTCTTCATCCAGTATTATGTATAAACCTGACCTTTGTGGTCTTCTCACCACCGCTGCAAACATACTAACCGCCATATCTTTTCTTCCATACACCGAATTGTCCACTTCACTAGTATGTCATCAAATCATCGCCTTATTCTCCCTCAGTATTCTTTGGCCAACTACGACGAGACCTCTTTCCCAAGTCTCTCCAACTCCTCCTTGATGAATTGCCCAGCGTTAATCATCTCCGTGCTGCCATACACCACTCGCTTGCGTGCGCGATCGCCGCTTGTTCTGCCAACCCACTCGTGCAAGTTTCCATACTCCTCCATGCTGCCGCCGCCCACTGTGAATACCACTGCTTCAGTGAAACCCTGCCGTCGCTGCCCGAAACTGGCTGCTTGGCCGCTCTGAGACCCTGGTAAACCACCCGGCGCGCTGCCTGCACCTCCTGACCGGATAGCACTGGGCGGCGGCATAGTGCCGCGTGCGTTGGCGGAGCGCGGGTCAAAATACAGGTAGTTTTCTGTCTTGGCAATTGCCGAAGATGAGGCCGTAGAAGGTTCCATGATGGACTCGACAATCTTGGTAATTGTAAGATCGCGATCTGCGGGCAAAAAGTTCTTGACTCCGCTGATTAGAGAATCAAAGTTGGATGTTAAGCCAGACGGAACACCGGTCTCTTTGAGACGGTCTGTCAAGCGGGAGGAGATGGATGAAAATCGTCCAAATAAGTCGGAAGAGGCAGCTTGCTGGTTCGAGTTGTTGTTGATAGTAGTCAGCTGCGTCATCTTTGTAGTAGCGCGCACCCTGAGACATGTTAGCAAAAGAGACAATACAGGCAGTTTGATCCATGTGAAGCTTACTGTCGAATGTAGGGCAGCGATGAGACATCTGCACCAGCCGCTTCCAGTGCCTTCTCAAACAACTCGAAATCCACTCGCGCAACCTCTTGCTCTGTGCTCAGGAACCAGATGATAAACAGTCGCAGCTTATCATTTGGGTCGTTGCCCTTGTTCTCATCCTTGATGATTTCTAGAATCTGAGCTTTTGTTTGTTTCGTGGCGTTTTCCTCCACCTGGAAATAATTATCCAGCTGCCGGTCCTTGATGCCAGATAGCAATGCCGCCAAGATGTTCATGTGCATATCGAGGATGCTCTTGCGTTCCCGCATCTCGGGCAGCAACGTTATCGCGGCCTTGAGGTGCTGCGCACTTGCACTCGTGTCATTTTGTAAATCTTCCAAGCTTGATACTCCTGTAGTCTTTGTTATGGCAGCCGTCTCTTCCTTGTACTTGGTAAGCTCTGCGTCAATATCTTCGGCTACCTGCGGGAAAGGGACGCCGGCATTCTTGATCCAAAAGAAGTCGTTGGCAGTCAGGTCGTAGCCCTTCTTTGATGTGCCCTTGGCAGGGTTGCCTTCCTCAACGGGTGTCTCGATTGTGATACGGTTGAGTTTGATGGACAGGACGTCGTGAACGAGGGACTGATACGTCCAAGAATGCGACAGCATGGGTATCAAGTCAACATTGCGGTCGAGGAGGATGAGCACAGGCCTGGAGCTTGGCGTGCCCGCTGCCGTCGGTCGTGCGTTGGAGAAGAGGTTGTCTTTTGAATTGAGGATGTGATCGCGAAGTTTGCGGTCGAGGCGTACGGCAACCATTTCTGCGGCGGCACCTTTTGGACATCGAATAATTGGAATAACGCCTATAGCGGCAAGCAATTAGTACACGACCACGCAATTCGAGACTCAATTGCGCTCGACTCACCCATGGTCACAACGACGCTGAACAAGCCGCTGACTATTCTGTCCACAACCGCATCTAGCTCGGCGTCGCTCGTCTTTGCGCTGTTCAGAGCCCAGTAGGTATGCTCATTCTGCATTCCCAAGCTGAACAGGTCCGGCTCTGCAACAATAAAGTTGAGGTATTGATCGAACAGCTGCGCAATCTTCTCTGACGTCCCTGCTTCAGCTGTCTGCGACGCAAACTCTTCCAACAAGACTCGAGGAAGAGACGACAAGAAGTTGACGTAAGCTGGTGAATACAGCCCCTTTTGCAGGTCCTCGGTCATGAGCTGTAGGTTGCGCGCATTCGGTTCGAGCAGATAGATGACTGGCACATCTGGTATAGGGTATCGCGGCGTGCCGATATGCCTGTGAATCGCATCGCATCGCATCGTTAGATTTGGTATTCAGTCGCATCGTCATTGGATAACAGCAGAAAACTAACATGTGCATCGTCACTCCCATAGAGCGAAGGTCGCTGACTCGCATAACACTGCTGATGACATCTCTGCCTAGATCATCAAACACAAGGACTTTCCAGATAGGGTTTCCTTCGGCATCAAGAATGGGAGCAACAGGAGCCAAAAGTCCGTTGGCATGTGCCTCGTCCGCCTCGCTCGATTCGATGGTCTCGTTGAGATTGAGGATCTTTTTGAGAGATGCTATTGGGGTTAGCGATTGCTGTTGACCGCGTGAAGTTCATTGTGCATGCTTACCTATCTGGCGATCGCGCAGGGACACTGCTTTGGACGCCATGACTTAGATGAAGCTGGAGTTGACGTAGGTGAGTGCGTATGCCGCTGGTCCACGATGCAAGGCCGTCCAGGACTCGCTCGCCGCTCCACAGGTGTAGCAGGGAATGAATCAATCGTGGCCGCACATGCGCCTGCAATCGCAAAGTACCAGAGAAGATCAATATGCAGCTAAGAGGAGTTTGCGTCAGAGGTATCACACAGTCTGAGCTTGAGGCCACGATATCGAACTACCCCCCCAAACCCAATCGCTGTGAAATTGGAGCTCTTCCACTATAACAGCCCCCCAGCAGGTCACTGCAGCGCGCTAAATCGCCGCGGTGGCCAGCGTCGAGCTGCTGGTGCCACGGGCCGACTGAATGGCCGACCTGTGAATTCCAGCGGATTCCTGCGGTGGAGCTAGACCAGTATGACATGGGCCTGACAGCTCTGTTGCATTGGCCGATCGCATTGGTGCCTGAGGGCGCAACACACGCCTGTGCCAAACACGTCTGGACTTTTAACGGCATTGGCAACGCTCCTTCAACATCAATCGCCTTATACCAAGGTTTCCATCCGGTTGCGACAAGCCCAGCATCGGCGCCATCAAAACGCGGCGTCTCTAGGCATCTCTGGCAGCTGAGATTAAACTTGAATCTGCGCACGTCATTTCTGCGACGCCACCTTTCTTGCTCTTTGCTGTCTTCCCGACTCTCCCTCCTGTCTTTCTGGAGAGGGCGGGCTACGTGTTCGCCTCCGGATAATAGTGTAAACAACTGGTGGAAAGGGGCCATGAAGTTTCTGCCTCTACAAAGGACAGAGTAGGCTGTGAAAAAAAAAGGACTAAAGCTGCTGCGACAAGTTGCAGCGAGACGCAGGGTATGCCCACCTCCTGATCCAATCCCCTCATCTAGCAGCACTCCTTTCCCGATGCCTTGCGCATCTTGCATCTCACAGCCCACCACATACATACATCATCATGTTCAAATCTCCTCGGCGCCTGCACAGTTTCCTGGTGTTGGCGAGCCATGAAAAGCTGGAGTGGCTTCTTTGTATCGTGTGACGGCCATGACCAAATCCATGGACCGCACGTCTTATAATCCCTCTGTTACCTTTATAAATGCAAGGCGTTGAGCAAAAAGCGAAAGCGAGCCTTGGACGGTGGACCTGAGGCTCCTCTGTAAAACCTCAGGGAGCCGGCCGCGATGGGTTGCGTGAGTCGTCACCGAACGGCGCTCAGCCGTGCCTGCATCCGAGCCGCGCCGGGCCTACTAAGATGTGAAGGGCATTGGCATGGCGATTAAAAGTACCACGTCGATGCGCCTTGTCGCAGCCCATCGGCCTGGTTGCCAATCACGCGACGCCCGTCCAGGCTGTCGCGGCGGCCGTGGAAAAGGGACCTGGAGTTGTCACAGCCTGGTCTGCTGGGACTTGACTTGCATAACCCCCGCCGCCACCTGGTCCAGCATTAAAAAAAAATGAAAAAGAAAAAGAAGAGGAACAAGGAACAAGGAACAAGAGCAAACAAACAAAATGCTGCCTCGAAGGCTGTACTGTTGCTATATCTCTCGATATCCAGCTTTTTTTCTGCCGTCTTAATGGGGCTGGGCTATTGTTTGACTCCCTTGATGGCGGCCGCCAGATTCTGTCTTGTTTGCTGCCGATCCACGGCCTAGCCAGCGCTCCACCCTCTGTACTGGCAGCGCTGCACAGGCGCTCTGGCCCTTATCGCATCCCTCATCGTCCTGGTTCCGCACGGCCAGTTTCACGCCTGCAATATTTTCTTTTCTTTTTCGTTTTCCCTTCTGTTGCGAACAAACAGCTACAATTTCCCTCTTTTCCTTTTTTCTGTCAATGCTAACCCGCCTCTCGTTTTCTCCAACAGAATTGTCTGCTCCAAGCCCCAGCCCATGCAAATTTGCCCTTATACGTACTAGCGCTCTGCGGCCGCAACCTGCCGACAATCAGCCGCTGACAATCCTCGCGTGGCTTGCTCCAAGTACCGCCACACGTCGTTACCCAGGTGAGTGACAAGCTGCCTCTGCACCGCCCTGCAGCAACTCTGCATGAACGCCCCAGCCACACACGCGACCTTGGCAGGCGAAATGCACGTCTCGCGTTTCTTGCAGGCGACGTCACTTTAGCAGACCCAGCTTCTGCTTCTTGATCTTGTTTTTTTTTTTTTTTCATCCCTTTCAACATGGGAGCAATCTCTGATTGCTGATGGAGTCTCAATAGTGCTAGAAAAAGATACCCCCCCTTATTCCCATTTGCGTATGTTGCTGTCTGAATCAGCATTAAGTTTGTCGAAATGCAGTCCTGGCCTGGCTCTGGTCAGAATGGCGCAAATGATGGACATAATTCCTGGCCATCCGGCTTCGCACAATTTTCCGACCAAAACAACCAATTCGACCCCAGCCAGGGTTGGCCGCAGCCGGGCGCTGAGCAGCCCTTCTCCCATTTAGATCCGCAGGATCCCTCCGCGTCCAGCTTCTTTGAGGCATCTCACCAGGGGAATGCAAATGCCTACCTGGGCGGCGGCCTTCATGCCACTGCCTCCAGCCAGGCGCCGTTCCATGCTGGCCATGGCACGCTCTCGTTGAATCAGCAGTTTTCGCAGCCTGGCCAGGATGTGCTGGATCCTGCCTTCAGTAATATCCACCCTGAACTGTATGGACACCAGCCCAAAGTCAATCTGGGTGGAGATGGAATCGGCCAGATGGGCCAAGTTCAGAGCCACCAGCACGCCCATCCCCAGGGCTTCAACCAGCACGACTTTCCATTTACCTCGCAGAACGACCAGCTGTACGACACTCCTGGTCCGTACAGCCAGCCTCAACAGGTCCCCCAGCCATCGCGCCAGGGAAGCAACACTCCAGTTCAGCATTTCGAGAACCTGCATGGAGGCTTCCCTCAGGGCGCTCGCTTTGGACAGTCGCCCCAGCCGCCGCCAGTACAGCATCAACAACAGCCTCCCTATCGCCAGGGACAGCCCTTTTCCGACCAGTATCAGCTCAATAACGGCCTCGGCTACCAGCAGCCAAACTCCTCCCAATATTCTACGCAGCAGACATATGCACCAACAAAACCGAATACATTTACTCCCCCTCAGCAGGGCACGCCTGTACAGCAGCAGCCGCTGGCACCGCAGCCTCGTCCACAGCAACCTGGTCTGTCGTCTTCCGCTCACTCGACGATGGGAGTGAGCCCCAATGCCCAGTATGGAGCAGCCCAGCAGCCCCTCAATGGCGGTGCTGTTGCTACTTCCACCGTGCCACCAGCAGTGCCTTCTGGTTTCTCTCAGCCGGTGGAAAGTGGTCCGAAGAAGAGGAAGCGTGCCACCAAGAGCACCCCGGAGCCGGCAGTTCTAGAGCAACCGGCTTACCCCATAGACCTCCCGGTTGATATACTCCCAAGAAGGAGCGAAGACCCCGAAATCCTATCTGTCCCTTTGCCATCAGCAGAAGAAGCTCAGCTGATTGCCCAGTTTGCGAAGCGGAACAAGGCTGCCCAGAACAAATATCCGTCTATCAAGGGACTTCCCTTTTTAGTATATGATGGCACGATTAAGCTTCCAGGTAAGTAGCTGCTCTGAGCTACGCTTGCCCTCTTGCTATTTGTTTCACGATAATAACGAATTTTTGTCATCGCTAGCGCCTAAGAGCTACGACAAGCTGTCTCCTTGCGTTGCCTTGCCACCGCATAGCGATCGTTCCTTGGTACCGGAGCTAGGGTATCTACCCTGCGAGATTCAAGGAAAGTTTAGCGCACAGTATCGGCCATCTGCAGATAGGATTGGCTTAGATGAGCGACGGGAAGAGGCGAGGCAGCTTTTGGCTGAATATGATCGCTCCATGTACAGCCTTGGCAAACGCCGGCCGAAGTACACCGAGTATCCTCGTATGTTTAAAAAGGCCCCTTTGATGTAAATCTGATGACGCAGTGATTCTAAAATCTTGTAGATGCATTCAAGGAACAGCTCAAATCTGACGAAGCTTCGAAAAATAAGGCAGAGAAGCGAGCAAAGAAGGAACAGGAAGATGATCGAGTAAAGCCGGTATGTATTGATGACCTTCAAGATGAAACAACTAATATTTTTACTAACACTTGTCGAGATCCGACCTCTGGTTCGACCGGCTGATCCTACCGAAGCCGTTGCGTGGGATGTTATTGGAATCGTCAACATTGAGCCTTCTGTGGCTCGCACATCGGCTCTTATTGCTGGAAGGGTTCAACAGGCTGGTGAATTCTTCATCAAACTCCGTGGGGACATGAACAAGGCCAAGCTGGACGTGGATAACGCCACGAAGAATAAAGTTCCGGAGCCTCAACTTGCGGAGCTAAAGAAGGTATTCGAACAGAAGAAAGAGGCCTTCTATCGCGCTCTGGATGTCACCATCGAGCACGCCGATGATGTCGTTTTGGATAATCTTGGTGGTCACCAGAAGTTAGTCCTTAGCTTGGTCAACGCCATGATTTCGTCCATTAAGGCGGGTGATTTTTCGGGGAAGCTGCCCAAGGCGCTGCTGGAAATCTTTACCCACTTTCGCATGACTAAGAAGATTGCCGAGACTACAAACTTTGAAACGGTCCGAAAACGTTTTGAAGACAAGGGCGATGATGAAGTCAAGGAGATGGCGCGCGAAATTGCCGCAAACATGAAAAAGGCACTCAAATCGGCCGAGGCAGAAACGGCCACGGGTTATACTGGAACATCTGCAGCTAGTAGGGCGAAAGCAGGTAACAAATTGTCTGCAGATGCCTCTTCGGCCAAGAGGCCCAGAGATGAAGACTCCGATTCTCGCACGGTGAAGAAGATTGCGGTGGAGCCTGGCAGCAGCTCTCTTAGCAAGAAGCTGGCACAGCCAAAGATCCAACAACCAGCGGTATCCAAGATCATTGCGCCCAAAGGCATTTCTTCGCTCCTGCCGGGCAAGGCACGACCGATATCCAAACCCGTGGTCAAGGCAGATGCGGACAGCCCGTCGACATCTAGCGATGATAGGATCAAGGCAGACGTCAAGAAGATGGTGGCAAAGGTTGAACCGAGCAGGTCGACGGTTCCTAAAGTTGAATCAAAGCCCCCCGTAGCAAAGGCTTCTTCCGCCTCGAGCTCGAGCGCCTTGTCGGGAATCGCCTCTCTGCTTGATTCCATTAATGCACCGAAGCCGGTTGAAGCCCCCGTTCCAGCGACTAAAGAGACAAGAGATTCTGATACACCAGAAGCACCGGAAGAAAAGGCCAAAAGGCTTCGAAAAGAGGCACGTCGGAAGCTTAGGGTCAGTTGGAAGCCGGAGACTGAGCTTGTGCAAGTCAGAATTTTCCATAAAGATGACGAGGAAGACGAAGGCAGAGGAAGCAACTTGACACGAGATGCAGCCGACGATCGTTCCGAAGGTATGGTCTTGAAGCAGCGTGCAAACGTCGAGGAAGATGACGACGACGACGATATTCCTTATCAGCCTTGGCTTGGGCCCATCGAAATCGACTTTTCAGCATTGGCCGACGATGTACGAGCCAAGAATTACGTTACCCGCGGTGGCACTGTAACCTTTACGACTGACGAGCAGCAACGAATTGCAGAGAGAGAGCAGAGAGAGTTGATGGCCATCTACACCGACATTGATGATATTCCTGCAACTCCAAAGTCCCCACTACCAGAGGCGGCGACTGCTGTCAGTACCGAAGCCAAGATGGGCTATCTCCCTCGGGAAGATGCCAAGTTTGAAGAAATCCAGCTTAGGTGGCGAGACGAACAACAGTACGGACTGGACGAGGCATTGCGCTCCGCCATGAAGCGCCTCGATGCCAAGCATAGCCCCTCTAGCAAGCTGGACTCCATTTTGGGCCGGCTTCAGGGAAGTACATCGACATCCGCGTCCTCTTCTCAGCCCATGGCCTCTCTGCACAGCCACTCTTCGCTTCCTCTTCTCTTGGGCGCCGCGGCGGAGAAGCAGCTACTTGCGATACTTGCGTCAGACAAGACCAAAGCTTGGCGTGATCCCAACCCTGTCCTATACGGCGATTCAGTTCGTGCCTATAACTATACGGATCCTACAGTTCGACTGAATGGAAATGCGGTTGAAGAGGTCGTGAAAGCTTTGATTAGCAAAGCATATCCTCCAACGTCTCCTCCTGACTGGCTTTCGTTTGATCAAGAAAGGGTCAGAGAGTGGTGGTTTGGATATAATAAGGAGCTTGCCGTCAGGCAGAAGAAAGAGGACGAGGCAAAGGCAAAGGCTGAGGCTGAGGCAAACGCACTCAAGGTTGCTGCCGCCGCTGCCAACTCGGCAAATACACAATCTCAGGACTGGTCAGGGCAGTACGCACAGCAACAGAATTATGCTCCGTATATGGCACTGCTACAGCAAATGACTGGTGGACAGCTTCCACCAGCTGCGGCGGCGGCGGCGGCGGCAGTGGCGGCGCCATCAGTCCAGCATCCTCAGATTCCTGACGGACAGCTGCAGTCGATTCTCGCTGCCATCAATCAACCTCAGCAAGCAGCCCCAGCACAAGCTGCAAACATTGCTAGTTACCTGAATCCGAACGATCCATCATATCAGCAGCTAATGATGCTCACTCAGATGGCGCAAGGCCAGCAGCCGCCTCCTCCGCCACCTCCTCCGCCATCGTCCTTTGATCACAGGCCTGAGCGAGACTGGGATCGGAACGATGGCCAGAGGGGAAGTGAGCAGCACGGAAAGGAGGGAAGGAAAAAGAAGGGCACACTGCCACCCCACAAACCGGCAAATAAAGCTCTAATTGGGACGAAGCCATGTACTTTTTGGCAACAAGGCAAGTGTGCTAGAGGCGATAAGTGCACCTTTAGGCACGGCTGAAGATGATGACAATCTTTATTTTGTTGTTATTACTGCTGCTCTTATTAAAGTTTTTCATTTGCATTATCACAGATCAAAAGCAGCCACGGTTCAAACATATTTACTAGTGGATAAGGGAATACCGGAAACATGGCAGGCGTTGGAAGATTTTAGAAACGGCGGATGGGAGTTGGACGAAAGTTCCCAGTATACAGTTTATGGAGCACTTGAGTGCCTGTACAATAGATATCAATGCTTCAACTCGTCTTGGTGGGCAGTTGATGGCAGCAGCTATAATGAAGATGGGATCAACGAGGACGTCCAAGAGGCGTCAGGGATACAAACGGACCGATTTTGTACTCTTATATACCACTTGAACGAACGCACGAGATGGGCACCTTGGGCATTTTTGATCACTTTTTGTGGACATGTCAATGTGAATGTAAATGTGAATTGCTTTTCTTGTTATCTAGCCATGCTGTGAAAGAACTATACTCAAGCAGACTCCATCTCGGTATCGCCAGCCGTTGGTCTCTGGATCAAGCCCCTAAGGCTCAAGTCGTAGACGACGTCCTCGACCCTCTTGACCTCGTACTTGACACTGTCGGCGCGCTTGCGGATAATGTCGTTTTTGAGGTTGAGCAGCTGGAAGCCAGCAAAGAGGTCCTTGACGAAGGCGCTGATGGTGAGGGGCAGCTGGAAGTCGCCGAGGGTGACTGCGTTTGTGGCGAGGCGGGAGAGGTCTTGGGTGAGGTCGACGAGGGAGAGGAGGTATTCTTCTATGGTGAGGTGGAATGCGTCGCGGTCTTTGAGGTTTGTTGGGACTGCCTTGTATTAGCAGGCTATCTAGATATGGTGGAATGAAGATGAAATGGCAGTAAATTTTTTTAATTTTATCTTTTCTTGATGGTGAGAGTATAAAACGGACATCTGAATTGAAGAGACATGGGATGGGAAATACCTGAGAAGATGGCGCCGACTTCTTCGAGAGTGAGGAGGCGGCCTATCTCGGCTGCTGGCTTGGAGGCTGCTTCAGGCTCAGATGAGGATGAGGGTGAGGATGAGGGAAAGCCGCCGAGCCAGGCGCAGTAGATTGTTGTGCCGATGGCGTGTTGGATGGAGCGGTTCCATTTTTGGTTGTATCTTGATTTGAGTCAGTTAGAGTGAGAGCAAAATCAGAGAGAGAGGGGGAGAGGGAGACAAACTTGTAGAAAGGGTGCTGAGAGGCGACTTTTTCGAGCTCGCTGATGATGGCGGCTTCTTCTTTGACGGCGGCTTCGACTTGAGCTACGAGGGCGGGGTCTGCATTTTTGAACAAAAGATAAGAAAAAGCAAGTTAGATTGTCTGTGTTACGTGATATTTAATTGACTACGTACAGCGTGCGCGAGGCGTCGAGTGGACTCGTGAGAGCAGGCCTTGGGCTGTGGCGACGGCGCGGTCGAGGCGCTGGACGAGTTGGGAGAGGGTGTCGCGGACTTGGGTCTCTTCTTGGAGCTTGGCTTCGAGGGAGGAGAAGATGGAGGGATCGAGGAGGGAGGGTGGAGGAGCGGACATTTTGGCGGTGGTGGTGATGGTGATGCTGGTGATGTTGGTGGGATGATGGTGGGATGTGGTTGAGATGGAGGATGAGGCTTGAGAGGAAAATGGAAGATGGACGTTGATTGGAGAGATGTTTCACAGATTAGTGGCTGAGAGTGCTGGAAATTATGGCTGTTGGCATGCAGGAAGAGAGGCTCGAGATGGCGTTGGTTACTGCAGCGTGACGAGGGCAGAGATTTTTACGATTTGGATATGGCGAGGCTGCACTGAAAAATGTGATCTAGAATTTACGACGCGAGGCTACACAGATGGGAATACGCAACTCACGACACGCGACGTGGACGAAATTGCAGCATGTGGCAATGGCGATGATTTCATCTCTCTACGAAAACATGAGTCTCTTCTTCGCTGCCAGGGCAAGCCCCAGCAAAAGCAATGAAAAGAAAGAAAGTGTTCGCGTCGCCTGGAGGCAGTGTAATACCAGGGACACTGTGGGCGGAATCGTGTGCAAGCACAGAGGAAACCGCCCCAAGGACAAAAATAAGAATAATCACGATTGGTCTCCTTAGAGACCTTTCAGAGATTAAACTGAAAAGAACAGATACTACACTTGATCTAAGCCAAAAGGCAAAGAGAGCTAAAGAAGAAAAGAAAAGAAAAAAGCTTCGCTTTCTCGGGGGCGGGCGAGGAATATATAGGAGGGTGGGGGCGGTGAGGGAGCTGCAGCTGTGGTGGGGCGGCAGAATTTGTGGGAGGTGGTGATTGGGTGGTGTGGGGCTGGTGCCTGAATCACTGTTACTGCAGTTGCAGCTGCTGTTGTTGCTATTGCTGCCTACCCTGCGGCTGGAAATTATTGCAGTGTGAGCGAGAGCTGAGAGTTTGTGGCTGGGATGATGGATATTTGAGTGCAGTCTATGCTACTTTTTATTTTGACCGATTTATATGACAAATGCAAAGAGCTCTCTCTATCTAGACATCCTAACTACATGCACGTAGGCAGTAGTCATGAGTGCTACTAGTACTAGTATCCTTCAGTTATACTAGGTAAAACGCCAGGTAAGCGATTGTTTAACAGCTGCTCTCCCAAGTTGCAGAACTCGCTGTCGACCATACTAAGCATAGCGTCGATTCGTTTCAATTCAGCAGCATTGCCACCAGAGAGCTTCTCAAAGAGTAGTCTGCCCAAGTCCACGCCGTCCTTGGCGGTGTTCATCGCCCGGAAATAGATACTCCTCCCGCCATACTGCGCTCGATAGCAGTTGAAACAGGAGTTGAAGTCGTCCCCTTTGATGGGGGCGTAGCCGCCGACGTAGGGATGGGGATAGATTATTTCGTGGTAATTGTACGGGTCTGTCGGAAACTTTATACCCAGCCGGTCGGCAGTACTGGGACTCAGGCAGATCGAGCCGGTTCGAGGCGAGTCGTATCCAGACTTGGTGTCATACGTGGTGTTGTAGTAGATGTGCGCTGGATGCATTCCATGTCAGCACGCACAGACTTGATGTTGAGACGAGTGGATGACGCATACTCTTCACCTGAAAATCAGTGGTGGCTGCGGCGAGTGTAGCAGCGGCGAGGAGATTGACGAGCTGCATGATGACGAGCCTGTTATTACAAGATGGTATGTGCAAACTGTAATTACACGTGCCCAAAGCTTTGAGAATGATGTCTATAGAAGAGATGCTGAGCTTGATGAGGATATTTGCATGTTGCGATTGAGAGATAACATATCGCTTTATATAAGCGTGTTGTTACGGAGTGCTTGATGTGATGTCCAGGTCTGAACAAAGATACTAGTACACATCAGCCAGCCTTGTCATTGTTCAAAGTCTTATTGTTCAGCCTGATGCTAATGAAGATATGCTCATGGGGGTTTTGTTCGTATTACTAGGTAGTGATACAAACGTACCAGGGCAAGGGAGCTGGGTTGAACAGCTGTCGCCGTCTGTGCGGACTTTCAGGTGCCTCGGACACGCCGTGCCTTGTGCAACCAATAGTAGGTAGCTGGCAAACAAATTTTATTCTGCATGCCATCAAAGAATAGACGGAGATTAGTAGTGGCAGCTGAATTACAACAAAGGAGCCCCAGTATCAGCATTCTTCTGCAGACGTGACAAACTGTGAGACGTGGATATGCAGTCTTGGACTGCCTACGAATTACTAGTAGTATGTACCGCGTCTTTCTCAAGGAGCCAAGCTGATGATTGAAAGGTAATCTCTAGCCTATGAAAATTCTGGTCTCTCCATGATTCCATTGAACGCGACAATCCTGCTAATTTAGTTTCACGGGTACTCGCATGCTTGGCGGCGAATTATCAAATCCTTCTGGTAGGTGAATCATGCCAATTTGCACCTTATTTGATCCCATTAAATCCATGTTTCTGAATAAATGGCCAGAGTCGATACGGATGGCTGCATAATATTGTTTCTGCTGCAGGGGCTGACAAGGGGCCATAATATCGCGCCTTGGTATTGTTCTTGCACGCGGCAGCCCTGCCGCCTGGTGGATCAATATACGGCGAGGCTGAAAGAATGCCAAACGTGAGATGGACCAATGAACAAAAGTCTTTGAGTGTTCTCGTCTTCTAATGAGAATTTGGCGTTGAGGTGGTAAGAAGATATAAAGAAGTTATGGCTCGTGCAGAAAGAAAGCATTCCAGCGCATCAGTTCCGCAGCGTCTCTCTTTCATCAACACCATCTCCATCTCGAGTGTTCAAAATGAAAGCATCACTTCTCCTCTTTTTCGGCATCAATGCAGTAGTCGCTGCGAATCCTATCCATAAGTCAGAAGAGTCACCAAAGCCAGCACAAATCGTGAAACTATCCATCGCCCTGCAGCCGCAATCCCGCCAGCTCCTTGAGCAAACCCTTCACGAGCTCTCCAGTCCTTCTGGCTCACGTTATGGACAGTATCTTGATCGCGAAGAAGCCAAAGGTTTGCTACGTCCTCGGCAATCCTCTACTGATGCCGTCAAGAGGTGGCTATCTCAGGCTGGCATCCGCAGTGGCCATATCTTGAGCGATGGGCAGTTCATTCATGTTCAGACTGGCGTCGACAGACTCGAGGCCCTCTTGGAGGTCAGCGTAAATGCGACACTTGGTTCGCAGACAATTTCTCTCTCTTCTTTGCCTCAGAGAGTCCAGGATCACGTAATGACTGTTCAATATGCACCTGTACATGAACGAGCAGCTTGTTCTACACCCAAGTCAAATACGTCCTTAACTTCGGACACAGAACAGGATCATTTTGGCCAGTATTTGACTAAAATCCATACCGACTGGGAGAGGTGCAAGACTGAAACCACACCAGCCTGTTTGAGAAAGTTGTACTATGTCGAGAACTATCAAGCAAGGCATGAGGAAGGGAATCTTCTCGGTGTGGCTGGCTTTGACGGTGTAAGTCTATATTCGCTGCCGCTTTTGCTCGATCCTTCACTGACACAAGGTTGGTATTTCAGCAAGCTGTCCAATATCACGAATTGGGCCAATTTTTACACGAGTTTGCGCCTTATTCCGCCACTGCCAACGTCTCCGTTGCGTTTGTGAATGGAGGGACCAATCCTCAGGGAACAACTTTCCCGTCGAGCGAGGCCAACCAAGATATGCAGTATGCCGTTGCAATGGCACACGAGATACCAGTGCGGTTTTATGCCACTGGTGGCGAGAATCACGATATCATTCCAGACTTGGAGTATGCTCTTCCTCCCTTTTGATAAACCTCAAGATGTGATGCTGATATAGAACACGTTGTTTAGTTTAACTGATCCTACCAACGAATATCTCGAACCATATCTCGAATTCGCAAGCCACCTCCTCAGCCTCCCCGACGAGCACCTCCCCAGAGTAGTCTCCATCTCCTACGGCGCCAACGAGCAGCTCTTCCCCAAGCCCTACGCCCAGCAAGTCTGCGACATGTTCGGCCAGCTCGGCACCCGCGGCGTCTCCATCATCGTATCCTCCGGCGACTTCGGCCCCGGAATGTCCTGCCAGTCCAACGACGGCACCAAAGCGGCAAGATTTATTCCTTCGTTCCCGGCGACGTGTCCGTATGTGACGAGCGTGGGGTCGACAGAGGGTATTGGGCCCGAGAAGGCGGCGAATTTCTCGGCGGGTGGGTTTTCAGACTACTTTAAGCGTCCGGAGTGGCAGGATGAAGCTGTGGGGGAGTATCTCGAATTGTATGGGAATGAGTGGAAGGGGTATTATAATGCTGGCGGGAGGGGGTTTCCTGATGTGGCTGCGCAGGGAGTGAATTATCGCTTTTGGAATCATGGCAAGGAGGACTTGACGACGGGGACTAGGTATGTGCTGCTAAGTACGGGTAACAGTCATTGGACTGACTGATGATGGTGATGCAGCGTTTCTACGCCGGTATTCGCTGCTCTCGTTGCGATGCTCAACGACCATCGAGCCGAAAGCGGGCTGCCTCGCATGGGATTCTTGAATCCGTGGATTTACAGCTTTGGCAACCGTGCATTTACAGAGTATGTTTCTCATCTTCTCGCCATGATCACACAGAAAATGCTGACCATAAAACAATGACTGATAGCATCACCAAGTCCAAGTCCATCGGATGCCAAGGCCAATCTCTTTCAGGCCTTGCATCGCCTGTGATTCCCAACGCCGGCTGGAGCGCTGTCAAGGGATGGGATCCGGTGACGGGATGGGGAACGCCGCTGTTTGATAGAATGATGAGCTTGTCTGGTGGAGAGGTCTATGACGAGGAGAGTTGGTTGAATGAAAGGTAGATGGTATATAAGGTGATGGAAATGAATCAGTGGGATTTGGCATATAGCGAGCGGCCTTTGAAGAGCGAGTCAACACCTTAAGGGCTAGATCTTTACATCTAATATGAAGTTTGACGTTCATCATGTAGCAAAGTGGCTAGGAATGATCTGACCATTGGTTGTATATACCTCAGCTGCATGTCATTCGAGCTGAGGGCGTATAATAACGAAGTCAATGCAAAAAAAAAAGCTCATGTCATTCACATCGGGCATCACTCATTGTCACACAATTCAATCTCGAACAGTATAGTCTTGCTGTCATGGCATCTATTTCAACCGCCTTCTAACAAAAAGAAAAAAAAAAGTGACTCGCAGCTATGTGCAGCTGCATTCTAAAAATACAACAAATGATCTAAGTCTTTCTAAAATAGAGAAAAGACAAAAGAAACCGAGTGTAACAAATGTAGAAGTTCTAATCATCGCCCGCACGCTGGTCTCGCGAACAGAAAAAAAAAACAAAATATGTATATGCCGTGCGGACGTTTGCTCTGTCTCCTCTCCGTCTTCTGCTTGATGCTGAATGCTCTCAGAAAAAAACAAAAGAAAAGAAAAATCAGAACTTCGTACTTCGAATCCCCGATTTTTTCGTCTAAAAGCAGAAATTGGTATCTCCCTCTCGAAATGCCCATTAATCCTGGCCACCGTTTTGTAATTCTTTCGCCGTGTTGGCCCTCTGGTGTCTTTCAATCATGTCTGTCCCATTTTTTGTGTATCCGTGACGCCGCGCCGTAAAAAGAAAAGCAATGGAGAAAAAAAAAAGAATACCCCGCCAAATCTCTTTCCCATACAAAGGAGAAGATGTAATAAAAACACAGGTCGTGATAGTGGAGAGTGGATTTAGTGATTGTCCGGGGTATGATGGACGGTGCTGTTTATGCTGTTTATGCGTTGCAGAGTTGAGCTGGTTTGGCGTGAAACAGGGAGAGGAAAAGGGGGACGCCGTAAGCAGCATTGACGATGACGTGGGATGCAGAATTACATCAGCGCCAGCTGCTGCTGCTGCAGCCTCTCCTTCTCCTCGGCAAAGACGATGCGGCTCATCTCCAGCACGCGCTCGAAGCCCTCGCGGCCCTTGACGGCGTTCTCCTTGAAGCGCGTGCACAGCGAGTCCTCGATGCCGTTCTTGATGCGCTGCCAGCCGCCGCACAGGGCGGTGATGCGGGCGGTCTGGGTGAACTGCGTCTGGTGCTCGCTGAGCGGCTTGTAGACGACCTCCTCCTGCACGCGCACCAGGTTGCTCCACGTCAGGTTCTGGCTGACCATTGTGACCGTCTTGCTCTGCGGGTCGACGTAGCTGGCCTCGTAGACGAAGCTCTCCTCCATGTTGCCGCCCAGCAGCGACTTGATCCAGTCGGGCGCGGCCTGCTTGCATGTGATGAGGCGTTCGGTGCGCAGGACGCCGGTAGCGGCATCGACCTGGCGCGAGAGCGTGTCGACGGCGATGACGTGCTCGGACTTGTTGTTCCACGGGCCGTACTTGCGCCAGTTGGCGGTTGAGACCTCGTCCCACGAGTACTCGTAGGTGACGGAGTTTGAAAAGACTTTCATGTTCGGTGGCGGGTTCTCTCTGTAGGATGTAGGGAGAGGAGATGGAGAAGAGAGAAGGATGTTGAAGGTGGTCGGGAGAGGATGAAGAAAAAGGGAAGGGTCTTGATTGTTATCGAGACAAGCTCCGATCTGTGGCGGGTCGCGGATGGCAAAAAAACCCAATCAATTTCGTCAAAGTTATCTCGGCTAGGGTAACGATCAACCCAGTCGCGTGCCTTGCTGAATGACTCTAGTTTTTTTTTTCTGGCGCCGGTTCAGGCAATAGTACGGATAATGACGTTCGCACTGCGTTTCAAGCAATGAATGTCTTGGAATGGATGGAAAACAAGAAACAATTCTTGCCGTCTGTACAAAAAAACAGATCTTGGGAAAATGAAGATCAAAATAAAGATTGAAACGAAAGAACCCGGGGGTGGGAATTGCTAAATAGTATCTGCGGAGAGGAGGAAAAGGTTAAAAAAAAAATTAGAGTAAGCCCGTGAGGGTTTTTCTCGCTGTTAGGAGGCAGCAGATGGATAGCCGCGCATGTGAACGGCGCTCGCTGGCACAGAGGAGCCTCTTCGGTATCGGAGCAAGCGACAGGGCCGGAAAAAGTCTTCTTGCCTGGGCTACTTTTGGCCCTTAGTAAGCTCGCTATCGCCAGTCTAAGCCACAACAGGCATGACGTAGTCTGCAAACGGCTAGGCGGGCCTCGATGGAGCGAGAAATCCTCGGAGCGGTGGAATCCGGAAGTGGACCTGATTGGCCTTCGGCGGTGCGGGAATCGGCAAGTACGAGAGGGGGGAGGGAAGCAGCTGGAAAAAGGGCCGGGTACAAGAGACTTTCGGCTGCAGCGGTGCCAGCGCCTTATTTCCAGCGGCCTTCAGGGTCCTGCGATCGGCCCCAGACTTTTGAGTGGCCATGACGGCTCTTCCGTCCAAGGCAGTGGCAAAGCCGGGCTGTGGCTGGGAACTGCGATCGTCGTTTGACACAGGCGCCTGTTGATTGGCGCTCGGCTACGCAAATCCATGGAAATCCATGGAGATCATGGAACGCTGGTTTTCGATCCTGGGGGAGGGCAGCGGCGGCTTCTAGATCGATCTAGGGCTGGGCTGCAGCCGGGCATTCGGGCGACGGGCTGGACCCCGCAGATAAGGCGGGTGAAGATGCGATGACTACAGCATTGCGCTGTAATTGACCACTGAATCGTTGAACTGCAATGGAAGATACTGTACAATCGTAATGTATGTTGCTGTATATTCATTCATGTAGTTGCTTGTGCTCTTCATGACGACTGGCTGAGCCATAAGAGCAGTGCTGTACGGCCGTCACATGCGCCTGGAGGTATTTACGCTTCATAAGATACCCCCAGTTCCTTCAATAGCCGCATCATTGTCCCGTCTCCAGCCTTGGCCCTTTTCTGAAACTCCGTCTTGTTCTGTTTGAACCATTCTCCATCTTCACCAGGCTGCGTGAATCGATCATATTAGCATCAGTGGTCATATGACATGCTTAATTCAGAACCTCTGCTTATATCTAGAGCCGTGGTCTATTAGGAAGCAAACTAACCTCGGGTAGAACAAAGCCGTGCTCCCACAGCGCATTGATGCTCCTCAGTACAAATGCACCGGCTAATTTCCGTTCTACACTTCCAGTCGACGCATCATTCTCGGAGACAACCTCGCGCCAAGCCTGGGACAACTTGACACAAAGCTCGTTGAAGTCTTGCGCGGTCCGGGATCCGCCTATTCGCACAATGGCAAATATACGATTGTAGCCCGGTTTCTGTATTGTCCATTAGACGTGATGAGCTTGAGATTGACAGCGTTGGTCATACTTGTACACCTCCTTCGTAAAAGTTTGTCTTTGAGATGTCTTCAAAGACTACGCTTATAAAAGGCGTAGGGGTGCCGTATGCAGTTTTGTGAATGTCTGTTATTTTTACTGCCAGCTCGTCCATTTCTGCCCTTGTCAAGGGGTCAGAATGTTCAACTTGATACAGAGGCATGATTCTGGAACAGAACGTCTAGGAGCAGTTGAAGAGGTACAAGAAGCTCATTGGAGTAGGTAAGTATTGCACACTACCGTCCATTTTACCGTCAAGTATTCGGTATATAAGAGCTTGAGCATGTAGAGAACATGGGAATAATAATGCTACCTCGGCTGCTTATGTCAAATTCGTAAGCAAACTCCAATGCTCACCACATTCACCTCAAATGCCACTAACGTAAGCTATCAATGGTTTTGAGCACAACGCCGCGGAAGCTGGAGGAGGACCACGCCCTATTTCTGTGCCTCAGCAAGCTAAGCTATACGACTATACGACACTTGCATAACTATACATGTACTGTATCCATGCACTGTGTTTGCAAGAGGAGAATCATGCTTCTTCCATTCTTTGTGCCCTGCAAAGTTATTTGTTTTGCTATGCAAGGTGGCTTGTCAGCCAAGGACGAGTTTGCCGTCTTGGTGGCTGGTGTGCAATAGACTTCTGGAGGTCTCCTACGGCGGGTTTACTACTCTCAAACTCACTCAGGAGAGATGGCATAAAACCAGTTCCATATCAGTTGAACTGAAGCCACTAGTAGATTCGTAGATTCCTCCAAATCTAACACCAATATCGATGTGTGCAAAGTCCTGATGCTTCTATCGCATCAGACTATTCTTGATCAAAAGACTTTGTATTTTGTTTGAGGGCAAATTAAAAATGGAAAGCAACTGTACAAGCAAGTCTAACCCTCGACAGACTGAATTCCTTCATTATCAACGGCGAGGTCAACGTCTCTAAAATCACCATCCTCGGGCAACTGTAGATCAAACCGGTGAATCGTCGCCGCACCAAGCGTCACCCGCTCCGTTGCCGAGCAAGCCTGCAAATGCCCCCCAAACTTTCGATCCTCGGAAATCAGATGCATGTGGTCGCCGGCGACGCTGATGCCCTGAAAATACGCCGGCGAGCGGAACCCTATGATGGACCCCCTTATTGACTCAAAGGTGTGCGTTGCTTGGCGCTTGCCGACGTCAATGAGTTTCTCGTGCGGTGAGAGTTGGCCGCCGACTGTGCGGACGCTGACTTGTGAGAATTCGCCGTCTATTCTGAATGCGAGGAAGTGGTTCTGTGTTTTGGGGAGCAAGGCTGATATTTTGTCTGCCAGGTCTTGCTTGCTGTCGAAGGTGATGGTCTCGGTGACAGAGGGCTGGAAGGAAGTGATCATGGCAAAGGGGATGATCTGCTCGCCGTGGTCTCTTTCAAGATTGGGGATGACAGATCCGTCGGACTTCATCTGGTACGCTGATCCGTCGAGAACGATCATCTCGCCTTCCAGTCTTTGAAAAGTGCCTAGGCCATGGTTCCCGTAGCTCAGAATCTGCGACAACGAGATACCCGATGTTGCGGCGCCACTCATGAGCGCGGAGAGGACGGAGTACTGGTACAGCTCGTTTGGTGCCATCGTCAAAGGCTATGCAAGTTATAAAGTCGTGAAAGCGAGCAAAAGTGTAACAATGGCTATGAGTGAAGGTTGAATGAGTCGTGCATGTTGGCGGTTGTATGCTCTTATAAGCATGCCAATTGGTCTAGTTACGCTGGACACTCGAACAATGACATCACACGTCTAGACCAAATCTTTATAATGTGGATACGTAGCTACATGACCCTATTAATCCCGAAGAGAGTGCATGTATGTTCTCTTATTGAGTCTCGGACGTTATCTCTGAGTTGATGGAATTTATTTCTTGTGTAAGTGGTGCTCGCCGACGAACGGAGTATCTTTCAACGAAATCAAACTGTAACTACTATTAACTCTTCGTTACCATCATGACACATCCGAGGTGACCAGATCCATCATCAGATTGTGATTCTGACTGTAATCAATCTCCACATCCACAAGGCAAACACCGTCATAAGCCAAGGCCTCCTTCATGACAGCCTCCAAGTCGCCCGCACTGCTCACCCGCAGCCCCTTTGCGCCCATCGACTCAGCAAGCTTGACGAAATCGACACCGCCGAGATCGACGCCGGAGCTGCGGCCGTACTTGTTCACTTCCTGAAACTCCACCATGTTGTACTTGCCGTCGTTCCAGATAAAGTGCGTGATGTTGCAGCCCTGCTGCACGGCCGTGACCAGCTCCTGGCTGCTGAACATGAAGCCGCCGTCGCCGCTGATGCTGACGACCTTTTTGGAAGACGGGGGCGTCTGGCTGAGGGAGACGCCAATGGCCCACGGCATGGCTACGCCCAGTGTCTGCTGGACGTTGGACATAAGAAAGGTCCTGCGCGCGTAGGAGTAAAAGTAGCGGCAGAGCCAGATGTAGACGCTGCCGACGTCGGATATGACTGTTGTGGAGGGGTCGATGATGCTCTGGAAGAGGCGGATGAAGTGCAGCGGATGGACGGGGCCGGTGGATCGTCCTGATGCTTCGGGGCTGTTTTGCCATTCCGACATGTTTGTCCGGATGGTTTCTCCTGCTTCGGTGAGCTGGAGACGAGCTACTGTGTCCAGTCTGCTCGTGAGGTCTGTGATGTTGTCGGCCAAGGACCCGACGAGCTCAATCTTGGGCTTGTAGTGAGCTACAAAGTCGGCTGGCTGGACGTCCACATGCAGGATTGTAGTATCACGCGCGTTCCACATGTTTGCATCGTATTCGGCTTGATCTAATCCGACGGTGATGATTAGATCGGCATGTTGAAGCAGTTGATCGCCTGGCTGGTTGCTGAATAGACCGATTCGGCCGTAAAAGAGGTGGACGAGCTCCTTGGAGATGGCTCCAGCAGCTTGAAACGTCTCGACAACCGGCACGGGGTGTTTTCTGAGAAAGCCGTGGACAGCACTGATGGTGTCGTCCGACTCAGAAACCCGCATGCCGAGAAACAAGACGGGGGCTTTGGCTGCAGAAATCAGGTCCGCGGCTGCTTGGAGGGTTGTCTCTGGGGATTTGCCGTATTTTGGAGGAACGAAGGATTCTGCTGGAAACGCCGTGACTGTGGATGTGCTCTTGTTCGGAGTCATCAAGTCAATGGGCAGGCTCACAGCCGTAGCCCCAGGAGGAGAAGCCGCCGCGACTCTAAAGGCATCCAGCATGATCTCGGCAACCTGGTCCTCGACCACGGCCGAAACGACCTTTTTCGTGACGGGGGCCAGCAGATCTACACCGCGCAGGCTCTGATGCGTCCTCTGCAGTGACTGAGACCGCTTGACGCTTCCCACAATGGCCACTACGGGAGCTCCCTCATCCGTCGCAGTGACCAGGCCGGTGACGAGGTTGCTGGTGCCCGGGCCGGACGTGGCAATGCAAACGCCGGGGAGGCCCGTGACCTTGCCCATGGCGGCGGCAATGAAGGCGGCATTCTGCTCGTGCCGGCAGACGACGAGCTTGATGTCTGGGTGGTCGATGAGGGCGTTGAAGACGGAGTCGATTTTGGCGCCGGGGACGCCAAAGACGTATTTGACGCCGGCGGCCTTGAGGGAGTCGATGAGAATGTCGACCGTGTCTTTGGCCATGGTTGAGTTGAGTTTTGCAAGAATGGTTTTGCAAGACGTACTTTGATGACAGGATTGAAGCTATATAAACCCGAGTTACATATGAATGAGCTACTACATATGAATGACGACGTTATCCGTGTAAATGGACGGCTCTCGGGCGCTAAGAGCTAGCTTCCGCTGTGCCATGTTGTCATAGGGCAAGATACGGCGGGCTGAGAGCCGGAGATGCCTACCGGTCTCGGAACCTGCGGAATGTGTTGGTGCAAGTTTTACTTGACGGGACTTCTTGATTGCATTTGAAGACTGTGATTGTTGAGATTTTTCTTGACTACTGAGATTGAAGCTATGTAACGCGACGTCTTATCCCGCTACCGACTTCGCAGCCCTACGGTGGATGATGGTGGACGCCAACTTGACTCACCACTGCTCGTCTAATAGCGTAGACAAGCCATGATAAGCTGGTTCTGTTTATCTCGCTTTGTTGTTGAAATTATCATAATTAATGATTTTTGCCAGTATTTATTCACTGGAAACAGCGGTACTAGCGGGCTTGTAGCTGAAAACCACCAGATGAATTGACCCCCGACTGTATCGATTCTATTACCCTCTTTTACCGGAGAATGCCACTCTCAGCAACATGAAATGCAGCATGCACTAAACGAAAATGCCATTAACAGCAGCCCGATCTGTTAGTCGTACTCAGATGTGTAGTTATAATACAGCCAAACATCTCTGCCACTATTTTCTCTTCGCAACCCACTTGCCTCAGCCGTCTAGAGTGCGCCACCCGCCCAAACCCTCCGTATATTCGTATATGTGCCCGATGCGGCCCCACTCGCCCGGAACTTCGTCAACTTTCCTCATAAAGACGGTAGTCATTCAAATAGAACTGACTACTTCTTTTAACAATGCTTATTAATTCTTAATAATTCATTCTGCCTCTCAGTGTAATGTACATGTTCGTGTAGTCGTATGGCCATCTCCGGAAGAGGTTGATGCTTCGCCAACTACTCTCAGAAGACAAAAATAACTCGAATAGCTAAGTCATATCTAGGTTTTAACGCTACTTCTTATTATTCCTTGTTGGTTTCTCCATAATTCTTAATAATTCACTTGTTTCTTAGCGATTAGTATGCCACTGCCTGGTTGTGCGTGTATTCGTGTGGTTAACTCGGAAGAGCGTCGAAGTTCTTTCTAGTTCTACATAGCAATGGTTGGCTTTTTGATGGGCTTGCTTCTTAACGGGACTGCTGGACAATGTAACTCTTCTTCTATAAAAGAACAGTTGTTCTCGCTTCTGTTTCTTGGTTACAAACAACACTGTTTGCTTCTAACAAGTATATACACACATATATAAACACTAGCTTTTGCGGCTCTTTTCGATCTCATATAACTGCATTCTTTCTCTATTTCTATAAATATACACATCTCTATATACACATATATCCATCATGCTCAACGGATTCTCAGTCCCCCTCACCCCATCTGGGAAATCATCCCTCGTCTCCTCTCCCCCCTGGCACTACTCCAGCGACTGCATGGCCATCGAATACTTCACCGACCCAAACGCCATCGCCGCCCTCCTCCCTCCCGGCCTCACCGCCGACCCCTCCTCCCCAGGCCGCGCCTTCTTATGGTTCCTCGACTGGCAATTCACCGGCTCCGACGACGAGCTCACAGACCCCGCCCGCTACCAATACCGCGAGGCCTTCATCCTCGTCGAAGCCATCTTTGAAGGCAAGCCCGTCAACTACTGCCCGTACATCTTCGTCGACAACGACGCCGCCATTGCGCGCGGCTGGGCACAGGGATTCCCCAAGAAACACGCGTCCGTCTTCCAAACGCGCAGTTTCGCGGCGCCCAGTCCTGCTGCTGCGCCGCTTGCGCCGGGGAGTCGTTTCGGCGCGAGTGTGTCTGCGCATGGAGAGCGGATCGCCACGGCGCGCATCCAGCTTGAGGAGAAGGTCGCCGACCCGAGAACGGTGTTTAACAGGCCTACTGTGATGCGGCGCTACTTTCCGCAGCTTGTGGCTGCAAGGCAGGACAGGCCGGCGGTGGACGAGCTGGCTATGAGCCTGACGGATAACCTGAACATTGTGGATGTTTGGGCTGGAGCGGCGGAGGTGAAGGTTCCGGAGGTGTTTGGAGAGGAGGTGCATTTGATTGCGCCGCTGCGGGTTGGACGGGGGTATCGGTTTGGCATGTCGTATTCTGTTACGGATTTGAGAATCTTGAGGGACTATGCTGCGGAGCGAGAGCCTGTTGTATCAGCTAGTCTGGTAAAGGAGATGGAGAGCTGATTGCTAAGACGTTGAACACAGAAGGTATATATATATATATATAGAGGTATACCTATACTAAGATATATGACTTACATTGAACTGGATAAGATTCAACATGTTTTGCCAACAGTTGATCAAATGTTGTAATCTCTTGTATATTTAATTCTTTTACTTTATTTGTCTTTGCACTATTGCTGAAGCCACATACAGCTATAATAGCACTGCTACATCGCCGCTATATGACACAATCCACCTTTTCTTATTCATTATAGCTTTTCAAGCACAAACCATCTGCTAGATTTCAAAAACGTCGTATTCCAGATTCCATCTTGAACTCTCATCAATAGTCGTCTCCGCGGCTGATGACCTCCTTCACGGTGGGTCGAATAAGGATAGTCTATACATGAAATTAGTCATTGCGTCGTGCTGTTCATGCGAGTAGAGATTGCAACTTACGTGCTCATACTGAGCAGTGTACGAGCCCTTTTTGTCAACCAAGGGCGGGTACGCCTCGACAATGTCGTTTTGCACCAGGCTGTTGAGCTGTTTCGTGAAGAAAAGAACATGTCAGCGTCAAACCATTTCTTTTCAGTAAAAAAGTGAACTTACACCAAGCAGATACTTCTCCTGGCCCAGGCGATCGAGGTATCGTCGACAGAACGGCAACGTTCCAAAGTTCTTGTTAATCACATTAAGCAACGACTTGGCCGAGCTCAACCGGAGATCAACGTGCGACACGTCTCCGACCTTTGCATAGTGCGAAACTTCTCCGTCATCGCGCACATAGCCGTTGCCCGTGCTGCCAAATGTCTCAATGGCAAACACGTCACCCTCCTCCATCTTGGTCTGGTCGTTGCTCTTGACAATGGGCACCGCCTTTGTGCCATGGATGCTGTACGGCAGGATGGTGTGGCCCGTCAGGTTGCGGATGCTCTTGACCGGGTAGGTCGTGCCGTCAATCTCGACCTCGTAGCTCTCCATGACCTCCTGGATGACGCCGCCAATCTCGCCGACGCGGGCGTCGATGCCGGCCTCGCGGATGCCGGCGTTGGTGGCTGCTCGCACGGCCGCGAGGAGAGGATCGTACTTGGGCTCAAAGGCCATGGTGAAGGCAGAGTCGACAATCTTGCCGTTGACGTGGACGCCAAAGTCCACCTTCATGACGTCGTTTTGCTGCAGCACCATCTTGTTGCCCGCGTTGGGGGTGTAGTGCGCCGCGCAGTGGTTCAATGATAAACCGCAGGGGAAGCCCATGCCGGCCTTGAGCGCATCGCCCTCCTCCAGGCCCGAGTGGCCCGTCAGCGCGCGCACGCTGTCCTCGATGGTCTCGGCGATCTCGGTCAGGCTCTGGCCGGGCTTGATGACCTTTTGCGCATACTGGCGCACCTGGCGGTGGATCTCGGCCGCCTCGCGGTAGTCAGCCAGGAATTCGCTGTTGAGGTTGTCTAGGTGGCGCTTCTCCTCGTTGGTGGTTCGGTAGCTGTTCTCGTCCTTGTACTCGACCTCCTCGCCCTTGGGGAAGTTCTTGTTGGGGAACAGCTGGCTGACCAGGACGCGAGGTGGCTCGGTCTGGCTGGTGGGATTCTTCTTCTTCTTCTTGGGCTTTCTCTTCTTCTTCTTCTTGGCAGCGCCGGCGGCGGGCGTGGCATCCTCGGCGTCGTCCTCGGAGTCTTCGTCGTGCGCATCTTCGGCTTGGCCGTTGGTCGTACCAGCCTGGCCAGCGGGCTGGGTACCGTCGGCCACTGCAATTGCGCATCGAGTCAGCATGTACGGCGCTTCCACAAGCTGGAATTCAACAGCAATGCTCACCTTTCAGCTCCTTGAGAGCTTCAGTGGGAATTTGGGCTGCCATCTTGGCTGACTTGTACTATGTTGAATGTGCAGGTCTAAAATTTTGGCAGATGCGGCTTTGCAGCGGCTAACCCCGCCATAGGCGCTGACAAAATTAGGTATAGCGGGAAAGGGTCAAGTGTACAGCTAATCGGTATGAAGAGTGACTAGCTAATTTTGTCAGTTTCAAAAGTTGCGTATGACATCAATCCTTGGTCTCGAGTACCTGTATCCTCGGCATAACCACCACCACCACCACCATGGCAGCATTAATCCGCCAACGAGCTTGTACTTTGGATAATTGGCCAAATAGCTGTACTCCTAGTACAACATACAATACTACCCATCCGCATTATGCATCGTAGCAGCATACTTTGGGCACCTGCAGCCATGACAGGCCTGAATGACTTCCCAGTGGAGAGACGTGGGGTTGCCCTGATAAAACGGCGGGGCTCTTGATCTCATACGTCTCACAGATTCCCAGGCAGAAGCCTTTCAAACATCAATCAAAGACTGGACCTCACAGAGAAGCCTCTCTGCAGATTAATAGTCTGAAGATAGATGAGGTCTATAGGCCAACATGGAGCCTCAAGTACAGAAACTGGTAGACAAGGTGCGGAAGAACTACCTAAGTACACCTCAGGACCAGCGCCTGTGTAAGTCAGCCAAATATATATCTTGCAGCTTCAGTCAAATGACTATTACACCATTCGCACATGATATGATTAGTCTATGCTAACAGCTCTCATTCATCCAGTAATCGGAATCGGCGGCATCCCAGGCTCAGGCACGTCCACCCAAATAAACCCTCACCCATTGATTCCCATCATCACTAACAAACCACCAGGCAAAACAACACTCGCCCAAACCATCACCTCCAAACTCAACGCCCTCGCCGCATCCTCCCCAAATGCTTCTCCCCCAGCAATCTTCGTCCCCATGGACGGCTTCCACCTCACCCGCGCCGAGCTCTCCGCCATGCCAGATCCAGTAACCGCCCATGCTCGCCGCGGCGCCCCCTACACATTTGACGCGCAAAAGTTCCACACGCTGGTGCAATCACTAAGAAAACCCATTTCGTCTGAGCAAACGATATACGCTCCCTCTTTTGATCACGCTGTGAAGGACCCCAAGGAGAATGACATTGCCGTGCTGCCGACGCATCGCATTGTCGTTATTGAGGGGAACTACGTGGCGCTGAATAAGGAGGTGTGGCGGGATGCTGCGTTGTTGTTTGATGAGCTGTGGTTTGTGGAGGTTGATTTTGAGGTGGCGAGGAAGAGGTTGAGGGAGAGGCATGTGCGAGCAGGCATTGCTCAGACTATAGAGGAGGGTGATAAGAGAGCTACGGAGAATGATTTGGTTAACGGGAAGGAGATTGTGGATTGTAGATTGCAAGTACAAGAGCTGATAACAAGTAGAGAAGACGGCACGTGGGTTCATGAATAGACAGTCTTGGAATATATTCATCGATGAGAACAAGATCTTTTGTTTCCTTCGAAAAGCCTGTAATGAACTAAGATAAGGTGATATGTAAGCCAAGCAAATGCTAACACAGCTTCGCCATAAGAAAAACTATCAAAGTAGAAAGAAGGATGATACATTAGCAAGGTGTTAAAAATCCAACAGATGCAATCCATAGCAAACCCCAAACACCCAATGGTACAAGCAGACACAAGCTTTTCCAAACCAAACCAAACTGCTTTTCAGCTGTCCTCTGGCACCACCGGCTCATGGAAAGCCTGCTCATGAGGCTGGTCAACACTTGCACGGGCAGCCAGGCTCAGCCTCTTCATCTCAGGGGCCATCGTCACTCCCGTACCCTTTCTACTCCGCGTCGCCTCCTCCCACCTCTTTTCGCTCTTTTCGTCCTTGACCGCAGGTTTATGGGCTGTGCCGTCCAGGCCCAGCACCTCCATTAGCTCAGGCAGCTCTACGTGATCTCTCGTGTTCTTCATCCTGTGGCACCAAGTGATCCTCTTATCCTCAGCCCGCTCGCCCTCGACTTTGTCCTGTGTGGTTGCTGGCTCAGCAAGCGATCCAAACTTGGGCGGCTGTTCCTGTGTCGGCGTTGAAATCGGCGTCGCGACATTGTAAGGCTCGTAGAGGAACTCGCCGCCCACCTGGCGGTGATCACCAGACTTGAGAGCCAGGCCCTTGGGTACGTGCTTGAGGCCCTGGACGATGCTGTCAAAGATACCCCTTGACGTGCTCTTCTTTGTGTATGCGGGCTTGGCGCCCATTTGAAGCGTCTTGACCATGCCCAAAGCGTCGAACAATGACCGGGTCGGGTCGGTGTATATGGGGAACTGGCAGCCCGTCTCTTTGGCATACATGTCGATCAGGCCGGGGTCGCCGCATCCCACAACGGTGATGAAGGTGCTGATGGGTAGTCGGAGGAGAGAATCGGGGGTGATGGCTTCGGAGAGAGTGCGGAGGTATTCTTGGCAGTTCTAAATGCAAGAAAGAATGTTAGCTGTCAGGTATACTAGGATGAAGGGCTATCGTCAGGAGAGAATGCATACGCCACAGAAGAAATGCCGAATAAAGATGACGAGCACTCGTCTAGCCTTGTTCTCGCCCATGTACAGGCTCTTGAACGTCTTCGACTTGCCATGGCGGTCCAGCACAATGTAGTTCTCAATCATCTTCTGGACCTCGGCCGAGGGCAGCTCGTTGTTCGTCGACAGCTCGCCATCGAAATCCTGTGGTTGCGACTTGTCGATGTCGATTGATGAGGGCTTGGAATGTCTATGCGACGACGCCCTGTCCGAGTGCCTGTCGTGAGCGTCCGCCTCGTCATGGCTGTGGGCAGCACTGTCGTTGTGAGTGTGTGGCGTTTGCTGATCGATGTCGCTGAGGATGCCCGTAAAGGTGTGTTGCGGGGGGTGGGCCGGGCCAGCACCGTCGATCTGCACGTCTGCCATTTGGAGAAGGATTTGATGCCGATGGTTGTTGTAAAGTTGCAGTGTAGCAGTAGCAGTGCTGATAGAATAACAAGAGGCTGCTCTATCGCACACAGCGGAAAGGAGAAATATATAGGTACGTAGTCGTGTATCATGTCATGTCCAGCTGCAGCCGGATTTCAAGTTTCCAGGGGCCGCTTGGAGCTCCAGCTGGCGCTAACTGCCAACTCCATGCCGTAGTCCGTCCCCAGGCTCTGGAGCCAGAGTTACTCCGTCAGGTCAGCGGCGAGCAGCTTCACTGCGCCACGCACTGGCCAATGCCACGACAATTGCAGGGAACCCGTTGCAGCAGTGGCAGTGACAGCGACAGTGACAGCGACACCTCGTTTTGCTGGCATGATTTTCCTGGTGAGCTGCTGACCTGACCTCCGGTTTGATTGGACGTGGCGTAGTAGCTGGGCTGGACGCTGTGCGAATCAAGGCATGTGAAAGAACAGGCGACAGGCCGGCGGTGGCCAATCATGTTGCGCCGCTCGGTGAGAACGCAACGATCGAACCAATGACTAAGCAGAGACAGGCCCCTGTAATGCCCGTTTGGTGTTGCGTTGACCTCAACCATCATCGTCGGCAGAAATTCCCAAAGCAGAACCCCAAACGTGCGGCCCAGCTTATTCGCCTTCTAAGCCACCCGCGTGGCTCAGCGGCTGTGTTTCGTTTCATCAAAATAACTCTTTGCTTGGCACGTACTATCAGTCAATCCCCATTCTCATAGAAAATAGACCCAGAACGGCAAGAGGAAAACTAATACAGCCCGCTAGCGATATAACAGTGTCTCCACCGATCTCATTCAATCCCCCGTATTCAGATTCTGTCACCCAGACTCACTTCGCTTCGCCATCGTCCAAATCCAACCTTCCTGTTCCAACCATGTCCGACGCAGATGAAAACGATCTCTTCAACATTCAAGTCTCAGACTCTGAGGACGACAAGGTTGAGAAAAAGTCCCGGCGCACCGGCCAGACTGAAGATGAGTTTCAGGCCGTGAAAAACACTTACCGCGCCAAGGTGGAGAATGGCAATGTAAGTCCATTCCCTCTTCTTTTCTCAAGATATAGACTCGAATCCCCATCGTAACCAAGTGCTTCTCATCTAGATTCAGCAAACCATCACTCTTCCTCTAGAGCCTGGTGCCAACAAACAGCATGTCCAAGAGGTTCTTCATGCCGCAGAGGAGCTCTACTTCTTTCGCCGCTATCAAGAGGTCGTTGACCTTGTATCACGAGTCTTGACCCCAGAAGGCGACAAAGGGGGCTTGGATGAGGAGACAAAACAGATTCTGTCCATGTATCAATCGAGATGTAGACAAAAAATGAAACAAAATGATTGAACGCCCGCCATCTTAGCACGGCCACGATGAAAGACTGGGATCACTCACTCAGATGTGCGCTGCGCCTACAATCAACACCAGCTCGTTTTACACAGCCCATTTCTCGAGTTCATTGTTACATTCAACTATAGCTGTACACTGAACAGGCCTTCCTCAGTCACATTACAAGATAGTAAGCAGCCTAAATAGGCCCATCCCTTTTTTGTCCCTTCAGTATTCCGTTCAGATACAAAACCGCAATATTATCTACCAGTTAACAATCCCAATTATCCCCACCAAAATCTTTCCCCTCCCACACCGTCCTCAGATACCGCTGTTATTAGAAACCAGCAAACTTGCCTTCGTTCTCCACGGGCTTGTCCGCCCACCGCGAGGAGCTGAGGCCTTTTGAGTTTGGCTTCTGGCTCTCCAGGGGAGCAGGGCTCTTAGGAGCAACCGTCGTCGTTGGAGCTTTTAGGGGGATATCGATCAACTTTTTGACAGACTCTAGCTTTGGATTCATGGCCGACAACCCTTTAGGAGCAGAGTCAGTGCATGCGACCACCTATATTTGTGTTTGGCAAAACATACCGCTTGGAGTGGCTGTACCACTTGGAGTGGCACTACCGCTTGGAGTGACCGTACCGCTTGGGGTGGCTGTACCGCTCGAGCTGGCCCATCGAGATGTCGCAAGTCCTCCAGCCGCTTTCAGACGAGAACTAGAGGGTACCTGATCTTTTTGTTTGGCTATGCTTAAACCTGTTTTCTTCTTGGGAAGCGAACCTTTTTGGATCTCATGCAAGCCCGAAGCATTGATCTTATCTTTGCGCGACACGGCCTGTGCTTCTAGCTCCTTGATATCGGTAGGAGTATACTTGATCTTCTTGCTCGGCTTTTCAACAATCTCTTGGAGGTCTTGCAGCGTTTCGCTCGAGATGGTCACGGAATTCATGTGGCTCATGTGATTGCTTCCATGCCTAAACTGTACCTTTCTTTTGATTCGAACCAAGAGTCGGAGAAGTTCGGCGAGTTCATCTTTCAGCTCATCAGACTCCGTCTCTGTCGTCATGAAGCCTTGCGCCATCCAGTTGGAAATTGCCGTTGATTCGATTTCCTCAATACCCTTTTCGGGAACCTGAATACCGGTCGCAGTGATCTCAGACAGTATTTGTTGAACTAAACCTTGCATGTGATCTGCAGCGGCCTCAATGGTGAGTGCTGGATTGGAAGGAAAATCATCACCTGTGTCCACCAAGCTCTCTCCGGCTACGCTTTCTCGAGTGTCTCGCTGTAACGATGTCTCGGTGGAAGCTGCTGCTTGCAAGGAAACCTTATCGTTGCCATGATCCCTCGTCGGAGCTGTTTTAGTTACCTGAGATGCAGTGTTTGATGGAGTGTTCGGAGTATTAGCTTCGGTCTCTTTGTCAGTGGTGGACATGTTGTTAGCAGTAGGGGTCTTGCTATCATTAGGCGTCTTGTCAGCAGTGGGAGCCTTGTTAACAGTTGGCGTCGGGGTTTCCTTTGGAGAAACAAGACTAGGTTCTTTGAAGCGAAGAGCAGATTGCTGCAGACTTTTGAGCAAGTATTGGAATCCTTCTGCGGCGACAGAAGTCCGAAACTTCAACTTGTAAAGGCGCTCTCGCTGAGCATTGAAGACTAGGCAGAATGGACCTTGTATCACCGGTGTGTCAAGAGTTAGGACATCGTGAACCGATTTCCCCTTGTCTGGCAACTGCATCACCAGCAAACCTTTGTTCTTTTGGAGCTGCACTTTCAACATGAATTTTATCGTGGAAGAAGAATTGTCCGACTCATTGACGGTCTCGCAGTTGCCCTGAGACAATAAGTGCTCCTGGGCTTGAAGCGGTGTGGAAGGATTTGGCTTTGATTCCGTTGTGGAGATCGGAGGTCCTTTGGCGCTGGGTACTACTGGTACCTTTGAACTGTTTGCTACCGCCGTGTCTCTGCTGGCCTGTGTGTTATGATGAGGGAGTGCCTTCCTGTTTGAAGCAGGAGGCAAAGCTGATGCAGGAACCCTGCCAATGCTCCCCGTAGACCTGATAGAAGAAGGTGGTTTGGGAATCGCAAAGGGTCTGAATGGCTTTGTCTCTGGTTGATACCGAGGTGGTGCTCTAGGATTAAGATTGGAGGATCAGCACGATTGCAATGTACGTGTTTTGGAAGTGGCGTCTTGACTTACGACTCAACCGCATGGCGTGCCATGAATTGGTTTGTCAACTTCGCCCAAGGTCGAGCATTGCCAAGCTCGAGGCCTTCCATCTGCTCGCTCTCCTCGTCCACGATTTTGACTGTACATGGTTAGACAGAGCAAGGCTTTGACACCGATATTTCATTGGCTTACCTCCCCACTTGCTCCCCAGCTGCTCTTTGCGAGCCTGAGGGATGTGGCTTGTTCCAGATCGACCAGGGAGATAGGTTGGCCGCTTGGCGCGGTCACTCAGTGGAAGCTCGTCCTGCCTACTTCTGCCGAGGTCGGCCTAGAGTTGAGGAATGTCAGCACACCTTCGTGTATGCCTTTTTGCATCAGGCTGCCGTCCCTCTAAATGACGGGAATAGGCCTTCTCCATCCACGCCAATAATGGAAGGCAGAGCGAAATCAGACAAAATTGATCTTACCATCAGAGCCTCCTTGACAACCTCAATGTTTGGGGCTGTCATTGTGATGTCTCAAAACTAGAAGTCTTGACGAATGGCGATGATTGAAATGTTTCCTCATATATCCGTGGTGTTGAGGAGGAATGTCTTTTCAGCGCAGTGGTGACCTTGGTGTTGAGAGGAGGTAATGAAGAGAAGGCAAAATATAGTGAAGGAAATGCGAGGAAAGTGGCAGAAATAGTGAAAAAGGATCGAAAATCTGGGACGAAAGAGTGACTGTACTGTTCGATGATACAGGGCGGTTGCAAGCGGCCTGCTTGGTTCGATAGAGGGATGAGGAGGATCAGACTGCTGTGAAGGGTAGAAGCTGTGCCAATATTGGATGGAGAAGATGCACATCAGATGTAGGGTTTGAAATTTCTAGATCTCTGAGAGTCTAGAAGGGGGGATTAAATAGCAGCATACCTCAGGCACCCAAGCAGTAACCGGCTTGTATTTCGGGTGCAGGCAGGTGCCAGGCTTCCTAGGCGCGGATATCTGCGCTTAGCCTGACAGATGGCCATTGCCTAGCCAACTGAAATGTGTTTACTTTTGAGTCTTGTTGCATGCGAGAATATGTAGGCACAGTTGCATTATCTGCGTTCAGCATACTAGTATACGCTGCAGGAGTGGTACTGACATCCAAGTATGAAGGGGTTGATAGCTTGTATCTACTTGCAATTCCTAAAACCGTTAGAGATATGGCTATATATCTACGATAAAGCAAACAAGAACACTCTAGAAAACTTATTGAAGTAAAATTCATTCTTTTCACTATAGTACTATCCATTACCGCATTCTGATGCACTAATCTTCTATTCCGATCGCTGTATTATACAATGCTATTCCCTGGTATTTATCTTGATATGAAAGGGACCTGCTCTATGCATGTATGTACGCACTCCATCTGATTACAGCTTGTTACCCCTGAAACCTTTTATCATTCACCAAGGTTGTGTCCAAGTGTATGACCTCCCTCCGGTACCACTAGAGATCCGAAAATACTACCCTTTCAAGTAATGAACTCTGCTAATCTTCTAATGTCAAAGAGCATCAAGTCGTCTCAGGCAATACTAGTATATATTTGATGTCAAACTACATCATAAACGGCATATTTTGTTCCGCTGCCAACCGCCTCTTATCTCTCATTGACCTCGGCCATCTGCCGGGACCCCAACGATTTTTCCCTCACATTAAATAGTTGCTTACCGTACAATCTGCCCAAGTGCTATTAATTCAGTATATTTAGAAAGAATCCTGTCGGTCTTTGGGAATCGCCGCAAATCTCATATGAGAATGAGAGTGCGCTGAATGGCACGCGGCAAAAGACTAGATCTGATGCCCGTACCAAAACACCAAATTCGGTGTGTATTAGTCCGGTGAATTTCACCCCATTTGCACGGGTGCACAAATAGTTGGCGTCTGGCCAGATTTGTTTCATCTTAATGGCTATTCGCTTGTAAATTGCCCAATATCCGCGCTAAATCCGCAGGAAATGGCCGTTAATTGAGATCGAACAATGTTCGCATTTTGATCTCGGCTTAGCGATCAGCGAGATCAAGCCGCGAGGCCCGCTAATCCCTGGGTGTGGCGCTTCTTCGAGATGCGATGTCGGCAGATCGATATATGCTGTACTTCCTTACTGGGAAAATCAGCAGCTTTTTGTGCTGAGATGGCAGCATTCCACCCCGCGTTTACACTTCGACTAGGTACCGTGGAAGGCATAGATAATGCGGGGGAATGAGACAGCTAAGATCTGCATTGTACACCGACTTGGCTTATATAAAACACTAGCCGTGGATCTCTGGACTTGTTCTCGCCAAGAAAAAAAACCGCCAACGTTCTAATCATCAGCCACGCAGAAGAAGACATCATGGCGAGAAAGGTGGCCGCATCGGAGATTCTCCAGCACAACAAGAGGGGCGATGTATGGATTGTGGTTGAAGGAGAAGTGTACGACATAACTCAGTTCGCACCAGAGCACCCCGGCGGGCAAGAGAGTACGTTTCAACCATCAACAGCACTCGGTAACGGTGTCAGTACTCTAGATACACTCTGCTCACGCGCCTTTAGTTATATATAAGTTTGCCGGAAAAGATGCTACTGAGGAATATAGTCGGGTACATTCGCCTTCACTGATCCGAGAGACTCTGGGAGAGAAAGGCCATATCGGATCCTTCGATGAATCCACCATGACAGAAGACTGGAAAGCTGCCAATCAGCCCTCAACCCAACTTGCGCTGGTGAAATCAGGCGAGAAGCCGGCACTTGATGACATTTTTAACATGGATGACTTCGAAAAGGCGGCGCATATTGCATTATCCGACAAGTCTTGGGCATATATCTGGGGAGGATCGAATGATAACATCACACGAGACGCCAACAGTTCCATGCTTCGCCAGATCTGGATGCGCCCGAGAGTCTTGCGCAACGTTGGTACTGTGACAACAGGCACGAAACTTTTTGGATGTGAGCTTGACATACCCGTCTTCATATCACCTACTGGCGCTGCACGAGCTGGCGGTGCCGAGGGTGAGTTGACGCTGGCTCGAGGAGCGAATGCGGCGGGAATCGTTCATTGTTTCGCGACTCCCTCATCATATACGCATACCGAAGTTTTAAACGAGACCAAGCGTCAAGCCTTCTTCCAGCTATACGTGGACAAGAACCGTGCCAAGTCTGAAGCTGCCATCCGGACGATCGAGGCTAGCGGTAAAGTAAAGGCCATTCTGCTGACGGTTGACGTTCCCGTAATACCCAAACGAGAAGACGACGAGCGCGTAAAGTCAACAGAACAGCTGGCAGTATCGGGAGTCGGTACGAATTTCGGAACCGAGACAAGTGACAAGAAGGGCGCCGGTTTTGCGCGCCAAGCAGCATCATTCATCGATCCGACGACTAGCTGGGACGATCTCAAGTGGCTACGGAGCATCACGCAGCTGCCCATTGTTATTAAAGGCATCCAGACCGCGGCAGATGCCATGATGGCTGCGAAAATGGGAGTTGAGGGCATTGTCATCAGTAACCACGGCGGTCGCGCAGCTGATACTGCGCCGCCTTCTATTCTTGTCCTACTAGAGCTGCAGAAGCAGTGTCCCGAGATATTCGCCCAGCTTGAAGTGCTGATTGATGGTGGTTTCCGACGAGGATCAGATATTGTCAAAGCGATTTGTTTGGGCGCATCTTCGGTTGGGATGGGCAGGCCGTTTCTCTATTCGTTGAGCTACGGTCAAGAAGGTGTAGAGCATGCAGCATGGAGTAAGTTTTTCCGTTTCTGTCTATCTAACCATATGAACTTGATATGAATATATGTAATAACTAATAACATTTGCAGTTCTGAAAGAAGAAATCGAGACGGCTATGCGTCTGTGTGGCATGACGGATTTGATGAGGGACGCGCATCCGGATCTTGTAAACACCAGCAGTCTTAACTTTATGGTGCCCGGGCTTCGACATCCTTACGCGCGCAAAGTCGACAAATCGGCCGGATGGCTTAGTTCTTTACGATCTAAGCTGTAGATAATGGAATAGAAGCCTCGATCGGAACGGTTGATAGGAAACATGGTACATACCAAAAATATCGCTTGGCTGCCCCGGGCTATGAACGCATTTACGACGAGATATATTGGGCCATCGACCAGAAATGTATCAACCACAACTATTCAAGAGCTCTTACTGTTAGGCATGAACATTACGAGCAATCCCTCGAGAAATATTTGTGTTTTCATGATTCTGCATACGAAGACGAGTCATATTGAAAATCAGCGACATGCATACAAGATTAGGATATGGGGTATTTCTAGAGGGTGTTTAAAATTGGCCTTTTTATGACATGATGAAGTATTTTTTATTTCACTCAAATAGCAATCCATATGAGGCGCTCGCATGCATGTTGCCTCGCTGTGTAAATGCACCCGACATATGCTTTGAACCATGTAAACGTGTGAGCTTATATATGACTGGCACAGCGACTTCTTCATACCTATTCCCTAACTCACGAACAACAGCCACTGCCATTGCTATTCGCCGTCACACCATTCTGAGCGTCGCCCTGGCTGACCGTCCGACAGAAACAGGACGATTGCACAGTGATATCAGCTAACCACGTCGCCAACTTTAGTGGCAGCTCAAGCATCTTGGCTTCAGCAGTTCGTCCCAGCAACGTCAAACACTCATGGTAGCCATGCAACGCCCAAATGTTATTCGGATGTTGGTGGCCACGCGGCAGAGACTCGTCGAATCCAAGGTCCTCTGCATACGCCTTGGCGGCTTCTTCGACGCGGCCCTGTTCCAGCAGCAGCGCCGCGTAGGCGTGTCGAGACGGCTGCATCCAAGCCCATGGCTCGCTGTAGTTGAGATGGTCGTCTAGGTCGATCGAGCGACGCAAATGATCAAAGGCCAGTTCGTAATTACCGCGGCGGTATTCAATCTCGCCGGCCAGCATTGCTTCGCCGACTGCTAGGATGTCGATGCAAGTGTTTGGGAAATCCATTCGTGAGGGAGGTACACGCCTTACAGCTTCTCTGAATAGGCTTTGTTGTATCAACGCCTCGTCTATTTTTCCTGTAGCGGCGAAAGCGACACCTTTGGCATAATAAATTGTGGCGGTTGTGACGCAGTAGAGAGACTGATTTGCCGGAAGCTCGAGATTGATGATGTCGTCCCAGCGGCCGAACCTGATCAAGACGTGAGGTCGGACTGCAATAAAAGCTTCCAACCAGTCTGCCATGGGCGGGGATTTGATGGAGAGCAGCTCTGCGGGGAGTGCATCCTCCATGTGTTCGCAGTTTTCAATGGCGATTTTCGACTGCCCGGATAGCATGGCGGCGTAGATTAGAGAGTGATAGTTGTGGCCTCGGTAGAGAGAATACATGCTCATGCCACCGACCCTATCTACGAATTCCCGATCAGCTTTGACAGCGACGGTGTTGGCGGTAATGGAGGCTTGATAGTCTCCAATGAGAATGTCGAGATGTGAGGGCATATGATTCAGATGAGCGCAGTCGGGTACAAGTCCCCTTAGAAAGTTGCCCGAAGGAACGGCGGCTTCAGGCGTGCGCGACATCTCCATGAGATGGATATGCAGATGAAGCAATCCCGGGTGCTCGCTGGCGCCTTTTTGCTTCAGAGCTCTCGAAATAGCTGCCTCAGCTTCAAAAGCGCGAGAGTTGGGTCCTGGTTTGCCGCTGTATGGATCCCACATTGCCCATGGAGTGAGATTCATGAGGGCGTCGATATAGAGGGCAGCGACGTCCAAGTCGTCGCCGAATTGCTCGTAGGCAACTCCCATGGCATCAGCGTACGCGCGATTCCATACCGAATAGTCTTCTGTCGGAGTGCGCTGTGGAAATCGTGCAACGAGCCCATGGATGAGAGCCTGTTCGACCGGACTGGCATTTTCCACGAGTTCCAAAGCCTTTCGCGATGCGGTATAAGTGGCGTCAAGGGACGTCTTGAGATCCTCGGGATCAAACAAACGCCACGCTTTGTTATAGTAGGGGCCGCGGGTGTATGCTAGTCCCCAGTATCCCATGGCACAGCTGGGATCTGCTAGGATAACCTTCTCAAAGCAGCTTGACGCCTCCTGCGTGTTGAAGCCGTAGGCCCAAATGAGACCTCGGTTAAACCATCGCTGGGCGTCAGGACTATCTGTTGTAATGGGGCGATGATAGGTCCCAAGATCAAAGTAGCCATCATCTTCTAGGGCCGCTAGTTTGGCTTCCATAGTCGAATAATTGATTACTCTGTGCTTTCAGTATGAGCTTTTTATGTACATGTATCAAGTGAAGCCTTCTTAGCATTCAACTGACGACATATCTTAGTAACAACACGAAGGCGGGGTTAAGCTTGAGTGCAGCTTTGCCTACTATTTACCCAGCTGTTTAAACGCAGCCGTTTCAATTTCGCACTTACAACATTTAGCTGACGTAACGGGTAATTGGCTGTTACTCTTTTGAGAAAATGCTCGATCTATGCGTGCATATGCTTGGCAGCATGGCAATCGTATACTAGAACTTTTTAGCTTCTTCCTTCGTTCTATAGACATGCATCCACTAAGCTTAGTTGACCCTTGTTAACACCTGAATCTAGTGAGACAGCCATACATAGTAGTTGTGTATAAGCTTAACACAACTTTTCAATATCGTACTTGCACAACCTCTATGACAAAAGGGTAGTTGTATATCACCACATCAAGTAAACGCCGCATTGCTTCATATTATTTAGCTCACACATAACTGCTTTACTGCGCCTTTCTTCCGTGTCCTATACACTCGCTTGGCTTGACGACCATTGTTTGTAGATCTCCGCGGGGCTATTAGTAATTTCTGCGGGATCTTGGTAATTTACACTCTGCATACAACACGAAAAAGAACCGAGTATAATGAACAAAGGCATTGATAACATCAAACCCATATCTTTATGAAACGATTCTAAGATGGTTTACATTCTGTCACGTATCTCTGATCAACGTACACTCATCGAATCCATAATCAAGAAATGGAGATGATAAGTAGCGTGTCCATAGAGACTACTAAACGGCTCATACAACTTGCTAGCAACTAAGGATATAGGATTTAAATCAAGAACTTTTCATACTTTTGTAATACTAATGCTAGTGCTTATTCTCAATTTAATTTGCAACCTTAACGACAACCTTTCCGTAGTGCTTCTGGTCCCACTGGTACTGATACGCCTTCTTGACATCCTCGAATGAGAAGATGTTGGAGTCAACAACGGGCTTAATCTTGTTCGAGTCAATGGCTAGGTTCATCTCCACAAACTGCTGCTTAGAACCGACAAAAATGCCGCGGACAGTGCAAACGTGGTTAAGAGCCTCCATCAGAGTGGGCTGCTTATCAGAGGGTGCGAGGAATCCGATGATGGTGATGACACCCTCCAGCTTGATGGCCTTGAGCGACTGTTCAAGACTTCCAGGGCCGCCGACCTCGAGGATGTGGTCGAATCCATTGCCATCGGGAGTCAGTGATCGGGCAACCTCGCCCCAGTTGGAAGTCTCTTTGTAGTTGATAACGTGGGTCGCTCCTAGTTTCTTCAGCTCCTCGGCCTTTTCCTTTGAAGACGTAGTGGCGACAACGGTCGCGCCAGCAGCAGCGGCGAACTGGATGCCTGAAAGACTGACACCGCCGGTGCCCTGAGTCAAGACCCACTCGCCTGGCTTGAGAGCCTTTGACTGCAGTCCGTAGAGGGCGTTCCATGCGGTCAGGGGGGCGCAGGTAAGTGTGCTGGCCTCGATGGCGTTCAAAGTAGATGGGGCCTTGACAAGGGCGTGCTCTCCAAAAACGGCGTACTCGCGCAGGGTGCCGTCGACGGCGCCGCCCAAGCCACTTTTAACGGCCTCAGGGGTGATCGGGTTAGCCTGGTGGTGCTCGTTGAACAGCGTGCAAACTCGATCTCCCTTGGATACTTTTGTGACCTTGGGGCCGGTTGCAAGAACGATGCCGGCGCTGTCAGACCCGGGGACCACGGGAAGATTAATGGGAAAGGGGTAAAGACCCTATCAGCCAAGTTAGTTCCCAGAAACCGAGATTGCGATTTTGCCAGGTTCACGTACCTTGGGGATGGCCAGGTCTCTGTAGTTGAGAGACACGGCTTCAATTTGGATCAAGACCTCACGCTCGCCGAGCTTGGGAATAGGAACGCTGTCCTTCAGAACGACGGTGTCGAAGCTGTCTTTCTTGATCTCGGTGATGGACCATGCTCGGGTAGTAGTTGGGAGACCCATTGTGATAGAATTAAAAGGATATAAAGTTATTGAGGTTGAACTTTTGGTGTTGCAGTAACTTGAGAATGCTTTGGGTTGTATGATGAATGATGAGAAGTCGTCAACTGGCGTCCATCGACAGATATATATATCGTGATGTAGAAAGCGGGTTCATTGTGGACTCGCCCCAGTTATCAGGCAAGAATAGTCCAAGGAGCTTACCGCTCTACCTTTTCCTGAGGGCCGTTCGATGTCAAGCATTGCTCTGGCAACATTAGTTACATTATGCATTATTAATGATAGATCACTCATGTTGTAACCCTCCCTACGCCTCTACGCCTAGAGTGAAGTCATCTCATTGTAAGTGTGACGACCTTTTTAGCTTCCACATCTAGCGTTGCACGTTGCATGGTGGCTTGGAGAGAGCGTTGTAAGATAGGGCTCGTTTCCTAATTTTCCACATCTGCTAAATTCAGCCTAGAGCAGATGAGACACATGGCGATCTAGTTGTCCGAATTTTTTAAGGCTTGATGGGCTTGATTTCAAATGAGGGTCCTGCAACAAAATCATACCAAACAGAGCTCCACGGCATAGAATCATTCGAGTGTCACTTAGGAAGTGACAGAGACTTTATTGGCTCGACTAACGTGCAAGCGTCGGCCGACCCCAGTCAATTCAACGGAAATGCTATTCTTGAGCGGAAGCTAGAGAGCGTCGGCCGACCCCTGCTAGCACTTCGTACACCGTCTCCCCTCAAAATTCGCTCACACTGTCAATACAGCTTCCATGTTGGTGAGGTGATACGCCAATGCGCCTGCAGGTGTCATCCGTTACGAGTTGAGGATGTTTCATGGGGCTATTGTCTACAATGCATCGACCGTCATGGGTTACAATATATTAGTAGTGGATGTATACTCTTCGAATCGGATCTTTCGCATCAGTCCAAATTCCAAAGTCTTTTGATTGAATGCCATCTACGTCTGAGCCGTATCTCCATCTTCACGCAGCTCGAACAATGACGTCTATAGTACATGGTGATTCCCTTTTTGAGTGGAGTAATACAAAGCTAATACACTCAAAGTAGCAAATCAATCCATAATGTGAAGCCCGCTGTGCTTATGACGACCCAATAAATCGAGGCAATTGCTTAGCCTCCTCTCGCTGAGCGACAAATCCCACTCTGTCTTTACAGTAGAACTCAACGCCAATGTTGCCGTTCAGGTGTGTAGCCCCGTTATCCAATGAGCCTGCCTTGATCACGATGTCGCCACGCATGATATCGAGCTTTCCGTATAGGCTAGAACCACAGTTGGAACAAAAGAAGTGTCTGTTCTTGCCCCCAGACTCTCCGATAGTATCGTACCACTTAGCCTCACCTAAGTTCGATTAGACCTTCGGTGGAGAACTTCAAGAGCAATGGGGGAAATGAGTTTACCTTTCGTGACTTGAAAGCTATCTTCGGGAACCACAGCGTTTGAGGTATATGCTGAGCCAGTCCACTGTGTGGTATTAGTGGTGTTATTTCGGTTACTTTTGCTCGGGGCTCATACCTTTTGACAATCCACGCAGTGGCAAAGAGCCGTCACCTTGGGTTTGCCTGTGTGATATTTTGTGTTAGGAGACAGCTGGGTAAAGTTGAAGTTACGGTAAGCATGGAACTCACTGCTGCTAGAGTATGCGATCTCTCCGCACATGCAACTTCCAGAAAGAGTCATTTTGGGCAAAGTGTTTTAGATGAATAGTTGATGATTATATGTTCAAAGGAAGAAACCTACGAAACATTCATTCATGCAAAAAGTTGACGGGAAATTTACCCTCTTAAATAGTCATCTGTACCTATTAACAGCCGAAGATCACAGCCGAAGATCACAGCCGATCCGGAGACACATGAATGCTCGAATTGCGGTATTCCGCATTAACCTGCGACGGTCCGACGAAGGGCCCCAACCTCTAGCAGAGAAACGGCAGATTCAACACCATCTTCATCTATTTCGAGAGACTCCAGTAACTGTTACTCCGTTTCTAGCCGGATTCTGTGCCGATCCAAGTCCGATGCTTGGAGTAGTACTTGGCGTTTTGGGTCTCTTCGACTGCAAATTGTTGACTAGGTGCAACAAAAGCATACATACTGTGCGGATCGTTGGTGGAGCTGTGAGAGTCGATTTCCGCTCTTCAGCTACGGTATGTTTACATACATTTCGGCAAAGGTAAAACTTTCCGCGGTATAATGATTATTTAGTATACTAAGTTGTATGGACAGCAAATATGCGTGTATACAGGGTACGGATTCTGTGCCTTGTCAAATCCCTAGTAATTCTTTATTACTTGACTTCTCCCTCGTCTTACATCAACACTTACATGTATCCAACGTCTAGCACCATGTCTTGTATCAGCAGAATGAAGCGCGATCTTCCATGGATCCAGCTTCCGTTTATTGCAAATGCGCCAATGAGCGGCGTTGCTACCAGCAAACTCGCAGTGGCCGTGACCTTGAGCGGAGGACTAGGACAAATTGGATTCACAGGCAGTCCGCTCAGATTGGAAGCTGAGCTGGAGAATGCTCAAGCCCAGCTGAAAGACTTTGTGGCCACGAACCAGACTCTGGATGCCCTTCCAGTAGGGGTTGGTATCATCGTCATTGGTAGCAAGCCCCAACGCTGGCTACCCATCTTTGCAAAATTCAAGCCTGCGGTAGTGTGGCTGTCTTTTGGAAGTACACAGCAAATGAAAGCCTGGACAGAAGGGATACGAGAAACAACTCCATCTTCCAAGATCTGGATACAGGTTGGAAGCGTCAGTGCCGCTTTGAAAGCAGCTCAGAGCTGCCAGCCAGATGCTTTGGTAATGCAAGGAAGCGATGCGGGAGGCCACGGCCATGCAAAAGGAGCGAGCGTGGTAACACTAGTTCCAGAAGTGGCAGACGCTCTCAAAGATCATGGACTCTCTCACATCCCCATTCTTGCAGCTGGTGGCATCATGGACGGAAGAGGAGTGGCAGCAGCTATAACTCTTGGAGCTGAAGGCGCAGTTCTAGGCACTCGATTCATTGGAGCAGAGGAAGCGAATATGGATTTGGATGTTCGCGAGGAAGTTCTCGCAGCCTCTGACGGAGGAGAGTCTACCGTGAGGTCTCGGGTATTTGACGACATTTGGGGCGCGAACCCATGGCCGCAATTATACGACGGCAGATGCTTGAGGGGCGCAATTTACGACAACCGAGAGAAGGGAATGGATATGGACTCGATACGGACGCAATTCTACCATGATTCCAGGCGGTCCCAGGCAGAGGAAGTCAACATGAGAGACATTGCTTGCATATGGGCAGGGGCGGGAGTGGGATTGGTCAAGAAACTAGAACCGGCCGCTGATATTGTAAAACAAGTGCAAGAGGGTGCGAGAACGAGGTTACATGATGCAAAATATTTGGTGTAACAGAATTACAAAGCACCACGAGCAAGTTCCCGGACCGATTTGAAGATGATTAGAAATATAGAGTGACTGTTTAACTGGTCTTGTCAGAGCTGCATAATGCCCAGTGACATGATTCATTGCAGATCTGGCATCCCAGTAAGCGTCTGTGCAATCTAGATCCTTCCGACCTGACACGGCATATCATGGAGTAGCCGTCGTCTAGCGGTGCATTGCCAGGATTCTTTCTTACATGCTGCCCAATCGGCATTCTGATCCACTGACAGGGATCGTCCGACGCATGCTTCCACGGCTTGGTAGCTCGACAGTTTGGAGCGCACTGTAGAACTAGACAACATTTGAGCAATGCTCGCACGGCGTCACCACGCGCAGACGTTTCTATCTCTGTGTCGATATTTGGAAAGCTAGCTCAGCAATGCAGCATTTACCTTGAGTCTCTTCACTAAATTGTGTACCGGCACTGTATTCAAGCAAGTCTAGCACTAAGGCTGTACTAATCAACGTTTAGCTTCCGGAGGAGGCGGACTAGATCTGACAAGGGTCGGCCGATAGCATATTAACCTTGTGTCTCCTGGTCCTTTCCGTACGCAAACCTACGACTTACATGCTCGCCAGCGATAGCCCGAATTGTCCTGCCCTGAATCGTATCCTCGCATTGCCTTCTCAACTCACGTATCCATTTTATCACCTGCTCTTTGAATGGCCGACCTGGCAGTCCTGGCGGCGAGCGGCAATGAGGTCAAAGTCTCCGCTGCTCGGACCGGTTACGTCCCCGGAACGTGCTTAAACTGCCGCCGTCAAAAGCAGCGTTGCGACAGGGTTCTTCCTCAATGCTCACGTTGTTCCATGTAGGTAGGCCTCTTGTGCTGATCACTCGTGTCTGCTACAGTAATCACAAGATCGCACATCACTAACGCCATGGCTGTTAGGAAAGCGGTTCGATGTGTCTATCCAACAAAGAATGATGCGGCAGCCCGCGGGCTCGCGCCGATATCCAACAGCACGGCTGACATGCTGTTGCCATGCTCCAGTCCTTGTGGGTTTCATCTAACGCCTCTTGGCGAGCGCAATCTGCTCTGGGCAGCTTGCTCAAATTACAGCTCCTATAGCGAAGGGGACTCCCCCCAAGCATCGCTATCTTTTCTCGTCAGAGACATATTCGGCCATGCCTCCATTGACATAACAGATATTGTGGCCAAATATTTCAGTCTTGCGTATCACTGGTTTCCCTTCTTGGACAAGGATACTGTATACAGCCAAGCAGCGCAATTTACCTCGAGCGGTTTCATCTCGGGCGGTCCGGCTAGTCGCGACAACTTTGCTCTATTGCTGCTCTCTATGCACATATTCTCGGAGAGCCCATGCCAGTACTCGCCTCATCCGGCACAGAGCGCTTTATACCGCACAGCGCGGCAGCTCTTTGCCGTTCTTCAGTCGTCTCCGGATATTCAATTGCTGCAATGCGGCATCATCTTGACGATGTACGCGTGCGGCCATGGCTTGGGCAGAGAAGCGTATGAAACCTTGACGTTATGCATTGGTCTCATTCGTCGACTCGGCTTCAGCGAATATTTTGCGACAGGTTCAAGTAATAATGCAGTCAAAGATTATCGCAGCCAACATGAGCTAGATCTCCATTGGAGCGCAATTATCTTATTGGATCGGTAAGCTACAAGTACAGCTACCTACTCAACATCTTGAAACCAATCTAAACCTGAACGCAACAGCACTATTGCTCTGTCTACCATTGATCACTGTCTGCCATACCTAGTGGAGGAAGCCCACCTCCCCCCAAATTCTGCCATCTTAAGAGTCACAAAAGCCGATCTCTACTCACAAGATCCTATCCGGAACTTCTTGGCTCGAGCCGAGCATTCTATTCGCATGGGAGATATGCTGAGGGCCATAAGAAGTTACGACTTCACCAAATATGAAGCGGTGGAAAGAGTGATGTGCAATGAAATTGGTAATTACGTTCAAATGTCTGAAGGAAGCAAGTTTCCTATTTGCGAAACTATTGCCATGACTCTCAGGTGAGCGGCACACCATCCATCTGTGAATATACTGGAATACCGGGCTTAACCATGATTGCCAGTGCCATGATTATGCTATATCGCACGAACGACTACTACAAGGTAGCAAGGCAGAATCCGAAAAGCATATTAACATTCACCTGCACACGCAATATGATCATTGAAACATGCCGTGCCGAATCCGAATGGCTAGAAAAAAACGGCTGGTTCAACAGCACTAGACCGTGCTTCATAGGACTATGTTGCTTATACGGCGCCGCCGCTCACCTGGACGAGCTTTGTGTAGATGGATTACCGGCGGAGGATAGGAGTATCCTCAGAAATGCCGTATCGGACTTTGCAAGGCGCTGGAAAATTTCAGGTATGATCTCTTTAAATTCTCCTTCTGTTTCTTTAATATTGGCGACGGTAGCACTGTGGAAGATGACCTATTCTAATTGACTGAGCAGAAAACTTTTTGCGCCATCTTGACTCAGCCAAGAGGGTAAGTGGCAACCAAAGACTTTCAAATATTTCTGAGTTTGCTAATCCTGTAATTGTCTAGTTTTAACTCATGGATCTTATCGACATTGACAGCCATTCACTTGAAGCTCTCAACCAATGTACTTTCCGTATTTTGTCAAGATCTCATCCTCCCTTAAGCGCTCAATATCTTCCTCTCTTAGGCATACCGCCACGTCAATATCTCCAGCGTCCGTCCTAGGCATAAAATAGATAAGACCTTCCATGGGCTTGAACCTGTGTCTTTTCGCTATTTGTGGCTTCCCCAGCTTTCCAAAGGACTGCTGGTATAGCCCCTGCCCAGCCCAACTTGAAAACATGACGTCGTACTTGGAAGCATCCAGCGTTGCTCCGTACACCAAGGAGCCTTTGTCTTCAGTTTCTGCTAGTGCTGTTACAAAGCTGTGGATTGGAAGGGGCTGCAGATTTTTAAGATCATCACGGAACTTTCCAGCGAGAACCGAGAGATCCATGGCACCCGCAGCATCATCCAGTGATAATTTTTGGTCGATGCAGTACACCATATGGCCCATGTACTCCGGAGGGACTCGCGTCTCTACATAGCGCCGCGAATTAATGGCGCGACAGAAAGTCGCAGTTGCTCCAGGCTGACCAGATCCAAGACGCTGGATTCGCGCAGCCGTGATCCGTTGACACACCAGCGCAGACAGCGCATCATCAGTCGAGACCCAGGAGCCTGGCGTGGAGGCAACACTCTTGAGTTCTGCTAGACTCGAACCAGGGAAGTGAAAGTACACCCACTTGGAAAGCACATCTGGTTCCGGATGGTCACCGTGAACGCGAAAGGGAGTAATGTCGGTTTTAGGCTCATCTGGGCCCAAAAGTCGAATGACGGTCCTGCGATCTCGATTTCCTTGCTCAAGTTCAAGCTGCGTAAACGATTCAGCCCGGCAGGCCTTTGCGAACAGCCGAATCAATTGGGCTAGGCCGTTCATGTCGACAATATTGTGCTGGCCGGCGAATGTGACGAGTACACCACCTTCAATAAAGTTGGCCTGGATGAGGAATACCGGAGCCGGCTCGATTGATTCGTCATACCCGATGGGGATTCCCTCTCGTGAAGACAAGATCTCACCGTCAAGCATCGACATTGGCGCGCCTGCGTCCACGATTGTCTGAAACGACGGACAAAGCTTGCGGCAGTCCTTGGCCACAACGGGAGTGAGGCGTGTCCCTGGAGCATATGGGACGATTTTTGCGAGGCCGGTTTTTCCTGGCGCCGCTCCTTCGCGGATAACGTGCCCGGAGAGCCAAGGGAATGCATCTGTGAGCGTCTTTGCCGCTGCTTCAAGGTTCTTCGTAATAGCTTCGTCGGATACTGGCTCCAGTGTGGGAAAGCCGAGGACGATTTGGGTGTAAGTTTTGAGGAACATGAGCTGTCCGAAGACGTCCTGGTATGTGGAAAAGTCCTCCATCTTGTTTTCTGTAAGGAGAATGGACTATGTGCAATTCGAGCTTGCCTGCGATTGATTGCAGCGACTGATGAAAGCGGGATGTGTGCTTTGCCGGTGAGGCCACCTTGATAGACCTTCGGCAGCTATCCCCCTCTTTTAATTAACGCGTATTGATTTATGCAGTGTGTATATGATTCCAAATTGAAGTTATAGGCCAATTGCGATAAGCGATGGATGCACTATAAATATTAGTGGCCTGCTTACATGTATATATGCCTGATCCTCTGCGGAACTACCTATGGAAACGTGACACAAGCTGTAATATAGGAGGCGACTTGGTGAGAGGAAGTCGATGAGAACATGTACGGTATAAAATGTTAGAGCTCAAGTGCGGACTTGATAAATTTATCCATTTATTTCTGGTCGATCAATTCCGATACATTCGCGTTCTATCAAGTCTCAACTTATAGCACTACTGCTGTAAACGACCTAGCCCTTCATATAATATTCAAAGGTTCCGTTACTTACATGCTAGGTCTGCGCTCTTTGTTTCATACAGGTAGACTGGAGGCGATGTCGAGGATCGGTTGCGCCCGCAGGACCCCGCTCTCGCCCTATCTTTTTCCAGCAGCAATTAGATAGATACTTACTACCTTGGGCTAGATGCTCGACATTTGGACGCCTTTGAAATCTCGTCTATTGAAACAAGAAGTCGTGAAAAAGGAGGGGGAAAAAAAAGAAAATATATGATTGCGCCACTGCGGTATTAATCTTGTTGGTGATGTAACACTGTCTCAGGTAACGGAATGCCTTGTATACACAATAGCGGCCCCCGACATTCATCGCGTGAACCCCGCGCCTCTTCTAAGCGCAGATATAGGCCTTGAGTGTGCGAAGCAGGTTGGTACAGACTGTATTGTGACATGGCTCTTTGAAACGACAAAGTTAGAGCATTTGAGGCCTTCCTGTTAGGAAATCGACTGGAACTTGCGCATTCTTTGGTATACGGGGATCTTATACGACTTGTATTTTCTGAATCTTTCTGTCATATGATCAACCCTACATCATTGCAAGGGAGAAATCAATTTCTTTCGTTTATCCCGCTGTCAATCCTGCTACATTGCTTGCAGATTTTGTTAAAAAAGAGCTGTTTTATATTATCTGCTACATTCTAATGACCGATGTCTAGTAAGGTATCAGTAAGTTGAGAAAGTTGGAAGCCAAGCCATGTCGGTCATCATATGCTTTGATGGCGTACAATTTAAGAACAGCTTGGATGCGTCGCAATCGGGAATTTGGACTTGAACGTGCATATAGATTAGTCCAAGGCCTCGGCAACCTTCTCCGAATTCGCGCTTACCTTGGACAATGTCAGAAGAAATGCGTGAAAGACACATTTAGCGACGCGAACTAAGCAATGCCTAAGCAAGCGCCTGTGCAAATATCACTTAAATACTTGTTTAGTCACTGTGCCTCGCTGTTTATAGCTGTGCTTTGTAACGCCAACTCACGTTACTGACGAGAAATATCAAGAAACACTCGGCGTAGTATCTAGCGTTGGAAAGAGAAAGCTGCCGACAACACGGAGAATACGATTATTAATTAAGCTTATTCACTCCGCCTTCTGATATAGAATCACGTATTTGCAATGCCAGCTAATTATATCTACCTTGCGCAGTTGGTGGCGCAATCGATGCTGCAGACGGGTTTGGTACCCTTTTCATGTTAACGAATACTCACGATTCTAGCTTATGACATGTCAAGTAGTTTTTTTTCCCGGTGAGTTTCATAATCTACCCATAGTCACTTGCTGTTAGTAGACTCGTATATTTCGTAGATGAACAAGACGACTGGGGAGCTTGTAGCCGTGGACACCCATGTCATGGCAGCAGGAAGAGCACTGAAGGAATTCGACACGTCAGCTACATCCTAGCGTTAAGTTCAAGATGCCCCGCGAGGCAGTTTGAAAGCCCCGCATTTGTTTGGTCAAGAAGGAAAAGTCAGTAGTCTAGATCTGAGGCTGAAGGGAAGAGATAGAGGCTAGTAAAGTCTGGCTGCTGATATTGTGCAACGCTTTTGCTCATGCACTGTTATACAGTCAAGTTTGCTGTCGAGAAATTCGCTGCCTTGGGTGGAATCAAGAAGTGTAGTAGATATGGGAATTCAGAGCGGGTTTCCATCTTTGCCATCCTCTATCAGCCATTTACCTGCAAACAAAAAGGCCCATTATAAAATCTGGAGCATTTCAACGACACCATGCTGATCTTCATTAGGAGAAAAAGTTTTCCAAAAAGGGCGATCCCCAGATTGGCCATGGTCGAGCGATTGACTTTGCTAGACGCATCAGCCGTGACGACAAAGGCAACGCGTGGACAAGAGGCTTGGAGGCCCTTGACCCGTTATGCGACGCCACCAGAGACCATGATTGGGTGGTTGCCGACGAGGCTGAGCTCTGATGGGGGTTTTTGTTTCTACAGCTGACGGCGGGAGGCTTTCTTTCAGATCCGTGGCAAATGTTTATTTTTAGCTCTCTCTCGTGATGGAGAGTCTGTGGAAGTCGGGGAAGCTTGCCGCATGAATATCGACGGGATGGTGGCGCTGACGACGAATAACCGCCTACTAATACTATGGATCATGTGAGAGACATGTAGCTGGCTCGCACTCTCATCGGTATTCCTATGTAAGCTTGAATGTGATATCGCGCTTGATGATCATTGCAGCATGGAGGAGTCGTGCCGCCATCTAGCCGCCCTTTGTCGACTGCAGTAGCGCCTCTCTACTCCCCTCCCCGGTGGGCATATTTGGTGGAGCAGGTGCATGCGCTGATAGACTCTTCTCACACAGAACAGATACAGCACATGCATAATAACATGATAACGAAATCAAGGCTGGGGGTACGTGTATGTAGTAGGACAGCGCACAACGCACTCTGAGAGCACCCCCTGAGTTTGTGTTACAAAACACGCAGCATTGCTTTGATCCGTTCGATGTGGTATCTTATCGACGTCACTGTTTGCGCTCCCCCGTCGCCAAGGCAATTGGTGGGGTGCTGCGCGCCGTGGACCAGTAAAAGCCCGCCAGTCTGCCTTCCGCCAGGGCCACCAAGCTCCGGCGAGACGCTACAGGCCACTAAACCCCCACTAGCACCTCTGAAACCGACAGCTGGGCCAAGGGGGTCATCTGAAGGGGTTTTTGGGGCTTCGGCTCCAGCTTCATTGAAACTCATCAGCTGTGAAACCGCCGTTTGGTCTTTTCACATCCTCATCATTTTCTCTTCTTCCTCATGCGCTCTGCGCTCTGATTTGCGAGACATCCCCAGAGATCACTGCAGCTATTTACGATTACGATTTAGCTCCTAGCGAGAAGATCCCCCGTTGTACCTACGTATCTGCTTCGTACCCTTTGCCAACAACCCTAGCATTTCGCGCGACACAGGTGATCTGCGAAAGTCGACAGAAACACGGCCCCGACGTACCTTGCATATTACCCCAAAGCCGCCCATTGGAGCTTCATCGACAAGGCCCTGAACCATCCCAGGGTGCGCGCACAGGCCCTTGCTTCCTCCAAACCATCGGACGACGACGACGCAGAGTTGCTGCTGCGCCGCCTTCTTGGACTCGACTCCATTCCACGCGCCACCGGAAGCAACGTGGAAGGGAGAGAAGAACAAGAACCCGCGGCTCATCTTCGCCATTTACGTCGCTCACTACATCACCTCTACCTCTACTTAGGCAGTATCTACCTCGTACCGTCCATCACTAGCACGGCCAACTGATTCGCGCCAACCATGTCGTATAATCGCCTAGGTATGTATGCTTGCAATCTTCCAATTGCCCCTTCTGACGACTCTTGGCCCTCGACCCCCTGCCCGCTTAATCTCGAACACCCACTTTTGCCCACTTCGTCCCTACGACTCCCTGTTGCGACATCCTCACCTTCTTCCCATTGCGATGCTCGACGCTCTTGGCTAGCTTCTCCCCAAGATCCCTGAGTGTGCGGCAGGCTACGTGCTACGTGATACGTGATATATACTGCTAGCTGCCATACAGTTGGCTGGGTCGCGCATCTCTGCGTTGTTTCTACCTCTCTCTTCTTCTCTCTTACCACACTCAGTTCTTATTCCTTGTTTGGCGTTTTCTTTGCACTCGACGACTGGCTTGCGCTCTTTTGACCATTCGCCGCATCTAACCAACTATACACGCAGACCACAACCACGAGGACGACCAATATCACCAGATGGATCCTCGGGGCAACCCATACAGGACTCCGTCGCCTGGACACCCGCTTCAGCAGGGATACCAGATGGAAGAGAATCCCTATGGCCAGCATCATCCTCAGAATGCCCAGATGCCTCCTCATATTGGCCGGCTGGCAAGCCCAAGCGATCAGCTACACATCAACCCCGCTGTGAGTGTTCAACATAATGCTATTCGTAAACCGTCCAAGAGTTGCGGCAACTGACTAAGTTTTTGTCCCAGGCCTCGGTTGATGCGTTATCCTACCAGCACAGCCAGAATCCGTCCGACTACTCATTAAACCCAGAGGCCCATCACGATGCTTACTACAACGCTCCTTATGAACCGCAGCACGGCGGCCAAGGCTACGATCAGCACCAGGGCTACGACCAGCCCGGCTACGACCAACAAGGTTACGACCAGCAGGGTTACGACTATGACGACCAACGACCGATGCTCTCACATAATAACTCCGACCACCCGCTCACCCAGCAGGAAGAGACCCGGCCTGTTACGCCCCAGGGCGGCATCAAAAGATGGAAGACGGTGAAGCAGGTGCTTCTATACCGTGGCAATCTGGTGCTTGATTGCCCGGTGCCGCCTGTAATGTTACGCGAAAACCCTCACGGCGAGCGTGATGAGTTTACACATATGCGATACTCGGCTGCGACCTGCGACCCCAAAGACTTCTACGATGAGAATTTTACGTTGCGTCAGAGACTCTTCAGCAAGCCTCGCCACACTGAACTGTTCATCGTTGTTACCATGTACAATGAAGACGACGTTTTGTTTGCACGAACCATGGTTGGTGTTTTCAAGAACATTGAATACATGTGCAACCGTCCAAACAGCAAGACCTGGGGCAAGGACGCCTGGAAGAAGATTGTGGTCTGCATTGTCAGCGACGGTCGTTCAAAGATCAATCCCCGAACAAGGGCAGTGCTGGCTGGTCTTGGAGTCTACCAAGAGGGTATCGCCAAGCAGCAAGTGAACAACAAAGATGTGACGGCGCATATCTATGAATACACCACCCAGACGCACTTGCAGCTGACCAAGGACGTTGTCTCGCTCGTTCATCGCCGAACACCTGTTCAGCTGCTCTTTTGTCTCAAAGAGAAGAATGCAAAGAAGATCAACTCACACAGATGGTTTTTCCAGGCATTTGGCCGCGTTCTGGACCCAAACATTTGCGTCCTCATTGATGCCGGTACAAGACCGGGTGGTAGTTCCATCTACCATCTGTGGAAGGCGTTCGATCTGGAACCCATGTGCGGAGGCGCCTGTGGTGAGATCAAGGCCATGTTGGGAACTGGTGGCAAAAACTTGATCAACCCTCTGGTTGCAACGCAAAACTTTGAGTACAAGATGAGCAACATTCTGGATAAGCCCTTGGAGTCGGCATTTGGCTTCATCTCCGTCTTGCCCGGCGCCTTTTCAGCTTATCGATATGTCGCCTTGCAGAACGATAAGAACGGCCAAGGCCCTCTCGAAAAGTATTTCTTGGGTGAAACACTGCATGGTGGCCACAAAGCAGGCCTTTTCGAGTCCAACATGTACCTGGCCGAGGATCGTATTCTCTGTTTCGAGCTGGTCACTAAGCGAAACTGTCACTGGATCTTGCAGTACGTCAAGTCTGCCACTGGCGAGACTGATGTGCCCGACACAGTGACGGAACTGGTCCTCCAGCGACGTCGTTGGCTCAACGGTTCTTTCTTCGCCGCCATCTATGCCATTGCTCATTTTCACGACTTCTTCCGCTCCGACCACTCGTTCTTCCGCAAAATTGCCTTCTTCATTGAATTTGTCTTCAATACCATCAACATGATCTTTGCTTGGTTCGCAATTGGTAACTTCTTCTTGGTCTTCAAAATCCTGATTACAAGTCTGGGCTCAGACGATCTCCTCGGCAATGTTGGCAATATCCTGGGCGTTGTATTTGAGTGGTTGTATGGCGTTTGTCTAATCACTTGTTTCGTCTTGTCTTTGGGTAATCGGCCGGCCGGTTCTGGCAAGCTTTACACTGCTATGGTCTGGTTCTGGGCTGGTATCATGATGTACGTCTTTGTCCCTTCTCCTTCTAACTGGACGTTTACTAACCCGAATTGACCAGATACTTGATGTTTGCTGCCATCTTTATTGCCGTCAAAGCCATTATCGCAGATATTCATAGCGGAGGCGGGTTCAGCATTAGCGAAATATTTAAGAACCAGGTTTTCTACACCCTCATCGTTTCCGTCATGTCGACCTACGGTATCTGGCTTATCGCATCCATCCTCATGTTCGATCCATGGCACATGGTTACATCATTCCTTCAGTACATGCTCCTGACGCCAACCTTTACCAACATTCTCAATGTCTACGCCTTCTGCAACACCCACGATGTCTCCTGGGGTACCAAGGGTGACGACAAAGTGGAAAAGCTGCCGTCCGTCAACACCAAAGACGGCCAGGGCAAAACAGATCTTCCCGACGAGGGTGATTTGAATGCGCAGTACCAGCGAGAAGTCTCCGTCTTCAGCGTCAAATTCAAGGAAGTTAAGTCAGAACCCACAGAAGCCCAGCTGCAAGAGAAGCAGATGGACTACTACAGAGGTGTACGAACTGGTGTCGTACTGATCTGGATGATTTCCAACTTTGCCCTCGCAGCCGTGGTCTTGAGCTCTGCTGGCCTGGAGAGGATCACGCCTGGTAACGAGCAGGACATTGAGAACCAGCAAACAGAGCGATCCAACATTTACATGGCCGTCGTGCTCTGGAGTGTTGCAGCCCTGAGCAGCTTCAAATTCTTGGGCGCCATGTGGTTCCTCATCGTCCGTCTATTCAGAGGTGTCTAAAAAGACCCTGGGTAAGGCCCATCGAAGGTTATACGAATTTGACAAATGAAGTTGGAAAAAGAAGATGAAAGAAAAAAAAAATATACAAAGCTCTCAGCGGGCTACGATAAAACATGGTGCTATTATCATTTCTTTTTGAATTATACCCCCTTTTATATATACATTCTATGACTGGAAGGGAAAACACACACATCCCGACGACATGCTGGAATTTTTGCGCTAGAAGGAGAGCAGAGGAGAGGAGGCTTGACTTGTGTAACTATCTGTCTTCCTGCATGCGTACGTTTTTGACGGCCGGTGTGGAATTTTCTTTCTTTTTTTATATAGCACACGACGGGGCGTTCTTATGAACGAATGTGTGTGAGTTGGTGGCGTTTCTCTTTTCCTCGTTTTTTCTCTTTTCATTTTGCAAAAATGCATTTGCATAGCAGATATTTTAGAATACGCTGAATGATGATGAAGCATTTGTGATTCTGAATGTGTCGCCTTCGAGTTGTCTATCATGGAGAGGCTGGGCCCGCCCGAGTCTAATGCTTTAAGGAGCCAGTAGGGTATTCATTGAGAATCTATACGCATCTAATCATAATAGTGACAATATTTCGTAGCATCAGGTATACTATATCCTATACCTTGTAATCATAATTGTAAAATGGGAGAACCAGGTCAATCTACTACCATCCCAAAATCGGCTATGTATCAAAGCAACAGGACCATTCATAACTCCAGTATGACTTTTAGAAAAGCCATGCAACATAGCGGTTGTAAAACTTATGCGCGCCCTGGCTGTCTGCGTTCTTAATCTGTTCTTGCTCCAGGTAGTCCGCCTCCTGCGAATCGATGATGTCTTTTCCGGTGTAAAAGTCTGCCTCGTGAGGCTTGACACCTCGACTGCCGGTGAGGAGCATGTGTCCGAAGAGCATGGCAATATATAGAGGAATTCCAAGGTATCCTGTAATGAAGTTTTTGTAGTCAAACTCGGAGTCTTTGGTGTGGATAAAGACGTTGAAGTTCTTTGTCAAACTAATAAGAATGACAAAGGCCAAGCAGATGACGGTCCCCCAGAATCCTTGAGGAGCGACATAAGGCATGGCACTATCGGGAATGTTCTGGGCGCGGCGAGCGCGCAGGAAGAAGAGGTAGGTGACAAGGATGGAAATCCAAGTCAATATACCAAAGATAGTAACAAGGTTAACGAAATAGCCAAAGACCTAATAATCGTGTCAGAATAGATCCTTTTACGCATCACGAGGGATAGCCAAAGAAACGTACCACCGTGCTGTTGGTAGATGCGTTCATAAATGCCAGACAACAAATCGTTGAAGAGAGGGCAAGCGCCGGGTAGGGCACGCCGCGTTTATTCGTCTTCTTGAAAATAGCTGGGGCTGCATTATCTGACGCAAGGCCATAGAGAGTTCGGGTCGCAATGTACAAATCAGAGTTGGAGGCGGAAAAGACAAAGACCAGGATGCAGGCATTGATAATGTGCGGGAGGACCTTGACACCGGCGACAGTGGCCGCGACAACGAAAGGCGAGGCGTTAGCGCTGGTTGATTGCTTGTTGGCAAAGGCGAGATCTGGGCTGTTGTAGGGAACAATCATGCCGATAAGGAAGATACTGAGGCAGTAGAAGAAGAGGATACGGAAGAAAGTAAGCTTGATAGCTGCGGTAACTCGTTAGCGCCTGCTATACGGAAGTGCAACCGGCAGGAAGAGGAGTAAGACATACCCTTAGGAATGCTTCGTCGAGGGTTCTGGGCTTCACCAGCAGTGACACCAACCAGCTCGGTTCCAAGGTAAGCAAAAGTTGCGTTGACCATGACAGACCAGAAGCCGAGGAATTTGCCCAAAGCGCCATCGGCGTACAACTCAGCAAATGCGCCGGGATTATGCCAGTATCGGAAGCCAGGAGCATCGCCACCGGGGCCACCTCCGCACGCAATAACGAGAGAGAAGATGATAATACCGACGATGATAATGACCTTGAAAGATGACAACCAAAACTCCAGCTCGCCGAAGAGCTCAATCCCTAGGTAATTCTGTGAAATTGTTAGGATACGGTAGGAAAACTGAGAAGAAGAGACAAGAAAAAGAAATACACATACGACAACAATGATAATGACTAAGAAGATGGCAATCCAGACACCTGGGTTGACCTTGTCTCGAGGCAGCCAATACTGAATGACCAAGGCGGCAGCCGTCAACTGATTCGGAGTGGTGATGATGTACTTGAACCAATATCTTGGGCTTCCATTAGCGGTTTCACCCTCCAAATCTGTAAATCGCAGTAGATTCACAACTCACGTCCAGCCAAGAGCAAATCCCAACGATGGGTGGCAGTATCGCGTCGCGTAGCCCGTAAATCCAGCACTCATAGGTAACCAAGCCGCCATTTCTCCCAAGCATGCCATAACACCGAAGACGAGAAGTCCGACGAAACAGTACGAAATGAGCAATGAACCAGGTCCTGCTTGAGCGAGAGCCTTGCCAGTACCAATGATGAGACCTGTGCCGAGAGCGCCACCGATGGCAATCATGGAAATGTGACGGGCCTTGAGACCGCGATGCAGAGACGTCTCGGCTGAAGTCTCCAAGCCGCGGATGTGAACATTTTCGAAGTTGCCTTCGCCGTTGCTGAATTTCTCGGCATCGTGGCCATACCCGGTATTATTGGGAGAATGGGCGTAGAGCCCGTCGTCTTGAGAGCTCATGGCGGAGAGATTCTTAACAACTGATCGGGTTTCGGTCGCGAGAGGAGGAGAAGCCTGAACTTCAAAAAATAGTCTATAATCACCTGGCGGCGGCTCCTAGATACTCTTGGCCACCAGAGTCGTCGACAGGAGATGATGAGCGACAGAGGGTAGAAGAGAAGACCGCGATGGCTAGAAGGAAAGGCCTTCGTACGGAAGAGGCAGCCCCGGAAGGTTATAAACGATACGGCTGGGTACTAGGGCCGTTGGCATCGATCAAAGATGTATGTACCTAATATGGAGAATTACGGAGTATGCCTTTGCACCTACCACAGGCTATTAAGCGTTGGGTTTAGGTTTACCCAGTTAGACAGGCTCGTTCCACGTTCCAGCCTCCATGTATGCGCACTGACAGCATGTACAAGTACACAAGGAAGCCCCGAGGCTACCCCATACCGAGCCATGGGGACGTGCCCAAATCTCGACCTTGCTGTCGCCAGGCTAGGCCTATCGCTGGACTAGCCGTAAGCAGAAACGAGCAAAAAGTCCGAAGTTGGATCATCGGCGGTGGAGAAGGAAGCTGAGAGAGGCAAAGAACACGGCCTCGTGGGCTGCATTGACCGGGGGCGAGGCCCTTGAGGCTTAGTCGATTGAGATTGGAAGACCGCTCTTTTCCGCCACTTTGTAGTATGTACGATGTATGTGTATGTAAGTACTACTGGAGCGTCCGCCAAGGGAGCTAACTCTTATTTTTAGCTTGGTGGAGGCACATTCAACACATCAAATGCTGTAGATTGGCAAGATGTTGACGCTCTGGTCGGTCTTGGCTGCTGGGGAAAGTTGGGGGTGATGGCGCTTTGGCCGCGTAGAGTTTGCGTTCTCTCTGTATGTTTTTTCCTCTTCTTCTGCTTTCTTTGGCCGAAATGTACATGGTAAATACCCGTGTAGCATACTGTACTTGAAGTCGTGGTTCGGAACGATCGCTGTAAGGCTGTCGTTTCATCGCTTGGTTCCTTTCTCTCCAGCCACTCGAGCAGGTGGAGGAACGGCTGGTTTGTCTCAAGTGAGTGTTGATGTCTTGATTGCGTGCAGCAGCGGATCATGTCGCCTGACTCGGGCCTGGTGGCAGTGGTACCAATCTTGTCTGTGCCATGCGAGGGGATGTAGGGGCTGGCCGTACGCGAGTCGTCGCCTAGCAGTGAGTGAACACGGAGAGACTTGAGCCGATGGTAGCATTCTGGAGAGGCCCGAGGCCCTGGCAGTTTGCCACGAGTCGGGTCATTGCGTTCCTTGCCATCGAGCATCGCCCACGTTATCTCGCCCCGCTGGCGGCCCAAGCCCCTTATCTACTCGCTTGATGCTGTTAGTAAGTGATATCAACAACGGCATTTGTGGTAGCTATAAGTAGAAGCAATAGACCAAAGTCATTGTCTCAGCTTACCGAAGCCATTGTTGGATTCCAATCTCATAGGCTGTCGAAACCCAGAGAGCATCAGCCGAGGGGCCAATTCTGGTTACGTACCAGGGAAACTTGGGATGAATTGGGGAATTGGAGAATCCTGGAAGACACAGCGTGGAATCAATAGCAAGCGGGCTCCGTGAATACGCAGCCCAAGCCATTCATCAGACGTGCCAAGGCCTTTGCGAGCCATGCTGGTGCCTGCAAGTGATTGATTGGGTTGTGGTTGGTTGGCTGAACAGAGAGAAACGGGCTGCTAGAAAGCGCCACGCTTTCATGGCGCGGAGGAAGAGTTCTAGAAGTGCGAGCTAGCAGGATAAGCACTTCGCTTAGCGCTGTTAGGGACTGTTTAGGCCGCTGGCTACCGTTAGCAGCAGCCTACAGCGAGCTTCCGGCGCTATGCTTGTGCCTGTTTTAGGCGCCGAGATGCGCAAATTTGCTCCCTAGCATTGGGTGCATTGATGATCAAGTCTTATCAGGGCCGATTCTTATCTCTCCGAATCTTCTAAGCGACTGATAACGTGTAGATTCAATATGAATTTGTAAGTGCAGTTAACCTCGTCTCTCAGGCTTCATTTCATCCGCCCATTTGCGTCTCCCAGCCAGCAACAGCGAGTCTTGAGCTCATACAACCTTCTACCGTGCAAAGCGACGGATTATTTCACTCGCCAATGCCCGCACTAAGCAAGCCTCGTCCGCTTTTGTGGATTCTCTAGTTCTAGGTTATCTTAAGGTTGTTAGACCCGCCACGCCACTCGGCTTTCGATTTTTCTATTTGTCGGTACCAAGGATAAGCATTTCGACCTGCCTAATTGGGCCTTTGACGTGATTTACCCCAATCCTGAGGTCAAGGGCCGCTGGGTGGCACGTTCTCATCGGACGCAAAGAGACGGGATTCATCATGTGCGGCTGACCACTGGACAAGAACGGAGCTGAGGAGCTGGTAGCTGTGCAAGAGAAGCGATGGACTGCGCTATGGTCTTATTCTGAACTCTGACGAGTATACAACCTCAGCAGACTTGTTTTCCCATGCTTCAGTTGTCAGTGTTCAAATCGTCAGCTGTTTGAGCGGCATATTGCTCCCGTAGCAGCTGACGTCTTTCCATCTACAGATCTCGCCATCTGCTAGTCCTTGCAAAGTGCATTCTTTCGTGCCGGTATCCGTGCAAGAAAGCTCTAATTTGGCTCATCGATGGAAAGTACACGAATCATCACCAAAAAGTGCATGATAATGTGAGTACTGAAGAACACTGAAAGCTCTTGGCTGTATACATGTACATGTACGCAGTATACTCCCTGTTCAATATTTCGCCTTTTTGGGATGCGTAATTACTCCGTGCGGTACTCTACAAGTGCCACTCCACGCACAGAAAAGACTCGAGTTATTTGTTTGTTTGCTTATATGAATCGGGAAAATTGATTCTCTTCTTGCCTCTCTCCACACCGTCTTTTAGGAGCATTCATTGTCCTCCAAGTGGAGGTTTCGCCAAGACTCTTATCAATTCTCAACACGGAGAACTAGCGTTGGAAGCAAAGATCAACTTGCGTCCTTTTCTCTTGGCTCTTGGCATAAGCCTCCATGATTTAGTATGATGTATTTGTACTTTACCCCATACACAGGATAACTTGGCAAAAACGGAGCTGTAGGTACTACTCGGATTAGACTATTAAGCAGGGCGCGTCATGCTCCTCAGACTCCAACCCGCGAAGCAATACATCGCAGATGCTACACAAAATCGCCAGATACTGCCTAGCATTGGCATTCTAACTACATGTACTTAGTAGGTAGTGTTAACAGGATCCCGTTCAGAATGTTTTGCATTGACAACTAGTCCGCTCCTACGCTGATCTCTTGTGCCTGCAGGAATTAGAGCTGGGCTACTTCCCCGGATCCCCAGCTTTCAGATGCAAATGCTACGCTATGAATGCTACTAAATGATACAACAGTATCGTATCGTAGCGTACGTCTATTCACATGTTTGGACGGGGGTCTCGGCCAACGACCGGAACATCGCTCCACAAACAAAAAACGTCTCAAAGCATGTCTTGCCACCCGCCACGGGCTCTTTCGGAAGTCGGGCCTGGATTCACGGCGCAGTTCACGGACCATGCCAGCACTGCCATCTTGTCTCCAGCGATGGATCAGACCACCTCCTTCAATTGTTAGATTCTGGGCCAAATTCGCCAAAGAATCACGGGACATGCCTCCAGGTGGAGGTGTCACTAATTGCGCAGCTTCTCCAGCGCCCGAGACAGCTTTGGTACGTCTACTATAGTGCTGCAGCGATACCTACATGTAGGCAGACACGACTTTTAGTTTCCCTTCCAGAAAAACACCCATAAGTAAGCTTAAATAAACTTTATTGCGGCCACGTATATGTATGATAGTCCACATGTGCGTAGACGTGTCTTGTAACTATTCTCGTGGGATCAAATTATAGCTTTCAAATTGCAGACGTACTCAGACTTATGATTTGTCAGGCCAGAGCGCGGTGTGGAGAGAAAGTCTTTCCAAAGAAAAGAAGAAAGGTACACATATAATATCGTATTTGAACTGGCAATATCTCACTACTTCTATGTGGTATAGATGTGATTTTGAGCTTTTGATGCGACGGCCTGTAAGACATTTGTAAATGTACCTATGCAGTCGTAATTTGCTCTTCCAAGCTTTGCTACATGGGCCTCCTTTTACCAACTTATTGGTGTTGTTTCACTTGCCATAATGCGCTGCTGTGAAGGATCTCTTCGATCACCTGATATGCAACTGCTTCTAAAAAGTTATACGAAGTTGCATACCTAAAAAGCGTGGATTATTTCCCAGAAACGAGGTAATACCTGCAATAGGGAAGAAAGTACACATCCAACCGGGAGATACTAGACCCTCTGTTTATGCTAAGGCGGACAACAGTCAAGCTGTTTGAGTAAATTTATTCACTTTCGCTGAAAACTAAGCTGCAGAGCCACCTACTGAGTCGGCGATTTTTGGTGTATTACATGTGAACAGTACGTTATGTGTAACACTGCTAGAGCCCGACGACGGAGAGATCATTATGGCAAAACACGGCCTCGGACGGCTAACTGTAGCTAAGACCACCCCATAAGCAAAACCTACGAAATACTACAGGCACATTCAGACTTATTCGGCCTCAATATTTGACCGAGTTTGAAAAGACTTTGAACTATCTGACTACTGTCTTTGCTGTTTTAATTGTTTACAATCCTGCTTGACGTTGGCTTTGCCACTCAAAGTTATACTGACAACACTCTCGCCTGTCAAAAGTCCATGAAGCATTTTTTTAGTCATGAGACATGATTCTCATCTCAACAAAGATGGGGGGAAATCGTTAAAGAAGCAATTCGTGATATGGTCAATTTTAGCGATACTGCGCTATCTTTATAATCACTAACCTATTATTGAAGAACAAGAACCTAGTATATGTAGGAAAATTGTCAGATTCGTCCTTTCTCCTGCACCGGTTCAAGCAAATATTGTTTTCAAGAAGCTATAGGATTCTTTACAACTGTGTTGAAGGCTACAAAAATGGCTGATTATGGAGTTTACTCTCTGCAGTTTCAAAAATACTTTCGAAAGTGTAAGCAACAGTTTTGTTGCGTGGTAAATTAGCTTTAGGAAGTCCATACGCGATTGAAAGCAGCAGCAGCTGGCCACTGTTGTAAAGAATATATGTATAAGGCACCCATCAACACCCGACTTCTCACGTCATTATCATTATTCTGGTTTCGTTATTGAAAGCTATGCAAAATCTCTACTCGCACAGTTTCGTAAATGATACTGCCGTTTAGATAATTGACGTCTCTCATTAAATATTCAAGATACTGCTACTCATACGTAGATTTAGGTAAGGTAGCTGTCCAAAATGGCCATCTTGGCCAAGTAGCCCCCCCGCACAGACGGATAGGTACCTACCTTGTTTACTACCTAGGTAGGTAGTAATCTGCTAAGATACCTTAGGTACGTGTGTTAAGGGAAACGTACCTAGGTACTTTATATACGTAGGTACATGTACCTTGGTATACCTTGTACTCTGCCTGCTGGATTAGGTACTGAAATCGCTCATCTGGCTATGAGCAGTCACCAATCATACATACATGTAACCACTCTTGGGCATCTGATACCCAACTGAGACCCACTCTACCTGGTATTTAATAATTCGCGATGCACAAACCTCTCATACACCTTGGATCTGACATTGGCGCTTTGTCCAACTCCCGTTGCAAAAATTACCATGTCCTTTGGCTAATAGGCGATTTTATCGCGGTGGGAGAGCTTTGTTGGAAACTTTATTCTCAAGTCTATAAAGTTTCGCGAAATGCTCCCGAAGAACTCCGTGGACTTAATGAAGAGCTGGGAAACTTTCACAATTCTATCCAGCTACTTCTAGAAGAGCTCAAGAACAAAGACTCAATTTTGTCAAACTCTGGGGAAGTTCGAAACGGCATCGTTCGTCAAATCATGTTACACTCAGGAGAAACCCTCAACGATATGCTGGAGCTCTCTAAGCGTTATCCAGATCTCCAAACCCCATCTACCGCGCAAGGAAAGCGACGCAGGCTGCTTATTTATTGGGACAGACTGAAGTTTTCACAGGAGGTCAATAAAAATCAATGATTTGAGATCCAAAGTAAGAACAGCATCTTATCAGCCTCGACCGAGCGTCGTGCACTGAACATCTTACAGATAATGCTTCATAATTCTCATCTGACTCTTATCCTGCAAGGTGCTCAAAAGTAAGTCATTGCTGGAAATATCATGAAGTAAACTAAATGTTGGAAGTTCATCTTTAGAGCGTATAGAAAAACAAAATGCGCAAACCGACAGAAAGTTGGACGAGCTACGACGATTAATCGTGTTCAATCCCGCTCAGCGAGATCAGCCGATGCTTACAGCGTCATTAGATCCAAATATCTTGATGGAGCTGAAAAATGTATTTCTGCAGAATGCAGAGCCTGACAATCGGCCCTGTGCCTCAATTGGTATTGGTAGCTGGCTTCAAATAGGGCAATGGTGGCTTATGAAGGTAGAGTGTTTAAATATGCTACCACATGCGATCGTGGCTGATGAAAGAGAGCAGGCGCAATCGCAGCTGACAGTCGCTCTGCAAATTGGTGAAGAGAGGGCTATATACAATCAAGGATATGCAAATTTGCTTAAAGCATGCTGGATATTGACTGAAGTTATAGACAGACACCCTCAACGATATCACCTGGGGGCATCAAATGACCGCCGAGCGCACCATATCCAGCGCCTTACTCAAGCAAGTAAATCGAAAATATATATTGTTCATTGTTTACTAATGGTATTTTACACAAAAACAAGGATCCATATCTAAACTCAAATCTCTTTCAATAATTACGCCCCGGTTAGAAGATCTTTTGACATGCAGTTTGGAAGTTTGGAATCTCTACAGCTCTCACACCAAGCCGTCAACACTCAAGCAATCAGCAAGAATTGAAATGGCAGACACAAGATGGTCAAATTCTATTTCAAAGGCAAGCTTATTGGAAGTAGTTCGCGATTAACTGCTAATGAGTTTCACAGATTTGCCGAGTACCAAGATGATGTGCTAAACTTGCCTATTGAATGCATAGTGGTCGTCGAGTTGCCAAATGAGCAATCTGCAGATAGGTTTAACTTGATTTTACAAAATTCTATAGGGCAAGACATCTTTAAAAAGTGTAAGCACAAAAATTCCATGTACGCCAATCAAGCTGCTTATGTTCATATTTCTGATAGCAATATCTAACGAATTCAATGATAAAATGCGCGGCAAAGATCTTCCAATAAATTTCTTCACAAAGCAAGGTTAGTTCGATAGTTCGATTCATAGATTAAGAGATACTTATGCGCTATAAATAGACGAGCGGCTCTTGGACTGGATTTTTGAATCTCTATTTGTGATTCGACGGTCTCTTATACCGCGCCCTATAGATGCATCCATGATATATTCAGTTGCAATTTTACAGAGTTGTATTGGTGCTAATCACGCTTGTTGTGACCATACATTTAACTTTGATATGGCCTACGAGGACATCAATACCTTAATCCGATCTAAACAACAACTTCAAATCCCATCAGCCATGCACGTATCTTCTTCTTTTCACTCAATGGTTGATCGCGCTGTCGAGTCATATAAACAGCGTCCTAATTTCTTTCTAAGCAATGGAATCTGGAGCATCATTGTATCTGGATGTTGATCTACTGGCTTTCCGACTCTTTTGAAGCCTTCTCAGAGCTTTTTAAAGCTTTTGGGGTTCGCTCCCCAACCTTCCATCCAGTATCTCAGGGCTGCTTAATATCTTGCTCATTGTTGAAAAAAGACACAAAACATCTTCGAGAATTTCTTACGCGCATAGATTTCGAATTGGAGCGGGTCTCCGACAACTTGGAAAGCTTGGTAGCTGCCATAGAGGAAGATGATATTGTTTTGTTACAGACAGGCATACAGAATACCGAAAGAAAAGTACTCATACAAGTATGGAAAGTGCTATGGACCTGCGCGCAATATCACGCCAGATTCAATACCATGAAAATCTTGCTATTAGTACCCGGAATGAGCCTGATCTTCCTCTTCCGGTCACTCCTGAGATTGGCCTCTTGCGATGAATGGCGAGAAGTACAGACGTCGTGGAATTTATGGTCGTCATATATCAAAAGAGGTTGCAAAATAAGCTGCTCCCCGCAAGATTGTTCAGAAATGAATCAATCCATTCTTAAAAAATGCGCTGAACTTATATATAAAGAGAACATACACGACCTGGATATATTTCTTCACATTATTCATGAATTCAACTTCTATTTGGACAATCAGTATTCAGAATTGAAGACCAACCTTCCAAAATTACGACCCTCAGTCTTTCGGATAAACACTCAATTAGCGATATTACCAGCCTTAGCCTCTCGAAAGCTTCCTATTTTGAAAAATCTCCTTTCGAAGCACGCTGCTTCAGCTTCAATTGAATCCATCTCCGAAAAAGACCTGGATAGCACCACACTTGGTCACCGAAGACCCCCCATTAAAATCATTCATACATTTCAATGACCATTAGATTTAGCGATTGGTCTCATTTTAGATTCAGAAATTGTCGAATACCTCTGCTACCATGGGGCCCGTTTGAAAAAGAGCAGCAGAGACACCAATTTTGATGAACCATGCATCTTACGAGAACTTCGTCTGAGAACCACTGTGGCAGACGATCGAAAACACAGTTGTTTTGTGAAAGCCGAGTGTTACAAAGTATGTTGTATGGAAGATAACAGTTGGATTTACAAAAAAGCTGCCGAGGAAACTCTCGTGCGGTATGAGTCGCTGCTCACAATCTGGAAGAAAATGTGCCATATTATATTCGAGAATGACTGTCGCGATCTCTATGATGTCAACAACGTGTCATCTGAATTAACGTGGCTAGGAATCCAAAAACAACTCTATCCGGGTGAGCCTCAGGATGCTTCCATTAAAAAAGCGGCATCATGGCCTGCGCCCCTTTTAACACAGGAGAGCTGGGATGATTGGAGGTTGCATGTGATAGATATACTGGAAAAGAAACACCAAAATTCTCTGAAGACGTCACAATATGGCTTTTAGGATATGGCTTTTGCATCCGCCTTTAGATACAATGTCATCGAGTAGAGGCTATCATCAGAAATTCATTAATGTGACTCCAACTTTGAAACATAGCTACATATACTTAAATATAGAGACTAAGCTAAGTTACAAAGATGTTTTTGTGGATGAATAATATGCTTCTCTTTTACTGTTTGGCTGGCGTTTCGCCTTCAGCGCCAGCGGGAACATAAAAGAGGTTTTGCAATTGCTCACGCTTGGCTGGAGTCTCGCCTTCCGCACCGGCAGGTACATAAAACAGGTTCTGCAATTGCTCACGCTTTGCACGCTTTGCTGGTGTTTCACCCTCAGCGCCAGCGGGCACATAGAAGAGATTCTGCAGCTGTTCACGTTTGGTGGGAGCTTCACGCTTTTCCGGTGATTCACCCTCGGCACCGGCGGGGACGTAAAAGAGATTTTGAAGCTGCTCGCGCTTGGCTGGAGTCTCGCCCTCAGCTCCGGCAGGGACGTAGAAGAGATTTTGGAGCTGTTCACGCTTGGCTACACCATGGGATAGATATTAGTATAAATACATTGTTTTGACAAACATTAATGTTAACTGCTGTGGAGGATATAATGGTTTCATACCGTCTTGTGCAACTGGCGCAGCAAGAGCCACTGAGGAAAGTGCAAATAGGGCGAGCGTAGCCTTCATCTTGAGATGATGTATGGAATAAGATATTGGATTGTTGACTGATGGGTAGTTTGAGTCGACTAAAATGTCAAAAGTGATACAATGTGACCCTAAAAGATTTGACGGGGGCAGCTTTTAACATGGATGAACTGCTGCTCAGATCCATGGGCCTCCCCCTCAGACGCTAGAAAAAGCAATAATCACTAGATACAGTCTCCCCTCCCTTCATCTATCGTATTTGAAATTAATTAAAAGACGCAGTATCCACAAAATAGCTTTATAGGAAAGGTTACGAAACATTGACCGTTAGTTGCAAGCGTAGCTATGTTAACTACCGTATTAGAGTACACCTAAAAGCAAGCATGTCCAAAACTAGCAGGCATGAGGTATATCGTACCGATTTTAGCATATCGTATCATGATTGCGTTTCTTTCTTAACTGTATGTGGACATTGGACCGAGACTTGATACCCGCTGCCATTAGAGACCGGCCGGTATTCATTTGTGTGGTGTCCTACCCCGACTACAAACCCAGCACGAGTTTGTTTCCACGTTTATATTGATCATACCAAGAGGAATGAAATTTCCGACGCATGTTAAATGCAAGTACCACTCCCATCTTGGTAATAAGACGAATGAACCGCGGGTATTTGTCTCTCCAAATGTCACTTCCCGGCGACTTACAACCGTACAAGGAGGAACGTCGAGCTTACAATTAGCTTGGTATTGATATACTTACGTCAAGATGCATAATATATCAGTAATATAAAGCTTTGAAACCAGGCTAAAAAATAACGATATTTAGTATATGGAGATGCTACTTAGATTGGGTATACATCAAGTATGCTTGTGGTTAAAACCCTGGCCTGCAGTTAATAGTGGCCGTTCTTGACTCAATACAGCAGGTGTGTAATGCTTGAGTGACAACGCAGAACTACCTGACGCGGAGTTTTTGAATCCAATATTGATCTTCCAGCAATCCCTGCTGTTCAGATATCATTGAGTGCCCACCCCTCATTCTACAATTGCACCCCAATTGCACCCCAACTGCACCCCACACGGAGTGGGATACGCCCCGTTGGACTAGGATTGGGGCTGGATCTGTTATCGTTGTTACATTGCCTAACTAACCTCTTTATTCGAAATTCGCATGCTCCCTTTGCACTCTATTCGCACGTCTTCTTCGTTTTCATTGTAATTTTGTTCAACTTCGTATCGACTATTTTTTCTGCCTCTTAGCTGTTTTGGCAATCATCCGTATCCAAGATGGAGAGAAAAGACGAAACTCAAGACTACATCGATTATGAAGAAGTGGGAGCCCCATCGAATGTACGACGTGCCAAACGACCGAGCAAACTCACCCTCTCAGTGACAATTTTGTTTGCTTTGGCAGCTGTTGCCAACCTGAGCGTCTGGATTTGGGTCACACGCGGTCCTCGAAATGCTCTAGATGAAGATTGGAATCACTGTGGACGTTCAAGCGCAGAAGCTGTGAGACGCGGATGTGTCATGGAGCCTTTATTCTATGGCTGGATGCCAAGGCAGTGCGTATATCAGGAGCTCTCTGATCGCTATCCCGTGTTCGAGGACAGAAAGTGGTTCCTTGAACAGGATATGGTTGTATGTAATGCATTGTTTCCTTCACTTTGGAGTTGGAATATTTTTGGACGCATTTCTGACCTATTGACCAGAATGAGCTTGACGCGGAAGCACTCTGGCGTGGCGACAATATCAAAGTCTACACGCATCTTTACCACTCAGAACATTGTTTGTTCCAGTGGCGAAAGGTCATGTTTGCCATGGAGAACCAGGAGCGGTACATTGACAACAAAACAATCAGCATTCACCACTCCAAGCACTGCGCGGACCAGATTGTGGAGGGACACATTGAAGGAGATGATGCAATTAATGAAGTGGAGCTTGGCTTCTATCGATGTAGAAATACAGTCTGGGCGAGCTAATTGGCCAATGCTGTAGAATTGATATCATCAAAACTGCCATGGTGTAAATATGCCTGTAGATGCTAGATAGATACATGCATGATTACTATCTCAACTATCCACCATTGCTTACCTACCTGTACGTAAATCTTGGATAGCGGGACCGACGGGTGAAACACATTTTACCCCGCCTCAACAAGCATTTACGAGGATACGATGGAGGGGTTGCTTCAAAAAAATATTGTTTTCATCAAAGGGGATATTCTGATAGCGACAAGAAACCCGTTCTAAGCGATCACGCGATTTGTTGCTGATGATGGCGAAGTTGACAAATGGACTCACTAGGACACCTTTTTTGTTGGATAATAACTCATCCCGCTCTCATCGAGCAAGGTTGTTGTCTTTATGATGGTCATCGATTCCAATCAAGTTTTTTAATTCTAGGCCTATTCTGTGGGCTGAATCGGACTTCATGACAAAATATGATATTGAACTAGGCCTAGTACTTAGTAAGTGAGGAGAAGCTCCAGTTTGCTCGGCAAGATTCTGCAGTTTAGAGTAAGCTAGTGATACTAGCACTGCAAGCTACTGCAGTGATCACACCTCATATGGCTGTTTGGGTACCTAAGCAAATGCCTATCGTATCCGGATCCATACCGGCAGATCAATGGTGTTTTCACTCGACCCCACGGCAAAAGGACTGCTAGCTCATTATTTGCTTACCATCTTCAACCATAGGATAGCTCGCTTCAAGTACTCCAATAGGCACACTATCTTTGACCCCTCGTCTAATGCATGAAGAGTGCTAATCTACAGGCTTCTAGCTGCATGCAGTTGCCTATCAAAAGAAGATATCGGGTAGATTATCAACGGACTTTTGAACCTTTGTCTAGTGCACTGCGAGCTCCAGTCCGGAAGCAGGCCAGTTGCCTGTTCGGGACTAAATTACCAGTTGATCCATCGATCTTCGCCCAGTGTATTAATGCGAGCGCGAATCTGAAGGCCACCACGCCTGCAGGCTCGCAGATAGATAGTTTAGCTTCATGGGACGCCTCGTATCGACTTAGGCAAACGGCCTCTGAACCCACCTTCGTCTACTGATTATGTGCTGCAGGTGTAAGTCCACAGACCTCTCTGCAAAGGTACCCTCCCCGTCCTCTATTCCACTCACAAATGCCATACACTCGGCACCAGTCTGGATGCCCAGCCAGAGATAACCGAGGAGTGAAAGGAAAAGAGAGAAAAACATGAACAAAGTCAAAAAACAAGAGCTTGGCGGCAAAATATTTGCAGACGTTGATGATGCAGAGTTGGGGAAAGCTCTTCTAGAGAGCAACACAGACACAGACACGGACACAGACACAGACACAAGCAGCTCAACAACATCGACAAGCTCACGTAATCGGTGGTATAGATGGTACAAAGTTATCATCGGTTTCTCAGCGCTACTATGCGCGACCAATCTCATTACGTTTTGGATCACAGCAACGGCAAGACCACAATGCCAAAGGACAGAGTCAGTGGCAGAGCCTCCACGCCTGACGCCAATGCTTCGAGACTTGAATCTCAAGACAATACATGTCAAGTTTGATTCGACATTCTATAGCCAAGGGAGTCGCTATCGTAAGCCCCCATCGCCGGAGACGGATGCCGCATGGAACTATGCAGGCGCCAACTGTATGTATCATATGTATTCTATTGCTTTCCATGACTTACCTTTTATATCACTGCGAAACTGACCTCCAAGTAGTTGGGTACATTCTGATCCCTGAGGAACAAGCAAGTGAATCAGATTTGACAACTAATAACATTCATTTCGCCGGCGGTGCTGATCAAGCCTACTTGAAAGGCTATCCTGCCAATGTTGAAGTATTTCATCAAATACACTGCTTGGTATAGCGACCGTTTTTGTATCTTTTTCAGGACTGTTGACTAAGTGGTAAATTGCAGAACCTCATTCGCAAGGCGACGTGGTATAATCATGACTACTATCGAAAGCTCGGAGCTGATGAATTTCGACACCCTGATAAAACCCTGTCTGTCCATGTCGGTATGTAGTAACCCCCGATGAAGCACGTATCATTGAGTCTTGGCATGCTAAGAATGGGATTTCTCTTCTAGACCACTGCATAGACAGTCTGCGCCAACGACTCATGTGCACCGCCGACGTTGGGCTGGTCCCCTTCTTCTGGGTTGGTGATGATGGCGGAACAGATCCTGAATTCAGTCGGACGCACACCTGCCGCGATTTCGAGACCCTACATGGTTGGATGAGGGAGCACATGGTTACTCCAGACTCTAATCGCACTCTGCTCCCTAGACCAGGAGACTATAGGGTCGATAGTTGGCACTGATTGGCCTTTAAGATGCGAGACGCAAGCCAAAAGAAGGGAAGAAAGCATCATTATGGGGTCGCTTGGAATGATATAAAGAATAGACACGCTGTTGTTGTATATAGTTGTGAATATTGATGCTTGCAGCATGCATCTGCAGAGAATTTATTGTACACTTTTCTAAAATGCCAGTATCATTAAGAGCCAAGGCCTCTTCTCGATATCCCGTAAGTAATTCATTCACCTATTGTCTCCCAAATACACTCCGAATTGTAGCTCCCGGAGACCAGTCGAAGGATTCGACAGGATTCTCCTCTGCCTCAAGTACAGTCTTCCAAGCCAGCGTCGAGTCGCGGCAAGAATGCTGATGTCCTTGCCCATTGACGCCACTCAGAAGTATGTTGCCCGCAGCATCATATTTTGTAAATGGGGGCTCCAAGGTGTCGTCTCCATTGCATAGTAGGGCCTAGAGTAATAATTTATTAGCAGACGTTCATCTTTAGGAGCTGGGGAAAAAAGGACGGCTACGCACTCGACCGATATATCCTAAGCAATGTTCGACATGCTTTCTCTCGTCTACATGCAAAGTTGCACCGTCGCGCTGGCCATGCGCATGCGCTGCATGGCCACCATTCTCTGGGGCAAGACCAAAGTAGTTTTGCATTGTTGAGCGTAATATTCCCAAGCAATGGATGCTGTGAAACATGCTCACGCCCCAGCCTTGGCTATACGTCTCGTTATGCCGGACCAGGAGGAAGCCACCAAGAGGAGTGTTCATCGCTTGGTTCCATGCTCCGTCAACGGTGCTGTCAAGCGACTCGATATCAGGGCGCTCGAGGAATTCGAAGAGAAAATTTGAGTTTCCCTTAGAAGCGCTGGAACCACGTAAAACATCATCGCTTGGATTGTAAATGGTGCGCTGTGTGTCTTCCCCACCTAGAGGCTTCGAAAAATTGGTAGGCAAGCCTGTCAACAGAGACTGCAGTACAGGCAATGTGATGATCAAGAGGACCATGACTGCCACAGAGCTTAGGGTCCATATCCAGAACTGGTTTATCTGTGGCTTCGGCATCTTGTGCTGTGTCGTTGCAGTGGTGAAATGATGTTTACCGGTAGTGGGTAGAACCAAGCTGGGAAAGCTTCTAAGATCAAAGCACGTTGATCTTTTAGACGAGGAGAGTACATGTATTTACATGTAATTGACCTTGCGGGCATTCGACGGGCGCCGGGGGGATTATATGCACGCTACTCAGACAGGGATACAGCCCATATGGAGTACTAGGTAGGCTAGGTATGTATTGCATGAATGCAACATTCATTTGTCTATTTCATGATAAAACTAAAGTATTACTGTATATAGTCATGATGGTAGTATCATGATCTCAGATAATATCATGATTCCACAGTATAGCATATATCTATGTATAATCCTCCTTTTTATATTATATGCTTTTTCAACTAAAAGCAAAAACGACTTACATAATGAGCGGCAGGAAATCCCACCCGCTTCTAAGCCATCAGCAAGCCCCAGTGGCAACATACGTGTGGCTGGCTCATGTTATGTATTACACCTGAAGATACCTTCTGGCAGCAGTTTGATGACAGCCACACGGAGATATACTGCCCGCAGGCTCGCACAAACTTCTGTCTCAAACCGAGCTCAAATGGCCCGTCCCTATAGTTTCTGTCTGTAACAGCATCATAATGGCCCTTGAGCCCGCTGGGCCCCTCACCCCACGCCAATCCAAAGTCGTCGGCGCCCTGCTCGGCCTCCACGCCGGCGACTCCCTTGGCGCCAGTTTCGAGTTCAAATGCCACACCCAGATACGCACCGCATATCCCAATGGCCTCCGTGACATCGTAGGCGGCGGACTACTCTCTTGGCCGGCCGGCCATGCCACCGACGACACAGACATGACGCGCGCCGTGCTCCTTGCTTACCGTAAGCTCCATGACAGCTCACAGCAAGATGTCGCCGTCCTCGCGGGGGAGCTTTTCCTGAGCTGGTACAGGGGAGATTGGCCTGGAAGGAAACCCGGCTCGCGGCCCAGAGATGTGGGATTGGCCACAAGAGCAGGGCTGCAGAAGTTCTCAAAGACGCGTGATCCTGAAAAGGCTGGCGCGGGTGAGGGAAAGGCAGGCAACGGCAGTTTGATGCGATGTCTGGCAACGGGGCTATTCCAGAGTGATCCAGACAGGCTAGTGGAGGAGAGCATGCGGATAAGCATGATTACGCACAACGACGAGCGGTGCACGATTGCGTGTGCAGTGTATAACCATATCGTTGCGGCTCTGATACGAGACACAAGTCCAGAAATCGCAGTTGATGCCGGAGAAATGTTGGCAGAGAGGCTTGAGAAGGGGAAAGACGGGCCTGTGCTGAAGGCTGTGAGACTTGCAAGGACGGTGTCTATCGCGCGGATGGCGAGGTATGGTCCCGACCGGAGCGAATTGAAGGGTGCGTGTAGCGGGTTTGTGCTGGAGACATTGACGTTGGCGATAGCGGCGGTGTTGGATAAGAGGCCCTTGGAGGATGTGCTGGTCGACGTTGTGAGGATAGGCAACGATACAGACACAAATGGTGCCGTGGCGGGAGGGCTATTGGGCGCGAGGGATGGTGTTGATGGCGTGCCGGAGAGGTGGAGGGCCAAGTTGCAGTTTGGGGAGGAGTTTATGAGGGTTGGGCTTGAGTTGACGCCTGAATAAGGTGCTTGTGACTGAGTTAGAAGTTGTCAAGATATGATGCACGTCTGACGGTGATTCAACATTGGATACAGTGCTGCAAGTGACAATGTGAACACTGTTTTGTCCCTCTATGGACTCTGACTCATCGAGGACATGTGCGAGCGAAAGTGTTTGTGTTGATAGGACCAAGTCTCTATGGCTGCTTTATCAACTCAGCAATACATCAAGGTTAGCCACAATAGAGATTGAAGGAGTGTGTAGGTGGCTTGTTGTTTGCAATTCTAACAACAAATCTGCATTTGTATAATCCTTAAATGATCAATACCAAAATTGATTTCGTACCCGGCCGTTGAATGGAGAAGGCGTTTCACAATATCTCCTCAAAATTATCTGGCATTGAAATGGTTCTGGGCTCATACTCAGTGACCTAATGGCACACCATATTCACTGAGTCAATACTGTAGATCATCGACCATGTTAGTTAATTGGCAAGTCACTCGTCTCTCTCCAGAGACAAGTTCGATTTCAGTAACATTCAAGGCTCCTTCATCACATCAAAGATGCAAGTGCCAATAGAATCTCAGATTCTTTGGAATTCCGCAATATTGGATGATATGCCAACTATTTACTTATTTCTCCTTTATACATCAAACTATGAACTACATCAATTTCATCTATCAATCCTATCAAAGGGATATATGCTTCTATACTAGTGACACGCAGCCCAATAATGGTGTAAGGATATAAGCCTTGAATTATATATCACGTTAGTTTGCAAATATCTCATATCTGTAACTACGCCCAAAACGCCTGGCCGTAAAGAAAACCTTTGAATTCTCAGCAACGTAGCGTAGTATGGCAAAGGGTGTTGTTTTATAGTGACTTATATTGTAGCCCTCAGTATGGAGAATATACGCGGTGTATAAGTTTTGTCTTCATAGAGACTGCTCACACTTAATGAGTAATCTGCGAGTATTTTAAAAGTTTTACTTTGAAAAGTAATACACCTTGAGAGAGCTTTACAATTGAAACCAATCTTGTTTTTTCTGCCTCTAAGAAATAACAAGAACAGATGTCCCGGTCAAAATGGCCTATTAAGATATTGAAAACCTAAATGCAGAAGCGTTGCTATTTCATCTCGGAGAATATGGGAAACACAGCCAGCTTCTAGTCATTAAGCCAAGTTGACTCAAACGGAGATATCAAATCATACCGTCGGAAGTTTCCAAACAAGTATTATACCTTAGCTGACATAAGTTTGACCAGGGGTGCTATCGGAGAAAAAAAGACATGGGAGATAATTACCATAGATTATGCATAAGGCTCCTCTCTAATATTGTATCATAATCCTTCGTCTCCTCTTCACCGCAATACTACTCGTATTTTAATATCTCAAAGCTTTGAGCCCCTCACATTAATGCGTAGACCCTGCCTGGCCGTTCCACAAAAAAAGACAAAAAGGGTGTCCATACTCCCAAAGGGTGTTAATACTCCCCGCTTTCGTCTACCAATATTTTGCGGTCGCATACTAAACATCATATCTTGCCCCATTTACAACATGTAGCCTTATCATTTGATTGCTACCTATCGCAAAAGCCTGGATTCGTCAATATCACGCACCCAAATCCCGGGCCTTGGCAAACGCTAAGCTTTCCCAAAGAGACGTTACGTCCAGGTGATTAACTACTCTTAACCACTCACGATGCAGCAACCCATGTTGAGATCATATTTGTTGGGCGTTCTCGAATGGTCTGGGATATTTAGGGCTTTTGCAGCTGCCGGAATTGTCGATGCATCTGCAGGTGTGCGCTTAGAACGGCAATGGATGGGTCACGGTCTCATTCAAGATACAGACAACAGGAAAATAGACTTATACAATTTCTGCAGTTGTGAAAAATGTGTGCCACAGGCATTTCTACATCTATACGAGTGAAAAAAAAAGAAGATTTAGAGAACGTCATATATATATAAAATGGCGTCCAGAGCACGCAAGGCTGGCTTTTCTCACTAGCTAATGTTTCAAGGTAGGCTGCTCCCCTCTGGATGCTTGTCCTTTAATGCGAATTTTGAACTATGGTTCTCTTACGGTCACTTTTTGTTCCACTGGCAGCCGCTCTTGTGGCAAGCTCTTCTGAAAAGTCTGGCGGAGGTTTCATCATTGAACTAGATGAGAAATCAACCACTCTAGATGCGTTCACGCAGAGTGCCAGCGCCATCAACTATACCGTCCGGCGTACTTTCAAAACCCCCGGGATCTTCACCGGCATTGCTATCGATATAGCTGACGGCAGTGATTTGAAAGAAGCAAAATCACGCCTTGACGCGATACCTGGCGTCGTCGGCGTAGCCGATATTATCCAATATGAGATCCCTCCGATAAAAAGCACATCTGTCTCTCCTCCAAGCGCTGGCTCTTCACTTACACGTCGCGGGGATGTCTCTGGAGATTTGGGGTTCACTCTACAAATGGGAGGCGTTGACAAAGCCCACGCTCTAGGCATCAAGGGAAAGGGAATAAGTATCGGCTTCATTGATACTGGAGTTTATTATGATCACCCTGCCCTTGGCGGAGGCTTTGGAAGTGGCAAAAAGATTGTCGGCGGATACTCTTTCATTACGGATGAAGGACATCTAGTTGACAGCGACGATCCCTATTCTGATTGTCCTCAGTCAGACCATGCGACACATGTGGCAGGTTAGTAAAGAAACTTCCCAAGTACTTATGACAATAGGCAGTAGCTAAGAACTTCTACCCAGGCATCATTGGAATGGACCCATTACAGGCCCCGGATGGCTTCCCTATATCTGGCGTTGCCCCTGAGGCATCTCTGTATGCTTATCGCATCTTCGGCTGCGGTTTAGGCGGAGGCGCTAGAGAAGGGGGTACTACCGATCTGGTCTTACAGGCAATGCTCAAAGCTTTCGAAGATGGGGTCGATATTATCAGTATGTCCTTGTCGATTAATGGGGGAATGACTGGAGGGCTACCATCGTATGACCCTGTGACAGCGACTGCGCAGCAAATCAAGAACGCTGGCGTTGCGATTATTGTTGCCATGGGGAATGACGCATCAGGTTCGTTATACGCAAACAACCTCTACATCGAAACGTTCCCCGGCGAGCTTTCAAGTGTTGTTGCAGTTGCTTCAATTGCCAACTCGAACTACCCACTGGTCTATACAGCAACGGACAAGTACGGCGCAAAATTTCACTATTCAAATCCGCATCCTATTTCGGCAACCGAAGGACTTGATGTCTACTTGCTTCCGGGTGATGCGTGTGATACGATTGACTGGAACGGAGTTGTCGATGACATTCAGACATCGGGTAATCTAAGCACCACCGTCATTGCTCTGAGTGTCAGCGCGTCTTGTACGTTGTCAGGCATATCGTGCTGCGGCAACACAGCCCCGCCTTACTTACTTGGCTTTTACGGTAACGATACAAATCCATATGATCTAGATTATGAAAGTATCTTGCCATACCGGTTTAATAACGGGTCTACCCAAGCATACACCGTGCTAGAGCCCGATTCGGACACTTTCTTCAGCAACTACAATGCTTCCGGCGGATATGGCAAGTATAAGCTGTTCTTCGGTAACTCAACATACATCAACCCTAAGCAAGGGTTGGGTGGAATTGTTGACTCATACAGTGATTGGGGGCCAATTAGGCTAACGTATGAGCTCAAACCACAAATCGCGGCTCCAGGTGGCCATATTCTGTCCACGTTCCCAGAGAGCATTGGTAGCTATGGCGTCATCTCTGGAACGTCAATGGCAACACCTTACATTGCTGCCTGCTTCGCGCTGGTAAAGTCTCAGTTCCCTGACTGGTCAGTCGATGAAATCTTGGTTTCATTGCAGACTACGGCTCAGCCAACTGCTTGGGCATGGAATCAGAGCATGTTGGCAGCCACTGCTCAACAGGGAGCAGGCTTAGTCAATGTATACGATGCCATTACAACAGCCACTCGCGTTTCTCCAGGACAGCTAGCTGCGACAGATAACAATAGCACTTCATTCGGCTTAGTCAATATCACTGTTGAAAACAACGGAAACTCTACTCAAACATACACGCTTGGTCATCGAGGAGCAGGCTATACGTTTGAGAACGTCGGTTACGGCGAAAGGGACCAGATGGCCAATTTTGGAACCGCAGAGTTTGCAACTCCTACTTTAGAGCTCGAGCCCGGTGAGACTACGGAGATCCCTATACGGTTGTCTTATCCACCTCTTGGTATCGATGTGAGCCGGCTACCCCTCTTTTCGGGTTATATTGATGTAGTTCCCGAGACAGGGGTCAATCTGAGCATCCCGTATATTGGTCCTGGCTTCTCGCCCTACAATATGGATTATATCACTTATCTGAATGCTACCCCGACATATCCAGGTCTTCCATGGCTCTCATTCCCAAATAACAGTGGAACTAACTACAACGATGGGTTTTCTTCTGTCGATTCATCCAGGCAATATTCATTCAGCGTACACGTCCAACAGTTCACAAATCTCTCGAGGGTGGATATTGTCCCGGCAAACACAACTTTGAAGGCTCACTTCAATGCTGCCAACTTTACCTTTCCGTCCAATTACACATACCTTGCTTCTTCAAACCAGCCTAAGTCGACACTGTTTGGAGAGCCAAGCTATGGCAACCTTTGGATCGCACAAGGACTGACACAACCCGAATCTATTTCCCTTGGAGGCAAAGGTTTAAAAGTCAAAGATGACAGCGGTGCAAATGTCACGCTAGGATCTGGTGATTACAGATGGTTTTTTAGCATCTTGAGGTTGGGTGGAGATGCTACACTAATCGAAGATTATGATACTTGGCTGGGTCCTATTGTTCGGCTGCTGGATTGATGATCTATTACTTTGCACTGTCCACGGATTCTCTCATCTGGTTTGTTGGTGGATATTAATGAATAAGCCTGATATTGTGTATATGAGCGCATGATAATGCATGGGTAGCTTGTTATAGAGTTGTCGTTTCCATGCTTTCTCGTTTGTTCCGGGTGACAGCATGAGTCTTCTAGCTAACATACTCAAATGGCCATCCCATCATCCCAATACTAAACTTCGTTCCCTCCTCAATTTCCTTGGCTTGGGCCTTCAGCTCTTCCACGTCCCAGTTGCACCATACAAATTTACCCCTCAGAAATCGGGCCTCGGGACTTGCAAGCCAAAGATTGAAGCCAGCCGGAAGAGAGACTAAATGCATCTAGATTAGTTTGGCTCATACGCCCATCATTGGAATCATTCCGCTCACCATCGTCAGTCTGAATGCCGTCAAAGCTCGCGGCGCCTCCCGCGCGCAGGTTCATCTCAGTAAGTACCACGCCAGGCTGCGTATGAAAGACACTCAAATTCGGGTTGTTAATGGTGATAGTATCCCAGAGCCGATAGACGGCCAACTTAGCGACGCAATACGAGGAAAATACATCGTTCACACTCCAATGCGCGGCCCACGAGTTGATAATGATGGCGACTGCATCTGGAGTCGCGTGTCGGAGGAATGCCTGCGCAACCCAGAGCGCACCGGCAATATTGTCTTGAATTGCCTCGAGGTAAGTTTCACCGTCTGCTTCTGCAACACCCTCTTTGGGTCCGATTACGGCTGCACTGTGAACAAGGACGTTGATCTTCCCGCTGCCGGCGAACTGGGAGAATGCCGCATCCACATCGCTCTTTTTGGTGATGTCTGTGGACACAGTAATGACTTCGACACCGGGAAAGTTTTTCTCGATGAAGGCTTTATTGTCGAGGAGTGGTTGTTCCCGGCGGCCGAGCAGAGCGATTCTCGAGGCGCCCGCTTCAGCAAAGTAGCGAGCTGTCTCTCCGCCAATGCCGGTGCCTCCTCCCGTGACTAGCACAGATTTGCCTTTGGCAGATACCTCGGGACGACTAGGGAGTGTAGATGGCTGTGCTTTGTGGTGAAAAGCTTTAGTTGGGGACGGAAAAGAGAGACCTTGAGCCATGATGATTGTAAGAAGTGCGGATGTAGTTTATGATGATGGTCGAGAAAGGTGGTGAATGATGAGTAGAGTTTTTTGAGAGCAATAACTGACTTTATATATGAGAACGTCATTATCAGAGTGGTTATGAATTGCTGACATAAAGTTACAATTTGTCAAAGAAAACGTGGTTGAAGCAAGATTGAATAGTTTTACAACATTCCCCGTTACAATTTGTTCCGCCCGGCGGCTTGCTCTAAATTAGAATGGAGTAGATGATGCGATTAATAAGCGCTGCACATTTCTTGTATCTTTGACAAAGCAATTGCATCTACTATGATCATATACAAGACTCTTCATCGATTGATATGTACTCCGTAGCCATGTATTCTGAACGTCATGGAATGCAAACAGCATCTATCTGCAGAATACCACATTGCCTAAATAGGTAACTACCAGATATGGAGGATGAACCCCCTATTCCTCGGGTAAGTATGGAGCACTCACGTCAATTGAAGCACTCTAGTGTCGCGTGCTATCAGGGGCACTAACCATTCTCCAGGCATTACTAATGCTGGACAGCCATCATGTTATTATTCAGCGCGGACATTTTGCAACGACAAAACGACAACATCCCGCTCACAAACTCTCCAAGATATACTAGCTCTGTTCTGACGGTAATTGAACAGTATGGACTTCATCCTACGGTGCGAGCAATGCAATAAGCCTTTCAACAAAAGTGAGCTGCCATTTGTACTCGACTTTGTTTCGCATACTGACACTCAGAGGATATAGAGTCTACATTCAAGCGACATGGGTATTACTGCCGGTCTCAAAGAGGTGATAGTACTCCTCGGCGTCGGTCATGTCTTCTCTGCGCGAAGAGTAAGGCGCGTTGTGATGCGAAGCAGCCTGATTGCTCAAGATGCATAGCCAAGGGGATTAAATGCCAATATCCAGCAAAGACATCCAGGGCTCCAGTGCTAAAGGCTCCGCATAGCGATGGCGCCTCTACTGAGCGGCAGAAAGCGACAGACTCATTGGTGGCAGATTCCATTAATCTCAACGGCGATGATATCATTCTTGACGATACTTTGTTCATGCCACAACTGGGCTTCGCAGACCTGGAAGGAAACTATCTCCATTTGGATGACATCGCCATCGGCCCTAATGAAGACCTTTTGAATCCTCAAGCCAATATCAACAATTCGCACCTTTCAGCGGCGCAGCCACCTTCAGTTCATCACTTGTCGCCTCCAACAGATAGCGGGGCCCAAGAAGCTCAGGACTTGTCATCGCTCAAGTTTTCCATACCCTTGGCGCCGGGTGCTGCCCGGTCAATGATCCGCCGACAAAGGACACATACCGCAGCCCAAAGGGTATCCAATCTAATTTCCCACACACTTCAATCCTATCCCTTGATGCTGTTGCGCTCCAGCACTCTTCCGCCTTTTATCCACCCAAGCATGATTGCTTCTAATGACGAGAATCTACACCTGGAGTCACTTACCAATTGCCTCAGTCTGGTTCAAATGATCAGCACCGGGATCCAGACCAGTCGGAAGTTGTTCTGGAAAAACGTACGGATGGAATGTGAACGTCTATCTGAAGAGGTACATTGAATGTCCTGACTATTATTAAAAACGAGGTGTTGGGAGGCTAACTAGTGAGCCTTTTTAGTATATAAAGTTAAACAAATATGAACTGCTCACTGCTATGCAAGCACTCCTTATCTACGTACTTATACGACTGGATGAAGGAGCAACAGATTACAATAACTTTGATAATTTATTGCTGAAAGCTGTAACTGTAGGCCAAACCCCTGCTTTTTCTACTGCCTTGAGTCTAAAATGGAACATAGGTAACAGCTCAGCGGTTCAACGGCTTTGACGATGCAACATTTCATACAGAGTGCGCGCATTGCAACAATGGGTTGGAAACTAGTTGGAAAGAATGGGTTTTTAGAGAATCAAGACGAAGGTTGGACCTCTCCCTCGTTGCGAACTTTCTATGCTGATATGCTAACTGAACAAAGACTAGGAATCGTGTATCGAGTCGTGAATATGCTCGTTTATTTCGATCCAATGGCCATGTGCGATCTGCCTTCTGACCTCATTCTAGCGCCACTACCGGCGAAGAAACAGCTATGGGAAGCAGGCGATGAGTTTGTGTGGAAGGCCGCGGGGCAGAGAGAGATGGGAGCCAAAACTGCCTTTGGGTTGGCAACGCATGGTGGACTTGTCAAGCTGGACGATCGTGAGCTGTCTTGCAGCGATGCTTGGTTGCCGTACAAATGCTTGGAGACTAGGGGCCAGCCGAGAAGCACTGCCAGCTGGGAGGAGTGGTGTTCGGGAATAGATGGTTTTGGAGGACTCGTCATGCTTGCTGCATCCTTAATTGCGTGAGATAGTTTACACATTAGAGAAACTGCAAGGTCCACATACCCAACCCTCAGTCGATGTAATCGTGGCACTTGAAAGTAATAATGAGACTAGTAAAACATCGTGTTATATATTGACCGCTTGTTGAAGGACGCTTCAGGAAGTAAATGCATACCCTCCCAATTTAGCATACATGAATCTGAAATCCAGCATTGGATTTTCTTCCAACATCATTGCTGTTACCGATGCGGCGTGCAAATGGCCAGATTCGGCTATGAACCTCATGGTGTTAATTACCCAAAGGCGCAACTTGGGGTTCGTTGTTGCACTGCCAGCTATAAACATAGCCGGGAGGAGAATGCCGCATTTCAGAGCCTGGACGGGAGTGAAAGGGATGCAGTTGTTTGGATGAACATCAGGGAGAAGGAACTGAGGTGCTGAGGCACAGACTTCTTCTGCATAGCGCTCCGTAAGGACGGCTGACTCTGAGCGAATGCGAATGGCTTCGTCGGACTCGTCGCCTATCAAGGACCTTTGGATGTAAAACTGAAGTTGGAGGTGCATTATTCGAACCGTGTTGCGTACTTGTGTTGTAAAATGGTCTCTGTAAACATCATAGTGATCGCCAAAGATGGAGGACCGGTCGGGGTCCTCCTCCGATACCATGACATGCCTAGGCTGCCATCTCTGTGATGATGTCTCTTCAATTTCGTAATAAGCGGCCTCAAGCTGCCTAGCCTGAGCGACAATTTCATTTTTGGACAATTTTCCCTCTGCGACATCGATTCGGAAATTGATCATCTTACAGTTCATATTGGAAAGCCGCCACTTGGCGTCATCCTTGTCGTGGAACATGTCCAGTCTCCGCCCCAGTTCAGCAACGCCTTCCGGTATCCGCTGAGACGCAATGTAGCAGCTGATGAGAAGCGTCGTGAAAAGTTTGTTGGCCAATTTTCTACTGACTTCGCTTCGTGTCATGTCATTGTAGCCACGAGCCTTGATTAGTGCCAGAGCTCCGTTGAGGTGGGCTAGCCAAGATTGCTCCGACATGAGGTCGCGGCCCATAATCTTTTCATACAGATCAAGAAGTAACACTGACTGCAGAGTGGAGTCAGCACTCGCGAGTTCGCGGCTAGATAGGGCCTTGTTAATCTGCCTCAGGGCAAGCATATAATTCTCAGCGGCCAGCCGCAGAAGCTCTGTTGATGATGTCGCGTGATTATTCGCGAAGAACGCAAGGCTGGCCGCATCTACACTAGCAGATAAGTGGTCTCCCGGCTTTGATTTCTCATACAAGGCAGGCAGGATATCGTAACTGCTGGATAGGCCGTATACATAGTGCGCAAAGAAGTCATGACGGGCACGAACATGCCAAGCCGGCTGGGGCTGCGGTGAAAGACGGCTGCCGTTGGGCAATATCACATGGTTGAGAGCTCCAAGCTGTAAAGATACAGTCGTTGCTTTGGAAGACAGCATCTTGCGCTGGACGCTGCGTGTCTGGTCGCGGAAGATGAGATCGTTTGTATCCCGGTAGCCAAAGCATGCGATATTGGCCCGCAGACATTGGCCGCATCCATCCTTGCGCAGGTCGCACTAACGAGGCCCCCATGCGTCTGTTAGTCGCAGAGGTCTGATAAGATTATACGGATATACCTATATAGTACCACATATAGGATAAAAATTGGAGATCGTACCTTGAGCTTGCGTTTCCTGCATGGCAAGCAGTCTTTGGAGGGTCCTCGGTAAACCATGAGGGGAAAGCAAGCCGATAGTCCTTTCTAGCGGATGACTAAATGCGTAAGAATCAAGTTATCAGGACGCTAATCAATCAACGATCGCAGAAGCTCCATGCGGTCGTCCTTGTTGAGAGAAGATGCTTCATTATTGCGATTCTCCCAACTTCCGGAACCTATAGAGTCCTCGCTCTCGGAGCTAAAGTCCGCGTCGGAGATGGGCCAGATCTCAACAGCGGGCGCTAGGCTTATAAGGGCTAGCGTTCCGGAGTGTTAAATCTGTCTCCACTGAAAAGACAGGCACGATGAATCGATGTATGATGCAGATACATGTTTGGCGCAGATTCTAGACAGAGAGGTTCGAAATCGTTAGATCAAGGGGCTCTCTCTATACTGACGTGACGTATACTAATGTATCATTCATGCGGATTCAAGTCCGCGAACAGACTAGTGCAATCTCCATCAACACTACATGTCCTATATTGGACCTTATACAGCTAGCGTTCCGGTAGCAGGCCATGTATGCAGCGAAAGAGGAGACTGAAGATGGCTTTGTCAAGCGACAGAGCACAAGTGAATGCAAAATGGATAGGACAAATTCGGTATTAGTGATTTCTACATATTAATCCCGACAGTCGTCTTGATGTATATAAAGGGCACTTCTCCGCGACTTGGAGGAATAACTACAACACACTCGTCCAAGTCAACTTACAAACAGACTCAACAAACGACTCAGCCAAAATGGTGTTCCAGTATAAGCGCGTTCTCCTCGTCGGTGCCACCGCTGGCATTGGCGCAGCCATGGCAGACAAGCTCGTCGAAGAAGGCGCCAAAGTCATCGCCGTTGGTCGCCGTCAAGAGCGTCTCGACGCTTTTGTTGCCAAGCACGGCCCAGAGCGTGCCAGCGCTATCAAATACGATGTTACTGACCGCGCTGGCCTTGATGCTTTCGTCAACAAGTAAGAGAATAATTGCTTCCAGTTACCTTTTTGTTGTAAATAAATGCTAAAAATTGGCGAATTGCCGCAGGGTTGTCGAAACATATCCCGACTTGGACTGCGTCTTCCTCAACTCAGGAACCCAGACTCAAGCCAAGCTAACTCGGCCAGCTGAGATTGATCTCGACGCTTTCCACCACGAATTTGAAGTCAACTACATTTCCGTCGTGAACCTCACAATCAAGTTTCTGCCGCACCTTGAGAAGAAAGACTATCCCACCAGCGTAATCGTTACAGGATCGCTTCTGTCACTGGTCCCCGCATTTTTGATGCCGGCATACAGCGCATCCAAGGCCGCTCTCCGAGCCTTCTGGGACTCTCTTCGGAGACAGCATCAAGGTTTTTCAAAGATCAAGTTTATCGAAATTTTGCCTCCCGCCGTTCAAAGTAAGCGCTTCACATATTTTTACAGTCGTCCCCCTTTCTATCCTCGTTTATCGTCATGGTGCATTGCATCTAGGCTAACAAATTCTTCTTTACTTTGCCCTCATTAGCTGAACTTCACGATTACATGGGCGTTGAGCGCGGCCGGGCTGTGGGCATGCCGCTCGCTGAGTTTACTGAACAAGCATACGCCGCGCTTGCCTCGGGCAAAGAGGAAATCATCATTGGTAACCTTCACGGCGCTGCCGCAGAAGATGTTCAGATTTTCTTGGAGAAGAGAAAATTGATGTTTGACAACTTGTCCGATGCAATGGCTCTCCACTTTAAGCCATGAGCAGGATTGAAGCTGGGGCTGGATATATGGGGATGTATAACGGACAAGTGTTATCTGGATGGCTTTCTATACCTATATAGCATGTACACTCAAAACTGGTAGATGCCACAAATGTATGTTATCCATGTTTTCTCAAGGTCAAAATTTGAATAGATTATCTCTTATTCTTATCGCTCGTCTTCTAATTCCACTACAAACGAATGCCATAAACCTTCTGAGACATAGGGCACTCTCCGGGAACTGTGGGGCTTCGCCGGAAGTGGAGTTCCGGCCGCCAACATCTCGGTCCCGGGGCTCGTCATCAAGACTGCTATCTGGCTCGACCACACATTGTCAAGTGCTTCATATTAAACACTTGACAAGGACCAAAACGGCCATAAAGTTCAACTATACGATTTATATGCGTTCTAGGCACTGTTCAATGGCGGGGCGGTGGTGCAAACCTTAAATGAGTCTCGTCGAAAGCGGAAAATCAGTTCGAATCCTCAGAGAGAGTTTGCGTGTCCCGCACAAACACCGCCGACGTCACATAAACGTAGCAAGGCCGGAATAGTGGTAAAGAGATTTTAACGTTTCGGATGCCAAGACAGCATCGACATTCTAGAATCTGGGTGTTCTATCCAAAGAATTTCAAAGTGCTTACCTTCATCGAGCATTATATCAGATCTCCGTTCACAGAGCAGTCGCGACAATGCTGTCGTTTATAGAGACCGAGACCCCTCCTACAAAGGTCTTCTTTCCCGCATTTCAGCTGCAGATATGTGGCGAGCTCTTTGCGCCAGAGTCAGGATCACCGAATCGCAAGGGAGCAGCCGTCGTCATCAGCCATCCTATGACCGGCGTCAAAGAGCAGACATCAACCAAGTACGCCAAACTCCTCTCCACAGCCGGCTTCTACGCCCTCGTCTTTGACGCCGGGTATCAGGGAGAAAGCAGTGGTGAGCCTCGGGGTCTGGAAGACCCCCACCAGCGAGTGGAGGATATCAAAGCGGCGGTCAGCTACTTGACAACTCTCAGTGGCCGAGTGGACGCCCAAAGGATCGGGCTCCTGGGCATCTGCGCCTCAGGAGGTTATGCTTCCTACGCTACGCAGTCCGATAGTCGCATCAAGTGCCTCGCGACCGTGAGTGCAGCCTGTGTGGGCCGCATGACACGCAACGGCAGCGTTCATCCATATGTCAAGGAGAACCCTCAGGCCATCGCCACAGCTCTGGAGGCCGCCGGCCAATGGCGCGCCAACGCGGCCAAGAACCCAACATCAAAGCCTGATGCTCCCGTCATGTTTGAGACAGACCCCTCCAAAGTCGACGAGGACTCGGATTCCTTCTTCAGAGATGCAGCAGCCTACTACGGCACCAAACGCGGCAAACACGAACGAAGTACCCACAAAGTTCCTCCGCAGAGCTACGACCTGATGATCAGCTACGACTCATTCAACTTTCAGCATTTGATAGCGCCGAGGCCGTTGTTGATGATTGCAGGATCAACGGCGCAGACGCTGCACTACAGCAAGACGGCCATCGACGGAGCGAGGCAGCCAAAGGAACTGTTTGTGATATCAGGGAAGAACCATTTTGATCTATACGACGACCTGCGAGAGTCCGGACCAAAGGTGGTGGATTTCTTCATCAGTGGGCTCGACTGAAGAAGAAGAGAGATGGAGAGGGGAGAGGGGGAGATAACAGAGGGAAATGGCGTTACAATGCCGTGTTCGTTTGAGATTTGATGTGAATAGTAATCACTTTTTTTTGCTTTGGGCTGGGCTGGGCGTGTATGCAGTCACAGACAGTGACAAGTGTTGAGTAATCGAGATGGATCCGTGTCCATTTAGCATCCTTTCCGCCATACAAACTGAATAAAGAACAGCCATTGTTCGGATTTATCACTGTGTCCGAAAGTTCACGAGTCTGAGGTTCGGGGAGCTGAGTCCACGGCGGAGGAATTACATGCTCGCGCGCGGCAATATTTCCGACGATGCTGACGGGCAGTCATCATAGCGAAAAGAGGTATTTGATGCCACTCTGGAGCAGACAATTCAATAATTTTCCCACCAAACAGACGTATGACTCGTCGTTGGCAAAAGAAGAAAGACGATCGCATATCGCATATCGCATATCGCAGCGGAGAAGATGACCGGCATCTATGCATGTAACGCTGGTGCTTGTAATCATTTACATATATCTACTAGTATATTCAATTTACAATTACACACAGTCAAGAGCGCCTCCATGCGGCTTGATGGCCGACGACCGAGCCTTTCGGATCTGCAGCCATCCATAGCCCCAGACAGCCACGCATGGAATAAATTGTTTTGTCAAAGTGGCAGCCCTTTCTCATCCATCGTTCTCAGCTCCTCCACTAACATCCAGAAAGGGGGGAGGTCCACAAGCCTAACTCAGTATACTGGCCCAGTAAAAAAAGAGCAGCTACTCGTAGGTACATTTAGTATTAATGAACAGCTCTCGGTCTGGCATTTAGCTTGATCCTTTACTTCTTCTCTCTTTTCGTTTCTCTTTTCTCGCAAAATACACTGCCATACTGCTTCTTCTCTTCAGCTTCTCTTCTCACGTGTCGCAGGATTCATCGGCCGCTCATCGCTCCGAAATACCGTTGCCTTAGTCAGCGCCGCCTACTGTATTCCGATTCCGACACCAATCACGACCAAAACTCCAGAAATCAATCGCTTCGTCCACATCAGAATCAGTGTGAAATCTGACTCAGCAGAAACTCAAAGGTCTTTGGTGGCGCACACTTGGATGTTGCCTCGTGCCTAAGGGTTGCTTTTCGGTTGTGGGCAGAAGCATACTCTACAAGGAGAACCTCAGAGGCGCTTGATCACCTCATCTAGATCGAATCAGTCTCGTGGTTTTCACTCCGTTTTATTGGTATCTTTTAATTAGGACTCACGAGCCTCTATTCGGCAGTTTACTTATTTCTCTGCCTTTTATCGCCATTTTACCGTTTCAGCATCTCCGTCTTATCTAATCTCATTTCTCATTGCTGGCATCCCTGGAAGGCCGAATGATGGACGTGGACGACCCTTCGTCTGAAGCATCAAGTCCATCTCCGTCAACAGATCAAGGCCATGGATTTGATGCTTTGATGCAGGCTCGTCAAGTCGAGTCCATCGCCTATCATGCTTTGATCAACGAAGGAGGTCGGCCGTCACACCCGCTGAGCCACTTGCGGACCATTGTTGCTTCACCTGGCCAGTATCGCGACATTCTGGCTTTCTGGCAAGACCAGTCAGACGAGTGGCAGGTTTTCGGCAAGCAACTATCAAGATGGCAGATGTTTCGAGC